GTGTCTTGTTACTAGGGGTCGACAAATATCAGCTCGGAACGAACTTGCGGAAAGCATCTGGGAGGAAGGAGACGTTGTGGGGCATGAAGAGGGCGTTTGAGTCGAAGGGGGAATGGGGGGGAGGAGGAGAGGGTGGAGTTGTGTGGGGGGACGATGTCTGTGGGGAGGGGAGATGGAAGCCTTCCTGTCTGACCTGGGCTCGAAAGAAGGACATCGTACAGAGAGCGTCACTGAGCCATTCCCCATATTTGCTACTTATATCTTTTATTATTATTTGCATGTTCGCTCGGCTATCCCGGTCCGCATCCCTCGCTTGCCGGCGCTGATGGCCACGAATGGCCATCCTCAACTCGTCCCAGGCACACTGCCTTCTATTACATCATAACCCTCTTTCCACAACAACACCACACAGATCCCACATCTGGGGGTCTCCGCTCTTTCGGTTCCTCTTCCCCACATTCTATTCCTGTCTCGTCGTCGACTCTAGTACCTTACCTAACCACGCAATGTCGCAATCAACGTCGGTGCAGAAGAACCGACACACAGACATCATCGACACACAGACATCATCGACGGCCCTACCCCGTCCAAATATATTCAAATATCACAAACAACAGCCAACATGGAACAAAGACCCCACCCGTACACCGCACCCATGGACTTCCCCATACCACCGCGGCCGACATACCTCCACCCCAAAATATTGACTCTCTACCTCAGTACCCTCCTTGCAATCCAATCCTCGACCCAGAGAATAAAGAACCCCCACCCGACTTTCGTGGTCCGACCTTCTTCAATCTTCTTCGCCTATCTCCCTTCTCCCAGTCTCGATCCTTTCAAATCAATCAGGTCCCGACATCCAACCACACTCCACACGTACCAATCACCAGAAGACATCGCAGGAACGCGACTCACAACCTACCTTTCCAAACTCAAACACGACGGATGATCAACACCGATGCTGATGCCACCCACACCTGCATCAACATCAATGCTGATCACCATCATCCACGCTACACCATCTCAATACCGCCGCGAGGCCGAAGACACAGTTCGAACACCAAGAACGCACCCCCACACATTGCATCCCTGTCACATCCTTCATATTCACATGAATCAATGAATTGCAGCACTACACTCCGATAGTCCGTACTCCAATCACGAACGAGCGAAGGACACCCGCCCAAATCAACATCACAAACGTGTGCTGATCGCGAGATGCTCATCCCACATTCATTTTCTAGAACTCGACTGAATCCTTATAGCTGTTACATTGTTAGCACAATCCCCAATCAGGCCCAAACACGAAGGACGGAACATGAACGGCAGGCAACAACCCGAAAACACAGCACTAACACTCTCGTGGTTCCAGACGTTATCAGATGGCAGTGTTCAAATAGCTCATATACAACCTCTAAGTAGTAATAGTAAATGTAGAACCATCAGTCAACTGTCAGACAAGCCATGGAGACCCAGACTGAACATGACTACCACGCCCGTACCACGCCATCGCGATATGACAAAAGGATGAACATAGCTTACGGTCGATAAGCTTCGTCCGTCAAGCTTGAGAGAGCCAGGCTACACTCCTCGTAATAGCTACATTTCCTATCTTCAAGGTTCATAGCAGGAAGTAGATGGGAACATATGTTGTGAGCATGGGAGTGCAGATGGCTGTGCACACCGTTCAGTCAACTTGGTACCACTATCTTGATTCGCAAAAAAGAAGAGATCACGATCGATCGAAGATGGAATTGAAGAGGAAATTTGCCTTAGGGCGAACTCGAATGAATAGGATCATGGCAAATTGAGATTTCCTCGTCCCATGTAAATTGCAATTCCGGTGGCGGCAGCAGAGATGGATTTGAGCAGAGAGAAAACATTGGCCCCATCTCCCCTTGCCACGGACAAGTCGCTCCTTCGTACTCTGCTCAGAAAGTAACTTACAGCGGTGCGATAAACGCCAGGGAGCGTGCACACATGACAATTACTACAAAACTACAGTCTTCAGGTTAGCCTTTCATCACGATCACTCCAGGCGCCGAAACACCCATAACATGCCGCATACCACCAAAGCGGTAGCACATTCGAAACATCCAGAATCCGTGCCATTCGTATGCCCTCATTAATCCCTGACGTAATCGGATGTTCAGTATAACACCGACACCTATTTTGCAGATAACCTTCGCGTGTCTCGAGTGGTGGCGAACTTGTCGGAGAATCAGCGGAAACAGTGGTCGCTGAGGGTGAGTTGGAAGAAAGCCGACCAGGTAGCAGTAAAGACCGTTGGTCTCAACCAGTCAGCAACCCAGGGTATGTAGGTTTCGACGGCGATCAAAGAAGGCGGCAAGAGCATTTGGGACGTAAAAATAATCATTTCGAGGTGATCGGACTGTACAATCCAAGCACGAGAAATGGAGAAGTGGGTGGTGATAACACAGACTTGGAGCCCATATTGGAAAACAGGATGGGCCTTGGATAGGTTCGTATCTCTGGATGTCACGAAGACTGCGGAAAACCTCCATGATATACACAGGGCAATAAGTAGCGCATATCGTACAGTTTCGAAACGCCGAATCTGCGAGGAGAGTTCAGGCGCTTGATACCTGGAAAGTTCGAGACAGATAGCCGAACCAGACGCTGTCATTACTTCCTAACCTCCTGGGAAGGATGAGATGTGGGAAGAGCAAAATGTGTCCCGGGCCATACCTCCGAACCAATATAGCATTTTGGAATACAGTCTTGAATATTACTCCCCCGGACTTCTGCACCGCAACAATGTTCTTCTTCGATTCAGACAGGGTAGGTCCGAGGAGAATAGTTGGGGGCATTGGAAAGGGAGACACGCGCGGCTGCGAGCTGTCAAAGTGTGAGACCAAAGCGCAGCTCCTAGCCTCGCTTGTTTCGTGATACCTTTCTCTTTTCTGAGATCCTCGCAGCGTCCCTTCTCCTTTCAGCACTTGACGCGAGATGTGCTTTGAGCTGGCACGTCAGATCTTGTTTATTGATTTCGTGAAGGCAAGGGGGCGGCCTCGAGGCTTATAACATGTAAAGGCGGCCAAACAACAAGTGTTGCTTCTTTGGAAAAATGAGACATGTCGTACTGATGTGGTGGAAGCACGGGCCGCACTTTCGTTGGAGATATTCAAGCCCCCCGAGTCCCACCTTCAGGTTCTACATCGGCATCCGCAGAAGCACGGTATAGGACATCCGTAGAATCCCTCCATCCCATCGACTCAGTGGTACGAGAAGCTGACAAAGGTAGTAGTGAGCCCCGATGAGACAAGAATAAGCCAAGGATGCGATGCAGCAAAGGAAGGATGATAAGAAGGCACGGCGGTACGGACCTGGATGGATAACAATAGGCGGAAGAGAGCGACGAGTCTTGATAATGATACGATACTAATGTGAAGTCGGTGTCTTTCGAGGTAAACCGTACCGGAGCCGGATCCAGGGGTTGAGTCAGCAATCCAAGTGTGTGAACTGTGAGGGCTGTAGAAAGCGAAGACGGAAGAGATCTACAGACGCAAGTGGAAAATCGCACGAGAGAATCGATGGGCTGGGACTGACGTTCTCGCCTTATCGTTCACAAGTTATCTGCCACTTGGTTACATGCCAGAGGTATCATTATGGTGACTCCGGATGGAGATAGGGGGGATGTATTTTGAGACAACGTTTCTTTGCCGTGGCGCTGTAACGACCCTTGGCAAAAACAGCATGTCTGAACGCGTCCAGTGACTGAGTTCAAGTCCTGATCTTCTACTTATGACGAGAAGACAGGAACACAACCCCATCCCAATTCTGTAATGCATGTCCTCTGCTTTGTCTCTGTTATTATTCATTCTGATGGTGCGGGGCCATGAGTGAGGGAAAAAGAAGCATCTATTCCATAAAAGGTACGTACAAACCTGAGTTTCTCCGAGTCGATAGGAGCAGTGGGGTAACCCGCGACGGACGACCGGTCATCAAAAAGGAATGGCTCGTTGGAGCAAGACGTAAAGTGGGGAATATAAGAATGCTGCATACTGTAAGCAGCGTTCGTGTTTGGACAACGCAGTATGGTATCCTGAGTGGAATGAAATACCACAATGGCTGAAATGCGGCATGAGGCATCATCCGTGCTTATGCTTCTAAGTAGGGAATTGTTGAGGAAGCACGGACACCCGCGTCGCTGCCAGCTTAGGGGGATGTGCGATGTGATGCGACCAGTCATGGCATAGTGTGCAGCGTGCATTGTGCATTCTGGAACCGATACTAGTTGGTTCCCTGCAAATGGAGCCAGTATGACAAACGCAAGACGAGTCAAATAACACAGGGGAACCAGGCCGCCATCGATGGAGTGTTGTGTCCTGTTGAGGTAGTAATTGATCGAATTGATCGGAGTTGGATTGGCAACGTCAGATTTTGACTATGGTGAGAAAAGGGTGCAGATTCGGTGACCGATAAAGCCTAAAAGTTATGCTTTTCCTGTCAAGATTTATGTGTATCGCGTACCGGTAGAGCACCGGCCGCTTAGATATAAGGTCACCTCACCTCGTATGATAATTTCACCAAAGTGCGGGATAGCGGGATAGGACTTCACGAACGGATCTTTGCCTCTTCACTTGTATCCTCGGAGGGAAGATCCGAGACATCGCTTGATTTATCAAGGTCTGAGGTCTGTTTATGGCGGAAAAACAATCTCCATGCGCCAAGACGAAGTTGAAGCCGCAGACCTAAAGGGAGAAAGAAGATGGCAATTCAAAGTTGATGCGGGGTAAATGTCGTCTGCAATAGCGGTTCTGATGGACCGATGCTGGGCGTAGATTGGATTTGTGTTCGTGATTTTGCGAAGTCGGAAGACGTTACCGAAACTGTCTGAACAGAGACGGCAAGTGAGCGGCTCGAGCGTAGAGAATGTATTACCAGGGTAGTTGCCACTACTACGATTGCGGACATATTGCGTTATGATATGGATGGCAGGGACCCCGATCACTCTGGGGAAATAGCTTTCGTTTGAGCCAATGAGCGTCGGCAGAGCGGCACATCGCCGCAATAAAACCACTCTGTAAGGATCGGCGACTAGAAAAATTGCAGGTTGGGCGCCAGTTGTCGACATTCATGAGATGTAGCCAGTCATAGAGAGATGAGATTACGTCGAGGAAGGGGTTGCCGTAGGATGACCGCGGTGAGCGGAAGATGACACAAAAATGTCCACGTCTTCTTTCTGCGCAGGGGCCCGCATTGATTGGCTGGGCAAGCGTGGCGGGCCATAGTAACAAGCTACAAGACCCGAGCATACCTAGCAGACTCGCAGACCATTTGCACACTGGCCTGAGAGCGATGGCGCTCTGCTGACTGCTGACACGTTGTTGAGGCGACGCGCTGACACGCACCAATTGATCGAATATTAGCAGAGCAAAGAGCTTCCGGTTGCCTTCAGAGGCAAGTGCACGAGACTTGCGATATGTGAGGCCCGTGAGGGAGAAGACGGCGCAAGTGCAGAACGAGAGGTCTGAGCTGGATAGTGAAATACTTATAAGCTACGGACTGCGCAGAGCGAGTCTGTCCACCTGACATGATCACGGTGGCAGATCACCTGGGCAACTCTTAGGAGGGTATCATCACGATGTGGTGCTCAGCCGTAACGAGTTGGAGTACTTTCGGGTGGCATGCAGCAAGCCAAGGACCGAAGAATCAGCCAGAACAGCACTAGAACCAGAACCAGAGCCATATCCGATGATTCAGCAAGATAAAGGCTTGACGTTAGACCGATGTCCGTTACTACTCGGTCATCTGGTGCAGCTTTTTCGAACATCTGACATGGAGCGTCTACATGCATTCGAATCAGAATGCAGATAGAGCTCGAGATAAACTTATCGAGATAAGACTTGTTCGCCTTTCTCGCGTGGCTCCAAACACGTCTGTGGTGCATTGTGCATTCATATCACCCGAATTCTTTACAGACGAGTTCAACCGCCATTTTCAAAACGTTTGGGCTTTTAAATATCGAACTTTTTAAGGATGTTGTATTCTGGCTTTGTTGTTCGCCACACTGGTGAAAAAGAGGAGAAAATGATAGAATCCGCTTAGTTGCGGTGGTGGATTGTTTTCTCTCAGATGCAAAACAGAGATGGAATATGCATTGTGAAATACTACTCTGTGGGGAAGGTCTTTAAACGAGTTCCAACGTGGCTCTGCCACTGTGGTGTGATGTTTTTGCTATATGCTATATGATAAATAATAATAATAATACTGTGAAGTGATCACAATCATAAGTCAGTGAACTTGTGCTGTCTGTAAAGTATGTTAAGTCTGAATACTATGATGCATGTTTGATTTGCTGTTTAATCGCTGAATGTTCTTATAAGCCTGCCCTAAACCTGTGCACAGTATACTGGATTCAAGCAGATGATTTATTGAATCTTTTCAAACATCAATGCATATGTATTATAACATAAAAAGTCTGTGGTATTACACTGATAAACTGATAAAAAATATTAAAAAAGACTCCAGCAATGGTAAAGGATGATAATGTGATCTGACAATAAAATATGTTAGTAAAAGAGTAAAAATTTGGGAAAAGTTTACAATTTTGGGATACACCACATTGACAGTACATCTGTCATTTGAATCATGCAGAAATAGCCCTTGTACTCTCTCTCCTGAAGTGCAATGAGATGGTGTCATGCACCAAAAGTGATTGGTAGCATGGATAGGTGTCAATAATGAAGCAAATATTCAAAAGACTCACCTTTGCGCCACACAGGCATAGTGCCACGTGGACTGGTAATTAATGTTGCCTTTTTTGAACTTGTGGCTGATCAGCACCATCTCTATTAGGCAATCAACTTGCGCTCACCTTTGCTTTCCATTCAGTGCTTTCCGCATTTCAGCATTTTGGCAATTTTTTGTGTCACCACTAGCTACACATTGCACCCTCGCTTTCTTTGTTTTCCCTACCCTTTTTCCTTTACTTAGCCCCACTATAGGCCCTTCACCCTCTTTTTTATTCTCACCTGACAGTCATTTCTGGCTACCTATTCTAGTCCACTGCTTTGTCACCTCCACCCTCCTCCTACACGTCTTCCTTGCTCCTCCACTATACCTGATGTCACCGCTCTCTATCTGCTTCCGTCGCTGATCCATTAACTACCACTATAACAACCTGACTCCCTTTACTGAGTTAATGGAGGAGTAAGTTATTGAATCTTCAAGTAGGTAGTGAACACAAAGTATTTAGAGGAAATCAAAAGCTGAAGATATGTACATGAAAAGTTACTACTATATATACTGAAGAACACGTGTCAGCCTTGAGGCACTGACTGAGAAACATGAAGATGAGGGTAGGTGATGAGTAATCTTATGAGTCATCATGATGTAGGGTCACGTGACAAGATAAGATTAGATAAAATATACTAAGTGATTAGATAAGCACTGCAACTTCTGAATTGAAAGGGTAAAAAGGACCAGTAGGTAAATCTGAAGAAGATTGTGACAACTATGTACTTTTAATATCAGCAAAGCCCTGGCAGCCAGTCCAAATTGGGCAACAGGTCTAACTTCATGACATTGATCTGCCATCGTCCACTGTTAAATCATTGGTCACTCGTTTTGCCTGGTTAGGGCGTGGATGGGTAGTTTTCAAGCTGGAGAAGGTTCATCCCCTCACGTCACCTATGTACATTGTTGTCCCATTCACTTGGGTACATTTATCCTTTGTCCATCGTCTTTGCTACAGCTTGTTACAATACACAATTTTCGGACCTTTAAATTTTATTCTCCACTTAAACTTTCTTCTGTAGTTTTCACACACTGTGCCATGCGGCACTTTCCATCTCGTTCAAACTCCACTTCCTTGCGCTGCACTACTTTTCTTTATTCTTAGCTACAAATCTCTCACGCAGTGGGGCTGGTTACACGGGCTGTGCCCCATGACATCATCAGCCACTGCCTTCATCAACTGTATACTACACACATACAAATAGTCTGTAGTAGTATATATACCCCAATAGATCAAGGAGACTCCTCAGTGAGTCCTCCTGTTGTTTACCCACAGCTAACTCAATCCTATCTTAAGGTTTAACTACTCTGGTTCACTTCCTTTTTGCTTGTCTGAATTGTGCAACAGAGTATACAAACTCTTGGTTGTAACACAGCTACACCTACCACACACTGCCTGGGACATATTTGTTCCAAATTGGAACTACCCCTCTCCCTCCCTTGTTTCACCAGGTGGTTCACTACAACCAGACCATTGGTAAAGCCATGAAACCGTCGGATTTGGACTAGGTGGTGGACTGGTGGCTCCAGTTTCTTTTTTTTTCAGCAGAACATTCATTTGCAGTGCGATTATTTTTAATTTTTGAATCATTTTTATGAACACATATTTTTTTTAGAATGACATCATAATTTCCTTGCTCTCTTTCTGCTATTGGACTTTATTTTATGGCTGTACAAACCTGTGACATTATTTACACAGCATTTGTTGTTCAATCTCTTTCTTTTCCTTATTTTGACGATCTTATCCCGTACTACCTATATAGGATTTGTCAGCGTACATTCCTTCCTTCATGTTCTTTCTCATTCTCTTTGCATAGCTATACTGTGCATAGCCTCCCTTTCTTTTAACATATAAACCCCTGTATTCTACCTTGTAAAAAACAACAAGAACTCCAATCCAGACTTCTTCTCTAATCTCAAGCTCACTATTCTACTACTTGTGATCCAGTGTGGTCACAACACTTCCCACTGCTATCACTGTTAACTGCTGTCATCGTCACTCGTCACCTTTGAAAGTCATTATCATCCCTTTTGATTAGAGTCTTTCTGAGCACTACAGTTTGTGTGTCAGGAGCCTGCTATCACTGGGAAACCTCGTCACCTCGTCATCTTGTCGTTCTCAAACTTACCTTGTGCTATAATTAGCAAGGTAGTGCTCGTCTATACTCGTCATAAAGCCCCTATCTTCTATAGTTCAACTATCCCTCCTCCTCAAAACCCACACCCATACACCCCTGGGTTTTACTTTGAAGGATCATTATACATACCACCCCACAAATAACCAGACCACTCCACTGTTCTAGGAGGCAAAGCCCATACACAAGTTCCGTGGAATCTGGGAGGATTGTATGTTAGTTTGTTTTTTGTGTGTGGTGTTCTAACAACAGTCCTCATTATCAACAGTGGTTGCTAGCATTGCCTTCTGGTTTTGCCACAGGTTTGTCCCCTTTCATCCTCAATCATTCCTCATCCTCTCAGCCAATTCACACACTGTCCCTCTCTCCTTCACAACACCCTTTCTAACTCTTCTAATCCTTCAGAGAAGGATCATTACTCTGCTCCCTTTTTATCCTCTATTCTTTCCCGTTCATTCCATTAAGTTAGGGACCAAAGTCCACGGAAGGGCCTAGTGCACAAGCTAAGCCAATTCTCCATTTTGTACTCCATTACCCCCTACTCCATCCCCGTACTCCATAACTCTGAATACTCTGTAAGGTCACGGTTCTGACAACTGTCAGATGCAACCAACTTCTGCATGATTCATATTCTTTGGTCAAAACCTACACTATGAGACAGAGCCAACATCAGTGTAACTGCATACTGACATGAAATATGCCCATTCACAGCTCTCAAACCTCATCTTTACAGTATCTGATTTAAAGGTATATTTCAACTTTGTTAGGATAGTTTATCATTACATGTGTCATGTAACTGTATTAGAAATATATGTTGATTTTACTGAATATGACCTCTGATTATAATACAAGTAAAAATAATATAAATGCCCTGGAATAATATTTTATGGTAGTGATAGCTTTTATGTTCTATGGTAGCAGTTATAGTAGAGATATAGTACATGTATTACAGAGGTGCTATCATAACTGGTATAGCAAATGTCTCAAAATAGTGCTGCTATATAGCACTATATAATAGGGACTTGTCTAGGCGTACTATAGCTACTATTTTCCCTATATAGCACTATGGTGGCTATAATAGCTATAAAAGGCAGCTAGGTTTTTCCTGATGCTTGCAAGCAGGCTGGGACCACTCATTGCCATTTTATGAGGAGGATAAATTCCTCACCAAGGTGAGGTGGGGACTTTGTTGTAGGGACTCAGAAGTCAGAAAAAAATGTCAGAAACTTAGTATACAAAAAAGCATTTTTGTAACCAGTAGATCGGTTTTTGTGAATAGAAATTTTTTGGACAAATTTAAGGTGAGGTTGTTGTTGTTGTCACTGCCATTTTCTGGCAAAGTTCACTTGCAAAATGAGTTGCAAAAATATCTTATATTCAATACATTCTACAAGTTACAAATTTGCCTTTTTGTATATTAACTTGAGGGGAAATTTTTTTATGGCTGTCAAGTCCCTATGACCAAGTCCCCACCTTATCTTTGGTGAGGAATTTGTCCTCCTCACAAAAATGGCAATGAGCAGTCCCAGCCGTCCACTGGGTGTGCTCAAAGACAATTTTGGCTAGTAACTAAAATTAAACCCAGTGATCTGGCTGGGTACGAGCCAGGCTTGTATCCATCCAGCTTGGCTAGCTCACGTGTCATACTGTATATTAGCAGATTATTACACCCGGGAGCTTGTGAGTAGGCTGGGATGACTTGTTGCATTTTTTGGTGGTGGTAAATCCTCCCCAAGGGAGGATGGGACTTAGTCATCAAAACACAGTACTACTTGTTGCAATATCATGGTCGCTTGTTATACAGAACATAATGTGCACTTTCGAGTGACATAGTAAAAGGACAATCATCCTGAGAAGACATAGCCAAAACTGATCAGACAAAGTAAGTAAAAGTAAAAATGAGTCACAAAAGTTTGTTCAGGACTCAGCGGTGAGAGTTCACTGGTGCACTCAGTAAATTAGTCAATTTTCATGTTCAAAGTTGATTATTATACATATATGTTGACATCTATTCATTATCAAATGAGTTATACACTATATAATTGAGACTAGCCTAACAAGTTCCACTTTCTCTGTAGGTGATTTGCTTCCTCACAAAACCGCAATGAGTCATCCCAGCCTGCTTGCAAGCTCGCGGTCCATAAATTATTAACCGTGGGCTAGCTGAGTGGGCTGGGTAAGAGCCTAGGTACGAGCCTACATAAATTCGGGCTTTTGGTGATCAACTGTCATCAATATATTGAATTAGATCAGCAAGACATAAAATAACCATTGCCCTCTGGGCAGACCTGGCCCCAGCTGTGTCCAGATCACACAGCAGGCCATTACAGTTAACATTTTGTGCGGTCTTTACAGTGATCGCAGAGCAACAACGTACAATGGATGCAAGAGTGAGTAGCACCAAGGTAGCCACGTGACAATAGACGGAATGAGCCGAAAGTGCGAGAAAGGTAAACGTAAATGAGTAATGACTAAAAGGTCCTTGGAAAACGCAGCGGACATTTGTGCTTTGGAAACCTGGAACCTACGGGTCCAGGAACATCATGTGATTTCGGCGCCGCATCGGCTAATTATATATAACGAGGATTTGCAAGCACCAAGGTTTTGTTACTATCACTACCGTGACACTGTCCTCATCATCGCATTTGTAGTATTTGGCACATTTCTTGCATATGTGCACACAGTACGACCGCATCCCAGCTGTTGATATATTTATGACCCAACAAGAACCCAACACAATACCAAAGGACCAACTGTCACCGATAACGGAAAACTCACCAGACGAAAAGGAGACTGACATCTCTGTTCTATCACCGCATTTGGATTCACCTTCAGTAACACTCGTTAATAACTGACCTACCGAAAGCATGGACCGAAGGATCAATGAGCCTTTACCAGCTTCCTGCCATTCTTCGGATGGACATGCAGGCTTACATGTCCCTATTCTAACCACCAAACCACGAGCATCTCCTGCAGTCCGGGAGAAGTTCATTTCTTCTGATACGTCTCCTGGTCAGCTAGCGCCTGATCTATACACAGCTACACTTCCGTGGTGGCGAGCTGCCATTCGTACGAAAATATTGAAGACGGTGGAGCGAGAGAGTCACTTGATAGCGCGGATGCAGGTATGGGCGATATATGTTTATATGTGTCCCAATGCATTTATCGCGATTCTACATTTCAGGAATATGTGCGCAGCCCGAAGCTCGACGCCTACTTCGTGTATACTTCTTCGCTAGGCACCCATACCTTTTTCATGACCGCTCTGCCCATCTTTTTCTTTTTCGCTGGTGAGAAGTTTGGTCGCGGGTGTGTACTCCAGCGACTTTCCTTCTTATTGCTCACATCGATGTTATATCAAAGGCTTCTATTTGTTCTCGCCTTTGGCGTCTATCTATCCTCTGTCCTCAAGGACTTCATCTGCTCTCCTCGTCCGTTCGCACCTCCTGTCACGCGATTGAGTACGTTACCTGTCTTGTATCTCAGCTCTCAAGTCGATTGATGCTGGATAAACACGTAATCCTTGTCGCACAGCAATCGGCACCCACCATCTGGAGTATGGCTTTCCCTCTACCCACTCCACTAATAGTGTCTCTATCGCCCTTTTTATCTTCAGTCATATTTATCATTACTATGTCTCGTCTTCGATGTCCTCGATCACCTTTTACACTTCATGTGCTCTGCTTTTCGTGTACACGTTTAGCATCGTATTCGGTAGACTATATACAGCGATGCACTCTTTCACAGACTGTGCAGTGGGTGTTCTCCTTGGCATTTTTATATGGACCGTACACTGGGCAGCGGGCGAATGGATGGAACGATGGTTAAAAGAGGGTGGCTGGATTGGTGAGTTTTTACTATCTTATACAGTGAAATCACTGACACATGTGCATGAATAATTACTAGTGCCACTGACCATCATCCCGTTTTGTCTACTCTTGGTAAACCAGCATCCTCAGCCTGTTGATGATTGCCCCTGTTTCGAGGACGCTATAGCATTTATCTCTGTTATCATGGGCGCAGCTCTTGCACAGTGGCATAGAACGCATTATGGAATGGACGAGGCCTTCTTCTCAACTGTGATGGCCGGGAGCGATGGGAAGACATGGGAAGAGGTATTCACGTGGTGGAGTATCGCAGGAGCCAAGATCGTAGTCGGTACGTGATCATGACCCCCTTTGTTAGCTTCCGTCGTCTCTGTTCTTATCACTCATTCCACACATCAGGTGTCTTGATCATCTTCGTTTGGCGCCTCGTTGCAAAATCAGCATTGCATTTCATTCTCCCTCCACTCTTCCGTGCTCTCGCTCTCTGCTTTACGCTCCCGAGTCGACGGTTTTACACGCCTGCGACTGACTACGAACATGTGCCCATGGAGACCGGACTCCATCCAATTCCAAGTGTCATAGATCTGCCAGGGCAGATGGAGATGTCGGGATTGGGCGAGCCCTTTGGACGTAGACTGAATAGTTTGAAACAGAGGAGACCTGGCAGGGGGCAAGATAGAAGTGTCAGTATGAGTGACAACGGGTTTGGGGACGAAGACGAAGTGGAAAAGAATGGTGGAACAGTGGACGGGAAGGAAGTGAAGCACTACGATGCTGACGGTATGTCTTTGCAATTTCAGGATCTGACACTGATGGATAGTGACTTTTCTTCTCTTGTTTAGTACTGACCAAGGTTGTAGTGTACGCTGGGATCGCACTTCTTGCTACAGAGGGGGTACCCGTAATGTTTGAGGTTATAGGATGGGGCGTCAGACCGTGGTAGGTACCGCAGCCTTGGTCGGAGAGGTAACAGGTCAGACTGCCATAGGTCTACTGGAAATTATACGATCATAAGGTTAGGTAGTGCACTAAGTCCTGCTAATAACAAGACAAGAGGACGATCGACAAAAACTATCATTGATTTCTCTCCTCTATTCTATAATTGAAAGGTACCGACATGTACATAACGAACCTTTTATAAAGTATTATCAAGCAGTTTAATCGGACTCCATAGGTCTTGGTGAACAAACACATTTGTGGGGGTTTGGTGCATTCAATGGCCCATCTCTGGACAGCGACTGGCCACTAGTTCGGTTCAGTTTAGTGGCAATGTGAGAATGAGCCCATCATGGTGATATCGATATGGCCCACGTATGTAGTATGCAGAGCACGAACTAGCTCTACATGATAGTCGTGACCGTAGAATAATAGTTGCACTACAATACATGTTATGTGACAAGCCTCTACGACTGCATAGATTGCGATGGGATAAGCTGATCTAGTCCAAACGTCCGACTCTGCAAATGACGATGACGACAGCGAATTGAGCGCAGCCACCTCTCGCTGCTCCTATTTCTATCAGATGTCTGTTATCCGATGGAGCGGGAGAGGAATACGGAGCTTTGACATGGGATATAATGAATTAAGTGTGGTACCGAAGCCATTGGGGCACATGGGGCAATCATGCCGGTCGCATTCTCCGTTGTATATGAGTGTAGGTCGTTGCAATCAATGCCTTGGGACCATTGAACGGACTATGGGGCACAGTAATAACCACCAAGTGTTCTCTTCGTGGCACGATCCTACGCTTATTAGGTGTCAATCGTTCAGGTATAGCCGAAAGCCGTAGTAACATACGTTTTACTGTACCTGTGCAGGTGGCCACATTGATGTTTGCATCCACAATCTAATGATATTGGTCTACTGTTGCCAAGATCGACATACCGTCTGGGAGCTTACTGTCCATGCTCATCTGATCAGGAGAACGAGCGTCCGTGTTCGAACCCTCAGGACTACTGGCAAGACTTTCCAGATCTATCGTGGTAAGGAATTCCGGAGGAGGTATAGATATGGAGGCTGTGTAAGCCGCAGACTGGCGAGAAGAACGATAGTCTGTTTCAAGTAATCCCTTTCGAATGATGCGATATAGAAAAGTGACGATAACCAATAGGTTACAGATTACTAAAGAAAGCGCAGCCTGAATAATTCATTCAGCTGCTCGATACTATGCCGAGTATATGAGCCAAATGAAGAACATTACCTTGAGATTGGAAAGAATGACCAAGCCGAAATCGAGTCGAAATTCTAAGTTGGTAAGTGTTTCTCCCTTAAAAGCAGGATTTGGGAAAATATATATGGCATGTACTGCGCTGGCGACGCTTGTTAGGATACTAGAGGAAAAGATCGAAAGGATGACGAGCCGCTCGTTCCTCGGGAGCTTTACACGCCAGAGTAGACACAGAGGGAAAATCACCAAGATAATATCCGAAAATACGTTTGCTGCTGCACAAGTAAGGAAAATGAGTTTCACTACTGGAATAGACACGGACCAGATATCTGAAGGTAGCCAATAGGGTACGGCAAGGAGGGACTTGGTGATAGATCCCAGAACATTTCATGGCAAAGGTATATTATCACGATGGCCATTCCCACCCATATTATTGCAAAAAGCACAACAATGCCAAACGCAAAACGGCGGATACTTGAAGTCGGGGAAATGATGCGTATGACAGAATATATGATACTCATGCGAGATGACCTATGGAAAGTTATTGCGTACAATCATTAAACAGGTATAGATCGCTTACCATACGACTGCCGGACAAAGGAGGAGTGAGAACCAAACCGACGCAACAAGAGCATTTGAACCTGAAGAGGTTTCGGGCAATGCATTGACTGGAAGACTATTAGTAATAACTCTACAGGCACGCTGATGTTGTGACGACTCACATTGGGAGCTGACGTTGGCTGGTATCCATAGACCTACCAAACAAATGATGTCGAATAAGAGCGCTAGTGTAGCCCATGCATCCTCCCACCAAAAACGCTGGATATTGAGTCTGAACCACAACCTGAACCCTGTTAGTAAAAATGTGAGCGCATGCAGGACGGTTGCTACGACTAAATCGATATATTGATCAGAAAGTGGACTTTTCAACATGTCGACTAAAACTCACTTTTCGATACATCAATAGTCGCAATTGTTATCCACTCGATGGGCATCGATAGAAAGGCCAAGGAATGATGATGTTGGATTGATTCCCTAGACCTGTGGTGCGAGGGATAAATGATTCATTCGCTCGCTTGGCCACTTGCATATCAAGGCAATGATCAAACTGTCAACAACCGATTTAATGTAAGACTTGTAAAAATTGTGCCAGCTGCTGCCCTGAGTGAATTTTATCCTAAAATGGATATTGGGGAACCGTTGTACGTACGGCCGTTCAGTGGGGTGACAGTGGGGTCAGAACTTTCCAAAAGCAGTGTCATCCTTTTGTACCTTTCCGGATTCATTGAATATGACATGCCGACTGGAAAACACAGTTCGCTTTTCAGTGTCTAGGAGTTTGTAGGCTTGCTTTCCACGTGTATAGTCAATCATTATGGCTTTGCACCCCTTGGAGTAGAACTTCCCTTGCTGTTTGTCTTTCAGAATCAAGGCATATACTTGGCATCCAAAAGGGTGAAATAAAGTTGGATCAACTCTCCTTTTGAACAGTATTTCATAGGGGGTCTTTCCATGGAGTCCTGATGCTGGGCTGCATGCTGTGATATATGCAGCCGTTTGCATGGCATTTATCCAGAATGACTTTGGGAGCTTGGAATCATGGAGCATAGTGGTTGCTAATGTAGCTAATGTCTGATTCATGTGTTCTGCAATGCCATTTTTTTCCAGAGTATCTGCAGCTGTAGTTTCTTGCAGGACACCATCTCCTCAAAGTTGACTTTTGGATGCATTGCCAGTATATTCTACTCCCCCATTGCTCTGGAGGAATTCTGTGTACAGTGGGGTGGAGTTTTCTTCTCCCAAATGAGTTTGGAAAAATGTTTGGACATCTTCTTTCCATTTCTTGTATTGTTCCAATGCTTCATTATTGTGTTTTAGAAAATATATCCATGGAAATTTGGAGAAATCATCTACAATGATAATCCAAGTATCGGAAACCCTCCCTGGAGGTTGCTTTGATTGGTCCTCCAACTTCTGTGTGCACAATTTGGATGGGGTGCTTGGCTCATTTTCCTCCAGTGGACTTGAAAGCTAATTTCTTCATCTTTCCTTAAGCACAAGGTTCACAGAACTCCAGGGTTCTGGTAAGGGTGTCTATGTCCTGGAGCTGTCCTTTTGTAACCATTCATTGTGAGTGATCTATTCCAATGTGTCCCATTCTCCTGTGCAATAGATTTACATCCACTGCTGCAAAAGCTGACTCTGGGTTGAACACAGGTTTTGCTTGGACATGATAAAGTTCTCACTTGTGTAAGGCAGTGAGGATGAGTTCCTTCTTTTTCCGAACTTCACAATTGGACCCTGCTGGAAAAAGTGTTGATAACCCTGTTTTAAACAATTTGTGGATTGAGACAAGTGCTACAGTGAAGTTTGGCACAAGTAAGACATATGACAGTGCTGTAGTCCTTTTTGCGAACAATTGCTTGTAGGATTACTTTTCCAATTCCAATGGCTTTCATAGAGGATTCATCCCTGATTGTCCTTGGAGGGTTCAGAACATAGTATGTTCCTTGCTCAAACCAGGAGTGGTGAGGGACCATGTGTGATGTTGCTTTGGAGTCAATAATAATTGTTGTTTTAATCTTATTAGGTTCCAACACAATGTAAGCTTGAATGTGTTCAGCAAGGGGCTTGGAAATATGTACATGTTCCAATGCAATAAGACTCTGTTCCTCCTTGGAGTCAGATCCAGATGATTGCTCCGCTGTTATACACCAAAAGTGATTGGTAGCATGGACAGGTGTCAATAATGAAGCAAATATTCAAAAGACTCGCATTTGCACCAACAGGCACAGTGCCATGTGGAATAGTAATTGATATTGCTTTTTTTGAACTTGTGGCTGATCAGCACCACCTCTATTAGGCAATTAACTTGCGCTCACCTTTGCTTTCTACATGATACTTTTGGTACTTTCGGCATTTCAGCATTTCAGCAATTTTTTGCGTCACCACTGGCTACACATTGCACCCTTGTTTTTGTTGTTTCCCCCTACCCTTTTTCCTTTACTTAGCCCCACCATGGGCCCTTAACTCTCCTTTTTATTCTCACCAGATGGTCATTTCTGGCTACCTATTCCAGTCCACCGCTTTATCACCTCCACCCTCATATTATTTGTCTTCCTTGCTCCTCCACCATACCTGATGTCACCACTCTCCATCTGCTTCCATCGCCAATCTGTCAACTACCATGTACCACTTTTAATATCAGCAAAGCCCCGGCGGCCGGTCCAAATAGGGCAACAGGTCCATCTTTATGATGTTGATCTGCCATCTTCTACTAGTAATCACCGGTTGCTTGTCTTGCCTGGTTGGAGCGTGGGTGGGTAGTTTTTGAGCTGGAGAAGGTTCATCCCCTTACATCACCTATGTACATTGCTGTCCCATTCACTTGGGTACATTTATCCTTCGTTCATTGTCTTTGCTACAGCTACACCTACCACATGCTGCCTGGGACTCACTTGTTCCAAATTAGAACTACCCCTCTCCCTCCCTCATTTGACTAGCTTGTCCACTACAACCAGACCATTAGTAAAGCCATGGAACCATCGGATTTGGACTAGGTGGTGGACCAGTGGCTCCATTTTCTTTTTTTTCAGCAGAACATTCATTTACAGTGTGATTAATTTTGATTTTTGAATCATTTTTATGGACACATATTTTTTTAGAATGCCTGACTGACAATAAAGGAACTGTGTTGATACTGATATTGTTTTGTCTTGCCTTTTTTTTACTGCATCTTTCCATGACATCATAATTTTCTTGCTCTCTTTCTGCTATTGGACTTTATTTTATGGCTGTACAAACCTGTGACATTATTTACACAGCATTCATTGTTCTATCTCTTTCTTTTCCTTATTCTGACAATCTTATCTTGTACTACCTATGCAGGATTTGTCAGCATACATTCCTTCCTTCATGTTCTTTCTCATTCTCTTTGCACAGCTATACTGTGCAGAGCCTACCTTTTTTTTACTATATAAACCCCTGTATTTTACCTTGTAAAAACAACAAGAACTCCAATCCAGACTTCTTCTCTAATCTCAAGTCCACTTCTTACTGCTACTTGTGATCCGATGTGGTCACAATACTTCCCACTGCTACCACTGTTAACTGCTGTCATCATTACTCGTCATTTTTGAAAGTCATTGTTATCCCTTTCGATTAGAGTCCTTCTGAGCACTACAGTCTATGTTTCAGGAGCCTGCTATCACTGGGAACCTCATTGTTCTCAAACCTACCTTGTGCTACAATTAGCAAGGTAGTGCTTGTCCATACTCATCATAAGCCCCTATCTTCTATAAAATCAACTATCTATCCTCTTTTTACGCACAAAGTGCTTAACAAAGTCTGAGGGTTCGTTGAGGTTTCAAGGCAGACTTATCCGAAGACAAGTTCGAGAATGTAGTTCTGAGTTGAGTTCTTCCAACGAGAGTTGGTCTTCTTCTGAGTATAAGTCTGATCTTAGGAGTCTAGCTTTGTAAGTGTAAACTGCGTAGAATTGTATTAGAGAATACTACTGCTGTTACATGGTATTTATAATGGAAAGGAATTGGTGATAGGAGTTAGGTCCTATCTAGGGCAGGTCCGTCCGTTGAGGACTAAGTACTATAATAGATACTGCGAATGCGAGAGGAACGGAAGTATACGTGAAGGAAATGAGTCATCAGTCCGATGGTATAACTGATGAGTAAAAAGAAATGAGTAGTCCTTAAATGTCCAATAAAGATTGTAACACCTCTTCAAAACCCACACCAATACATCTCTGGGTTTTACTTTGAATGACTGCTATACATACCACCCCACAAACAACCAGAGCACCCACTGTTCTAGGAGGCAAAGCCCATAAACAAGTTCCGTGGAATTTGGGAAAATTGTGTGTTAGTTTTTTTTGTGTGTGGTTTTCTAACAACAGTTGACACCGCCATATTTGCTTTTTCTGCCTTTTTTCCTTTATCCTTGTGTTTCTCCTTTCCCTTTTTCTTTTGACCTTTTCCAGCTGACTGAAGTGTTTGACACTCTGAGGTGTTGTGCAATTTGACTTTGTGGAAGTCACACCATTTCTCCTTGGACTTGAGTGCTGATTCAGAACCTCCAGGAGCTATTCCTGACTGTTGTGCAACTTTTCAGTGATCCAGATCTCAACTGCATGAAAGGTAAGTTTATCTTCTTCAATTGTGTTGATTACGGATGACTGAAATATTTGCCATTCAGGAGTGCATGGAAGAGATTGCAGAAGAGCAAAAGCCATGAATTTGGTATCAGCTCCTAATTTCATTCTGGAGAGGTGCGAATCAATAGTCCGGATTTTCACAATGTGGTCCTTAATAGCTGATGTTCCATCCCAGGACAATTTGGTGAGTTGCTGGAATAAATCGAAAGCCAAGGCAATGTTGGATGTCTGATGGAGTGAAACAAGTTTGTCAAATAACTTCTTGGAGCTGATGAGGTCTCCAGTTCTCATTAGGAGGGCATTGGAGATGTGGTCCTGGATGATTCCGTATGCCTTTTCATCCTTAAGTATCCAGGTGATTTCAGGGTTCTCCGAGAAGGTGTTACAATAACACATTTTCGGACCTCTAATTTTCATCCTCCTCTTTAACCTTTTACTGTAGTTTTCACACTCCATGCCATGCGGCACTTTCCCTTTTGTTCAAACTCCACTTTCTTGCGCTGTGCTGCCTTTCTTTCTATTTTAGATACAAGTCTCTCACGCAGTGGAGCTGGTCACACCGGCTGCGCCCTCTGACATCATCAGCCACTGCTTTCATCAACTGTATAGTACATATGTACAAACAAACCTGTAGTAGTATATATACCCCCAATAGATCAAGGAGACTCCTCAGCAAGTCCTCCTGTTGTATCCTCACAACTAACTTGTTGAAGTCTAAAGGGTAACCACTCCCTCATCATCATCTCTATAGTTGGTTCTAGTTGTGCACCAGAGTAACTTACTCTTGGTTGTTACATTAGGACTCGCTCTTTTTACTCTTTCGCACATTATGCAAACCCGGACCCCAGGGTTAAGGGGATAGTGTTATTGTTTAGGGATATCCCATATAGCAAAAGGGTGTGCTCTTTGTGATGGCCCTGTAGTGCTCTGGGAGAAAGGACAATCACATTTTTTGATACACGGCCCCCAATGTTAAGGGGAGTATCTTAGCTCAGCAGTTGATGTGGAACCACTGATAATTAGTTTGACAAAAACTTCTTCTTTGAATACCTCTGACCAGGCCAGGCACTTGCCTCTGCCAGTTGGAGAAGGGTTGACAGCTTAACAAGCGGACCACCCCCTGACAACCATTTGGATCAGGGTTTAATTACTATAACTTCTACATACATTTTCAAATACTATAGTGTGGGTAGTCGGAGATTGAGATCCAGTACTCAGCTGGGAAGAGGTAGATCCGCAGATAGCAAGCGGGGACCCCCAGTTACGTTACATTTACAAAGAGAACAAGTCGACATGTTGTTGCAACCGGATATGAATAGTCTGCTGCACAACATGCGTGCACAGATTCAGGCGTTGACAAGTCAGCTCGCCGAGATTCAGGCCGCCCCAGCAGCAGAACCTACATTTGAGTGAAAGTTTAACAAGAAAGTCGAGATTTTTGCTGACCCCGGCATTTTCAAAGGAGACCAGGCTCAATTTGACAAAAGGTGGATCAAGCTCCAAATTTGGATTAAAGCAAACTGGGACGTGTTTGCTGATGATTTTGAGATAGCAACTGCCGTACTATCTCGACTAAAAGGACCTGTGGCGGGTTGATACACCAGAGTAAGACCCCAGGAATGCTACACCGCGGGTGTGTGGCCTACCTGGGATGATCTCAAAGTAGAGATCAAAAAATACTTCAAACTGCAAGCTGAGCGTGACTGGGCACGTCAGCAAATCTGTACCTTCAAACAAGGAAATATGAGGACGGATGACTTTGTTACCCGGTTCCTGGCCCTCTCCATCCAAGGGGGTTTGGGAAATGAACATGCAGTGGAGCTGTTGGAGCCCAATGTGTCACCGGCCATTGCACGACAGTTTTACATACAAGAGATGCGGAGCAAGAACCTTGCAGCAGCCGCTGAGGAGGTTCAAAAAATTGGTAGGGCCATAGAGCTTTACGATATGCAATTCAGTGGCAGGTCCACCACCAAAAACGACTATCCCCAGAGGAGCCCTGGGTCATCAAACCAAAAATCAAATCACTCTCACGGGTTCCAACCAGGACGAGGTGCTCCTATGGATATCGGCGCGGTCCAGGGCGGACAAAAGCGCAGATTCACCTGCTTCAGCTGTGGGCAGGAGGGGCACATGGCCCAAGATTGTACAAACAGAGCGTGGGCCGCTCACCAAAAAAATAACCAAGGGCGCCAGGTGTGCCAATTAGAAGCAGAGAAACCGGATGATCGGCTCCAGACTCTGGCCAGTCGTTCATACAATGAGATCCGGGCCTTCTTCTACGATCAGCAAACCGCTGGAATGAAGACCCAGGGAAAAGAGTTTGGAGCTTAGGTCACTTGGGTACCTTCGCTCCTCAAAACAATGAAGTAAACCACAACAAAGTGGCCCCTGCTCCGGGGTGTTGCACGAGCAATAATGGAAAGATGGGGATGGCTCCCCAATTTGTAAATCAATTTCTAAATTTGTTATCTGAAATATGTACTTGTATACGAAGCTGTGACTGTGGATTCGTCTTGGACCCACCTGACAATATAGCTGCTTTGAGCGCTGATTTAGAGGGTCAAGATGATGAAGGAGTTGATGCTAGAAATACTTACAATACCACCACTGTACCAGCGTCTCCTTTGGAGTGTGGTCCCGGCGAGATAAACAATAGGGTGCTTGATTCTGGTAAAAATAAAGTAGAAAAATATGTTGCTTCTTCTTTTTCTTTGGAGCCACCCTTTCCCAAAATCCCAAGGTGTGTGTTGATGCGCACATATTTATTCCAAAAGGAGATCTGTTTAGACGTGTGGAAAACCTTGCCCGGGGCATAGTACACCCAACTAGCGCACTGCTTGATTCAGGTGCAAATGGCATCTTCATCGATTAGGTCTGGGCGGAGCAAGTTGGACTCCCCCTTGTAAAATTAGATGTGTCTATTCCCGTCTATAACGTTGACGGTACGCTTAACGCGGGTGGCTGCATCACTCACAAATGTTCTTTTGTTGTCAAGTACCAAGGACACAGAGAATGAGTCACCGCCAAAGCTACCCAACTAGGGAAGATTAATTCAATCTTAGGCTGGACCTGGCTATTTAAACACAATCCTGAGATTGACTGGCAGACAGGGGTTGTCACATTGTCACATTGCCCTCAGGAATGTAAAAACTTGGGTAAATTGAGTCGTGTCCGTCAAACTGAGCGTCTTGAAAAGATAAACACTGGTCACATTTATGAGCTCAGATCTTTAGAAAAGATTGACAATGACAATGACGAAGTAAAACCTGAAGAAGAGATTAAGAGGCTGGTACCTCCCGAGTATTATGACTTCTGGAAAGTCTTTTCAAAACATAAGTCAGAGCGCTTCCCAGAGGCTAAGCCTTGGGACCATGCTATAGACTTGAAGGACACTTTCAAACTGAGAAAAGGACACATGATACCACTCTCTGCTCCAGAAAGAGATGAGGTATCAAGTTTCATAGATGAACCACTTAGGAAGGGTTACATCAGACCTTCCAAAAGTCCTATGACGTCCCCGGAGTTCTTCATTCCTAAAAAAGATGGTAAAAAGCGTATGATTATGGACTATCGTTACGTGAATGAGTACACGGTTAAAAATGCATATCCACTGCCTTTGATCAGTCAACTAGTAGACAAATTGGCTGGCGCCAAAATCTTGACAAAGATGGATCTCAGATGGGGGTACAATAATGTACGCATCAAAGAAGAAGATACTTGGAAGGCCACGTTCACGTGCCACCGAGGATCCTTCGAGCCCCTTGTCATGTTCTTTGGGTTGACCAATTCACCGGCGACCTTCCAGAGCATGATGAACGAGATCTTTGCGGATATGGAGAACTGTGTGTCGTCATTTACATTGACAATTTATTAATATTTACGAAGTCGGATGATGAGGCTGAGCATGACAGGATCGTGCAAGAAGTCCTTTGACGCTTACAGGAATGGGACCTATTTATCAAACCTGAAAAATGTAATTTTAAAGTGAAGGAAGTAGACTTCCTTGGTATGATAATTGGCCAGAACGGAATCAGGATGGACCCTGAAAAAGTTCAAGCTATATTGGACTGGCCTGAACCTACTCGTGTCAAAGGAGTTAGGGCCTTCCTGGGCTTAGGCAATCTCTACCGAAGATTTGTCGAAAACTTCGCAAAGTTAACGAGACCATTGAACGATCTCACTAACAATGACATTGTTTGGCATTGGGGCGCCAAGGAACAAGAAGCTTTTGATAAGCTTGACCAGCTCCACTGCATGAGAGACTTGTAGCTAAAATGAGAATAAAGGCAGCACCGCACGGGAAAGAGGAGTTGGAACAAAAGGGAAAGTGCCGCATGGCACGAAGTGTGAAAACTACAGTAAAAGGTTAAAGAGGAGGATGAAAATTAAAGGTCCAAAAATGTGTTATTGTAACAGATAAAACTGTATTTATGAAGATTACAAGAAATAAAATGCAGTTTTAGCATTACACAAATTTTAGCTTTTCTTTTCTTTTACTTTTTGTGTCTACTTTATAACTTTTCATTTTTGAAGTCACATGACTGATCATGTGACCTAATACTTTACTTTACTTTTTGGACATTTACTATGTATGTGATCCATCACCTGACATATTATCTGACTGAAGTCTAGACCCAATGCATGCTATGACATCAGGACAATTACTTACTCATTAATGACATCATATAAAATATAATAGAACACTGTAGAACATTTACCTTTATTTATATCAACTATACAGTACCTCATGTACTTTAGTATATATAGCTAAGCAATACATGGGGAAGGACTCAGCAAGTCCTTTCAGGTGAATACTATGACAATACCAACAAGATATGATAACATCAACAAGTTACAATCTTAGGGCACTATAGCACAACCATACAGGCTACAACTCAATGATATAGTGGTACAACTCATCAAGAGAGGGAGGTTGTCATGCTAATGTTGGTATACACTAGAAGAGGACTTGCTGAGTCCTTCCCCATGTATTACTCCAGTATAACCAAAATTTGATACCATGGCACACAGTGAAGACAGGCAAGGAGGGGTGAATGAAAGAGTGGATAAACTCCCCTAGATAGGACCAAGTTAGTTGATGGTATTCAACAGAAGGATGGTCTTTTTGATCTATTACGGTATATATAGTATTACAGGGTGTTTGTACATGTTGTACTATACAACTAGGGGTGGTGGCTGATGATGTCATAGGGTGCAGCCCTTGTAACCAGCCCTACCATGTGAGAGAGTTGTATCCAAAAATCAGAAGAAGCAGTGCATCACAAAAAAGTAAAGATACTGGAGATTGAAAATAAAGGAAAGTGCTACATGGCACAAGTGTCCAAAAGAGAAAGAAAGTTGAAATGGAGACTGAAAGTTAGAAGTCTGAAAATTGTGTATCATCATACTTCCCCCCTCCTAAGGCTTGACTTTTAGGCAAGACTAAGTACCAGAGGTAGTAATTTGGGGATTAGTTAGAAAAGGAAATTTAAAAATTCTATATCCATGTTTTCTAAGCTTCCTAGAAGCTAAGGGATTCTTAGAATAAAATTTGCAAACAGCATTGCAGGAATCATCCAGATGGGCTTCTAGTTCCCATGTTCTATCCTTGTCTTCATAGCCCTTCCAGAGGACCAGGAATTCTACTTTTCCATGCTTCAAGTGTGTAACCTTAACCACCTGTTCAACTTTCAACTTTTCTTTACCTTCCTGAGTGACTACAACTGGTCTAGGCCGGTCTATGTACTGTCCCGGTGTCAAAAATGAAGACTGTTGCCAGAAAACCACACACAAAAACAAACTAACAAACAATCCTCCCAGATTCCACAAAACTTGTTTATGGGCTTTGCCTCCTAGAACAGTGGGTGATCTGATTGTTCATGGGGTGGTATGTATAATGATTCTTCAAAGTGAAACCCAGAGATATATGGGATTGGATTTGGAGGAGGAGGTATTGGATTTTGCAATGTGACCTCACATAGCCACCTAATTACAGGGAGTGCATAAAAGCAAAGTGGACCAGCCAGGGATTAAACCCAGGACTTCCGTCTACATATGGTGGTGCTCTAATTAACTGAGCTACTAGCCCTTGTATTAATGTCAACTCATAACATATGTTGTTTAACAAGGCTAACAGGCTTTAACCTTGACTATTCCAACAGAAGGGATAGATGAAATTTGGAAGATAGGGGCTTTGTACTGGAGCGATGAAGATAACGAGATTCCCAGTGATAACAGGCTACTGACGCACAAACTGTAGTGCTCAGAAGGACTCTAATCAAAAGGGATGACAGTGACAATGACAGCAGTTAACAATAGTAGCAGTAAGAAATGTTGTGACCACACTGGATCACAAGTAGCAGTGAGTATGTAACAACCAAGAGTTAGTTACTCTGGCGCACACAAGAACACACTATAAAGGTAGTGATGGGGGAGTGGTTACCCCTTAAGCTGCAGAGAGTTTGTTGGTAAACAACAGGAGGACTCGCTAAGGAGTCTCCTGGATCTATTGGGGTATATATACTAATACAGAGTGTTTGTACTTATGTACTGTACAGTTGATAAAGTCAGTGGCTGATGATGTCATGGGGCCTAGCCCGCATGACCAGCTCCACTGCGTGAGAGAGTTGTATCTAAGATAAGAAGAAGGCAATGCGGCGCAAGAAAGAGGAGTTTGAACAAAAGGGGAAGTGCTGCGTGGCACCATGTGTGAAAGCTAAAGTATAAAAGGTTAAAGCGGAGAATGAAAATGAAGGAAAGGTCCGAAAATTGTGTTATCGTAACAGAGTAGTGGACTTGAGATTAGAGGACCAAGTCTGGATTGGATTTCTTGTTGTTTTTTTGAAGATATAATACAGGGGTTTATATAGTGAAAGAAAGAAAGGCTATGCACAGCATAACTGTGCAAAAAGAATGAGAAAGAGCATGAAGGAAGGGATATGTGCTGCTAAATCCTGTGAAGATAGTACAGGATAAAATTGTCAAGATAAGGAAAAGAAAGGAATAGAATAATGAATGCTGTGTATGTAATGTCACAGGTTTGTACAGCCATAAAATAAAGTCCAAGAACAAAAGAGCAAAAAAATTATGATGTCATATGAATATGTAAAATTAAAAATTAAAATAAAAAACTATTATTAGTATCAACACAGTTCCCTTGTTATCAGTTAGGCATTCTAAAAAAATATGTCCATAAAAATGATTCAAAAATCAAGAATAATTGCACTGCAAATGAATGTCCTGCTGAGAGAAAAAAATTGGAGCCACCAGTCCACTGCCTAGTCCAAATCCAATGGTTTTATGGCCTTACCAATGGTCTGGTTGTATTGGACCACCTGGTCAAACAAGGGAGGGAGAGGAGGAGTTCCAATCTGGAATAGATGTGTCCCAGGCAGCATGTGATAAGTGTAGCTGTAGCAAAGACAATGAACAAAGGATAAATGTACCGAAGGAAATGGGACAGCAATGTACAAGGGCAACATAAGAGGATAGACCTTTTCCAAATCAGAAACATGAAAATGGACCAGCTGCCCGGTATGGACCATCCACCAGGGCTTTACTGAAGTTAGCAGCGGCATGTGGTGGTCAACAGATTGGTGACGGAAGTGGATGGAAAGTGGTAACATCAGGTGTTGAGGAAGTGCAAAGAGGACGAGTAGGAGGAGGGTGGAGGTGATGAAGAAGTGGACTAAGATAGGGATCCAAAAATGGCCATCTGGTGAAAAGATAAAAAACAGGAGAGGGCTCATGGTGGAGCCAAGTAAAGGAAGGGGAGTAAGGGAAATGACAAAAGTAAGAGTGCAATGTGTAGCCAGTGGCAACACGGAAAATTGCCAACATGCCAAAATAGGGAAAGTACCAAATGGAGACAGAGATGACCATTATTTCCTTCACTGCACCATCCTCTCCACAAAAAAGGATGCCATTAGTAACCTTGATTCAGCAATGGGAATTTTGCCCTGGAGAAGAGTTAGTAGCTCTGTCAATTGATAAAGTGGTTAGAGAGGGGCATAAACATTATCCTGCAGAGTTCTTGAACTCCTTGCAAGTATCTGGCCTTCCTGAAGTGCACCTCAAACTAGAAAGCTGGATGTCTGCTTATGCTCCTCTGCAATATTCATCCCCTAAATAGACTCTGTAATGGAACACACATAATTTTTATAGAGATGAAGAGAAGAGTATTAAAGTGTGGTGTCTTGGGAGGAAAACATGCAGGAAAGATAGCTTTTATTCCACACCTCACTTTAGAACCTTCATCAGAAGAATTGCCCATCAAGCTATCACATTGTCAATTCCCTGTCCGTGTTGCCTTTGCCATGACCATCAACAAGTCTCAAGGGCAATCAGTGACACAGGTTGGGCTGGATTTACGTGTTCCAGTGTTTTCACATGGGCAACTTTACATTGCATTGTCGCACTGCACTTCAGGAGAGAGAATAAAAGTGCTATTTCCACATGGTTCAAATGACAGATGTACCATCAATGTGGTGTATCCCAAAATTCTGACTGGCTTTATCCGTGACTGGCAAGTAGATTTTCCCCCAATTCGCACCTTTTGTATTAAAGTGTTTTGTTCTCAAATCATATGATCATCCTTTGCCATTTCTGGAGTCTTCTTTTTTACCTCTCATCAATTTATCAATGTAATACCACAGAGTTTTTATGTTACAATATATTCTTGATGTTTGTAAATATTCAGTAAATCATCTGCTTGAATTCAGTATACTGTGCACAAGTTTAGGGCAGGCTTATAAGGACATTCAACGACAGAACAGCAAACATGCATCATAGGATTCAAAGACCTAACATACATTACAGATAGCATAAGTTCACTGACTTAACATTTTGATTACTTAACAGTATTATTATTATCATTTATTATACATTGCACCAGTGGCAAAGCCACGGGCTGGACCTTGTAAGTTATATTTTACACATCAACACCATACTGATCTACATACAATAGATCTACATACAAATATATACAGATTGTATGACTTAGGAAGTGTGTATAACTTACATTACAGGTCATGAATAATGTTATCATGATTCTATAAGGTGTTACGATACACAATTTTTGGACCTTTAATTTTCATTCTCCTCTTTAACCTTTTTCTGTAGTTTTCACACACTGTGCCATGCGGCACTTTCCCTTTTGTTCAAACTCCTCTTTCTTGCGCTGCGCTGCCTTCCTTCTTATTTTAGCTACAAGTATCTCACGCAGTGGGGCTGGTCACACAGGCTGTGCCCATGACATCATCAGCCACTGCCTTCATCAACTGTATCGTACATATGTACAAACAAACCTGTAGTAGTATATATACCCCAATAGATCAAGGAGACTCCTCAGCGAGTCCACCTGTTGTATCCTCACAACTAACTTGTTGAAGCCTAAAGGGTAACCACTCCCTCATCATCCTCTCTATAGCTTGTCTGAGTTGTGCGCCAGAGTAACAAACTCTTGGTCATTACATAAGGTCTACTACAAAAACTACAAATATAGAGCTTTGAGTCTATTGTACATTATACTCTATCTCTCTCTCTCTCTCTCTCTTGCTATACTTACTATAGTCTTATGCTACTTGGTTGAATCTGGTTGACTGTGGCATTGATGCAACATTGATAGGTGCAGAATCAAGGCTAACAGAAGTACTGTACCATTTTGACTGTAGGTTCACAGTGTGTGACATGTGATGACTGTGAACACTATAAGTCAATGTGCAAACTTAAGTGTAATATGTGATGCATGCAAAATATCATTCACAATGTTTCAGTTCACTGAATAAGACCCCTCACAATTGTATAAGCCCTGCATATGACAAGATGGTCTACTGCAAAAAAAATTACATAATATATTAAAAATCATCACAGATATGCCAGTAGTTATTGTGGTTTGTGACCTGTGATGAAACACCAATTATACGATTCAGTTTTTTTTGTGACCCGTGACTGAACCTATGGTCAAAATGGTACAGTAGTTGTGGTGAGTGAGAAAGTGTCACTGAAAGTTTTGCAGTACTATCATTGGACAGCTACTGCATCTGGTACTAGATATGCTCCTGGGCATCCACAGGCTCAATGATCTTTCCACAAGTAGCCAAAAGTCTGCCAGAGTGAGAATATAATATAATGAATATATCAGCGAAAAAATTTTGTGAGTATCCCATTTGTAGCGACCAGGACAGACCTGACACCAAGCTCACTACCTCCAAAAGTGCAAAATTTGGCCAGATCCCATGCTGAGATACTGTGATTTCTTTATAGAAATTGTCAATGAGTAAATGCCTACAATGCCAGGTACTTACCAGTATGAACAATACTTTGAAGTGTCTGCAGATCAGTGAACAATGCTGAAGCCATGACTTGAAGCTTGATGACTGGAATGGGCAATCACACACCAAGTGATTAATAAAAGCCCACTAGCTCTGCTTTGGCAAGTGCCCACCAGCAGTGTCAGAACAATGAAATGGTTGGGCCACTTGGCTTGCTGGCAAGCTCCACTTGATCCAGTCTCTGGTGCCAGTTGTGACTAGGTGTGACACATGGTTGCAACAGTATTCCAAAACATACATCATCATTTTGGTTTTGTTCTGCTGCAACAACGCATTCATTTCACGCTTTTATTTCTACATAGGGTTCTAGATAACTAAAATTTGAAGAACCTGGCAAAGTTCCAAAGGCTCTAGCTTTACTGACTGATGAGTTTTTCAGCTTCTAGAAAAAATGGATGCAACAGTTGTCCAACAATAGCACCAAATGTTGTTTGGGTTTGTTGGTAACTAAATCAAAATATTTGACAAGTCTGAATTCTCTAGCTATAGGCTCAGAGGAGACTGCCTTATTGCTAACTGAATAATACTATGTGGTTTGTACAAATAACTTGATAAAACATGCAATAACGAGGTTCGGTTATTGCGTTGACAGTTAAGTGTTAGCTTGAGCAAGCCGTGGACCTTGGGGTAAACGCATATCCTTAAAGTATGAGTGAGTGCGTATGCAGTGACCGAGATCTGAAGCCCAAATCAAAGCTATAATGGTGTAAACCGCAAAACTCAGCTATGCCAAGTAGCGCCATATCACCCGTATTATACATATATTTTATCATGAGGATGCAGCGAAAGTATTACCGGAAAATTTTATGTTAGTCGATGGCGGAATGGAACTATACATGTATGATGCTCGCTGAATGAGCGGGGTGCTATAAAATCGGATGGGTATTTTATTCAAAACGGACATGGAGACCACTGGTCACTGGAGGTGATGAGAAGTTTGAAGCTGTCATTTCCTGACTAGAATGTGCTGTCAACCGTTCAAGATCTATGGTTGTCAGACGGTCGGTAGTAGTTTCCAGGGACATTGAGTTTGAGTCCTTATTCGTCCCATGAATGTACCCACTGTCGATGTCACTGCCACCTCGGAAAAGACGATATAGGTATGTGACGATGACGAGTAAATTGCAAACGATAAGGGAGACGGCTCCCTGAACGATTGCCATGATTTTTTAGCCCCGTATCAGTCAGCCAAATCAAGGAACATACCTCTACATCTGCAGTTATGCCCCCAATGAAGGACGACGTTGGGATGAGAAATGCGGTATGAACCACACTAACAACGCTGGTGAGAATACTCGACGAAAAGATAGACAGAATCATTATTCGCTGATTTTGCGGTAACTTGACACGCCACAATAGTCGGAGAGGTAGGGCCACGAGAATTGCGTCGGCCGTCATATCCGCTAGAAACGTCATTGATAATGATTCGAAATTTAGATATGGGGCAACTTACTACATAGTTCTGCGATTGCCACAGGAATAGGGAGCGGACACTGTATGATAATGTCGTTGTGCCACCAAGTATCGCGCGCACAGACGTATATCTTCGCTACAACGATCCCCATCCACATCGCCACAAAGAGAATAGCGGTCGCAGCAGCCGCACGGCGAATACAACGCGTAGGCGGAAGTATCCGAATGATAGAGAAAATAATGCTTAAACGAGTGGACCTGTATATATGACAAGGTCGATTAGTGCAGGCTACGAGCCGAAAAATAAGGAATCTGGCACCAGAGAGAACAAGTATATGAGATGACGCTCATCCAGTATGAAGCTACGTGCGATCTACGGGAGAAAACCACGGAACTGTGGGCTATAGAAGGAGTGGTAAGCAGTTAAATAACTCATACAAGCTATCAGACACGACGTACGTATAAGAGGTGCCGTCAAAGTCCAGATAGTGGTCAAGCAGACTACGTCAAGGCATAATGCCAGCATAGCCCAAAAGTCCTCCCACCAAAATCGTCGCATATGGAGTCGAAACCAGAGCCTGAAAGCTGTGGATAAGACGGCCAAAGCATGCAAGACAGTCACTACAACTATGGTACAGTACACTTGAGTTGGTGGAAAGATGAACGGATGAAACAAACCGGTTACTTTTCAAAGATACTATCGTGCCATCCGCGGGAAAGCCTCTTCCCATGATTTTTGACTGGTTTTGCCGCAACAGCAAGGGATTTAAACTGGGCAGAAAGAATATTAGAACGATTAATGAAGGTCACATACGTGAACGGGGGGTATGCTAACCTTATAACCTGGACAGAAGCCATTTAAGAAAGGGTGGCATAGTGCCAACACCTTGGTTCTTTGACGCGATGAACTCACGATCAAGGGAGTTATTCTTTTCTGGGTATTCATTATTGACACGACTGAGTGGTAAGCTTCCCATATTTTGTGAGAGAAAATCCTGCACCTGATTAGTGACGAACATCCGAAACCTAAACCTCATATCCGCATGCGGTAAGGTCATGTTCCCAGGTTACGACAATCCCTGAAGGTGACAGCTTGGCCTCGAGAGACGGTAACAGCTTGGAACAGCTCATATCGCGAGCCAATTACATTCTGAAAAAATAATGCCCAATGTGTGTGATACGGCTGATCCGATGTATCATAATTGCCGCAATAATTCGCGAGAATTCCAGCGATGTATCTCCTGAGCTATCCCACTTGAAAGGCTCTCGACGTTGTGAATCCATCCATTAATGATTGAATTAGCATTGACATATGATCTCCACGGGTGATATTCGGCGTTTCGCTGTCGCGATAATTGATAATCCAAGGTAGAGACAGGCTTTGCCGGTGTGACTTCTGGCAAGTGAAATGCCCCAAATGAATCTGCCAGTGTACACCGTGCTGTGGAATACGGGCACGCTCGCAACAACCGTCGATGGCAAGTGACTGAGGCTTTACTCAATATCGCCATGAGACCATTCAGCCATTGCTAGATGCGGAGGCCATAGCCGGTGTTTCAAAGGAGAATGCACCAAGCGCGCCACCGAGCGCGCCTCCGAGTTCTTTGACCACCATGTCCAGTCCTCCCGCGCCCTCGCTTCAAGCACCCAAGCCTGAACGTCCTGCAGGTGGAGCTCGCCTGCCGTCGCTGAACCAATTGGCTGCCCGTATCAACCTTAATTCTAATGGTGTAACAGCTTCGCCTTCTTCTGCCAACCGTCCCCGCTTGGCCGCCTCTCTTCTTCGTACGGGCTCTACGACCTCTCTGGCTACGACGGCTTCCACCAATGATTCCATCGCCGTAAACATATCAACCACTCGGTCTACTTCGCCCGCTGCCATTTCCACGCCGCCCAAGTCGGGCACTCCATCCATCCCTGAAGAAGGCCCTCTAAACATGGAGCCTTTGACAACAGAGAGACTCAAGGAGTTAAATCAGGAGAATCCTCCAGCCGAGAGAAAGGTCAAAGTGGGGTACAAGAATATCCCTACCCTCGATGCTATCACCGCCCGTCTCGCAAAGGCTAGATCGTTGAGCATTGATGGGTCTGCTAAACCACCCGAAGCTGAGATGATCGAAGATCCCAAAACTCCTGGTGTGCCGATGAAGGTACCTGAACACCCATTGCAGTATCTTTGGTCTGTGGTCATGGTTTCACAAAACCCCTAATAATATTACACTGTATGCTCATATGATACCGCCCGATTTAGGACGATTTACCATGATACGAAGAACAAGGTCCCTTTCACACCTGCGGTTGTCAAAACGGAAAGTGTTGACAGCGCTTACGCTGCACAAATCCCCGAATCTGGCGATTATGAAGCTGGTCTGACCGTCATCGGCGAGTTCGATACCGTAGAATCTTTCTGTCGATACTTCAACTGGTTGAAACCTCCTTCCAAACTTGAGCGTAACTCCAATTACCACCTGTTCAAATCGGGCATCAAGCCAATGTGGGAGGATGAGGCTAATGCGAACGGCGGCAAATGGGTTTTAACAATGAAGAACAATCCTGCGTTGTTGGATCGGTGCTGGAGCTGGCTCGCTATGGCCCTTGTGGGAGAGGAGTTGGAGGAGGGAGACGAGATATGCGGTGCCGTGGTTAGCTTAAGGAGCAAGGTGGATAGGATACAAGTGTGGACAAGGAACAAAGACGACGTGGAAAGACTAAATGCGATAGGAAAGAGGTTTGTTAAGCTATTGGACATTTCCGAGGCAGACAATATTGGTCTGGAGTTTCAGGTGAGTCTATGTCATGGTTTATGATTTTGTTGCTCAAATCATTTGTTGCGTTGCATTATAGTACAATACAGATGATCGCCCACTTCCGAATAAATTCCTGTCCATCCAGTCCATGCCTACGACTTCCTTCAGATCCACGTTCGGCTCTGGACATGGCCACACGAAGTCCTTTGGAAACAACACCAGCCCCACAGCAACAACTGTCGAAACGCCGCCAAGCACGGCTGGAGGCGCCTTTGGAAGCTTTGGTATTGGCATAGGGGGTGGTAGTGGTTGGCGAGGAAGCAAACGTGGCTAAATGGGTGATGTGCAGTGAGGTTGTTTGTTTCGCGAATAGTCTAGACATTCAGTGCACCGCGGGCACCTCGAGTGATGTGTACGAAGTACAGAAGTATGGTGCGTATGCGCCGGAGGTGTCGTCTTTCTGTCTTTTGTGTCCCCCTTCAAATTAGTTGTCAACGTAGCTCCCTTCCCAGAGTAGTCGTAACATGAGTCCAGTACACACGTAGTGATATTCAGTTTTTACTACTAGGGCAACGGTAATGCAGCCTTTTGTATCTACGAGTCCAAGACTCGTCTAAAGGGGAATGGAGCAGACGTGTCAAGGGACTACCTCTATCGAACCTATAGCTAAAACACGAGTGCGAATGAATGTACCAGAGAACTTGGACTCAGCCGATGCCCAATTGGTGAGGTCATACAATCTGACTTTGTTACACTATTCCTTGACATTATTGTTGGTAACGTACTGCCTCTACGGATTGCATTGGATTTGAAACACAAAGATAAGTAGAACAAATTGGAACGATATCGAATCGAGTCCGTCGACGCGTACACGATGCCGATATCGTGCGAAAAGCATCCGTATTAGGTTAATCGGAGCTGAGCCAAGTACCCACGCCGCAGCAATTGGGGTTAGGTGGGAACGTATCAACCCCCAAACACATTTCACTCCATCCACTCACAACAAAGAAACACCATCCCCCTTTGAATCTCTTATCGTCCTCGTCGTTCAGCACAGCGAGCAAACACACCATGCTTGTCGACAACGCCGTCCATCAGCCCTTTTCTTTTAACAATCCCAATTTCGATGATTTTTTCAACATGGATCTTTTGGGTGGCTCGTCTCAGAATGCTGCCTCAACATCATCGTCTCCCCGTTCCCCTCTAAGTGCTTTCAGCACACTCCCCCTTACACCTCCTCAGAGCATGCTCCCCCCCTCTTCGCTTGCAGTAAACTCGTCAGATCCTGATTCGCTTTTTAATTTGTTCCTCGAGGACGAATATTCCAAGATGGACCCGCTTGCCCCCTCTGCAATCAACCCATCAGTCTCTCCATACGACTTTTTTGGTGCCTTTGGAGGACTCCCTGCTGCCTCGATTACTTCTGGTAGCAGTCCTGAGTCTTCTTCTTCTGGTACTTCCCCACAGGCCATGCTAGGAATAGACCCCCAACTGGTTGGGACCCCAGCCACTTCGAAGACACTCAGTGATTTTGATGAAGACGAGGAGCACCTTGGGGATATCGATGAAGAAGATGAAGATGAAAAAGAGAACGATGACTTTCCTGCTGTCAAAGCTGGTGGTCGAGGCAAAGGAAGGAAAGGCACCGTCCAATCCGGCGGTATTGTTAAGAAGACCGGTAGCAACGAAGATAAAGCAGGGAAGAAAGAACTCCCTCAGAAGATACTGGAACCTGAAGACTGGAGGCCGTCTCCAGAGGAATACAAGAAAATGTCAAGTAAAGAAAAGAGACAGCTCCGAAACAAGATTAGTGCTAGAAATTTCAGAGTCAGGCGAAAGGGTATGTATATAGTTCAAAACATAAAGATCGAGCTGAATGAGTTTGCAATAAATTATAGAGTATATCTCAACGCTTGAGGGCGATATTGCTGAGAGGGACAGCCTTATCGACGCCATTCGCACAGAGCTCGGATCCAGCAAGTCTGAGAACATAGCTTTGAGACAAGAAATCACCGCGTTGAAAAGAGCCCTGCTCGATGGTCGTGGCCTATCAGAAACACCTGTTTTACCTCCTCCTGCTCCTCTGCCAGCGGTCTCGGCTGCAATCACTCACCAGGAGAAGCAGGCTCAGCAGTCGTCGCCTCTCATTACCGCAAATACTCAGAAAGATCTTCCCACATCACCTCGTCTGGGCGCTCGTGCATTTTGGGGTGGTATGGGAGCTGGTCTTGGTGGCGGCGGCGTTACGCCGGTGCATACCACGTTTGTGCCCCCTCTCACAGTATCTAGTGTTTTGGCTGGCAAGGCTGGCGCTCCCAAGAAACCCTCAGTTTTGCAGGAAAATATTAACCCTGCGATGAATCCCAGTGGCAACTTGGGCCAGAATGGAATTGAGAAGAAGGGTGGATTGGGTGTTGGCGCTCCTGCAGGTGGTTTCGACTCCTTTACGGAGATGAATCCATTCACGCTGAAAACTCTTGATGCGTATGTTACTTTCTAATGCTTTCACATGTGCCTAAATTAAACTACTTTCTGTAGTTACAGGATGCAGCTTTGGGGAAAGATGGCAGCCCAACAACACGCCCAACAACATTACCAGCAACACCCGACGACGCCACCTCACTCGCCACCTCTCACTGGTCTCGCGAGTGGTCTTCGTCCACATTATTTCACCTCATCCAAGGGTCAATCCACGATCTTGTCTGGCAAGAATGCTTACCCTACACCACCCAACTCGCCTCCACTTTCCAGCAGATCCTTGCCGTATTCCTCGTCTGCATCTGCGGCTACAAAAGAGCAGCAGCAGCATGCTATATACGCTGCCATTGCAAGTCAGACGTTGCTCGGTCGATTGGGTTCCGCTTTCTGGGATGCCTTCTCTGGTTCGACTGGTCCAAGCAATAATGGTGGACGTGTAACTCCCTCGTGGGATGCCGAGAAGGTCCGCAAAGTGCTAGAAGGCAAAGCCGTGGTTAAGGTCGTAGATGTTGATGGCTCTGCGCTGGCGCCAAAGGTGCCCGTCGCGACTCCTCGCCCTATATCACGATCGACTTCACCGATTTGTCCTAGAGCGAGGTGTACAGAGACGCTGACGGATATCCTGGAGGAAAGCATGAGAAGCTTAACGTTGAACAAGAAGTAAGGGGCTACTAAATGCTCATGTGGATTGAACTAGTGTACGTGTATGTTTTATTGTGTTGATGCTGGACTTGGGTCTGATTATTGTGGGATACAGTACTGGTGGAAATGTAAATAACTCTCTTTTCTTTCTTTTTACTGTCTTAAGCTCCCCTATTCTTTGCTCACTGTTGTGACGGCTGAGCGCTCACACTCTCATTCATTCAGTATAATTCTTCTCTTTGTTTTTCAATGGTTTCGAGTCGATTTGGGAGTGGCTTTTTGCCTTGTTGCACACCTCCACTCTTAAAATCGACGTCTGTGATAGAATGAATACATATAATAAACCTCCTCTCAGCTTGTCCATATCGCTTCCCTTCGTTTATGCGTACTTTACCAAGCATTTCTCCTGCTAGTCTTCGAGCCCATTCCTTGATGAAATTTCTACTATACAAGTATGTCTTCCTATTTATTGATTATATCGTTGCGCGTTCCCTTAGTTATACTTGCTTTTTTGTCGAAACTTTCTCGTGTACTGATATACATATAGCCGCTTGGGTTTGCGATAGTTTGTTGTTTATAAATAGTCGATACGTAATGTATTCGTGAAATAGAACATTTCTACTACTTACGCTCAACGCTCAACTGCAAAGGAGAAACGCGCGTGACGCGTCACAATATTGGTCTTTCACATGATGTGACTGTCACGTGATCGCGTTAATCTCGTTGATTTACGCGTTGTAGACTAGTATAAATAGTCCCGCTCGACGTATCTTTTTTTTTCGTTTTCCCCTCCTCTCATTATTCGTGGCCACCATGCCAGGCAAGCGCCCTCTTGAGATCCTCGACACCCCAGAATCCTCTACGCCTCCTCGAGGCCCAAAACGCCGTCAGCTCACAGGATCACTGCCTCCATCGTCGCCGTTTCCATCATCGTCTTCTATCTTTGCAACTCCACGCACACCCTACACATGGATTGTACCTTCCGATTCACCAACAAACCCCTTTGGACGCATCCGCCATCTGACTCAGAGTACTACTCTCCCACGACCTACGTCTTTCTCGAAACATCTTCCACTCCGCTTCCAGGTCGTCCGCGAGGGGGGAGCAACTACAAACGGGAGAGACATTCACAGAGATGGAATGTATCGCGTTGTGCAGGTGCCACTAAGCTACTCGATTGCGCATTTACGCCGGGTGCTTTTTTACGTCTTTGCCCCGCTGGCTGAGAACGAAGGAATAGGTCCGGAATCTCGTCGACGTTCTCTGAGACGGACAAGCGCCAGAGTGCCTATAATTGTGCCCACAGCGCGACAGAAGGGACAGGAGCCCTCTAAGCGTGATTCAGGTCATCTCTTCGAGGTGCAGAAGGATATCACAATGTCCGGAGGTGGATATAAGAGCGGTGAGATAAGGAGTGGAAGGACATGGGCTAAGCTCTCAAGCGTGCGGGATCCATACCATTATCCTAATAACGATAGCCATTCAAGTGGAGATGATTTAGAGGAAGAGAATGATTGGCGTTGGGAGGCCGAGGCGGATTTTACATTGACCCACGTTTGGCCGAAAGGTGGTGATCTTGCCAGAGGTATTGTCTACGTACGTTCATTTCGCCACATGCATAACCATTATCATTTTACTTATCGCTTCTTCAGCATCACGATGCCTCCACACAAATACATATAACAGTCAACACAAAGAAGATTCCTGGCCGGAAAGGCGTAGGGAACAAACCCTTTGTGTTCCATGCCTATGGTTCGCTCAATCTAGATTTGCCTGATGCACCACTTCATCTCGGTGATGTCGATGTAACACGATTCAATGCATTTGGTGCATTTGAGGAATACTTGAAAGCTCGTAAAGATGTGGACGAAATGCGAAATTCTGATGGAGCTGACCTAGACGACGAAGATGACGACTTGGATATTGATCCTGATATGGTACGTCCAACATGATATGCACTACACTGTGGCCGACTTAAACTCTCCCCATTCAGTCTTGTGCTACACTTCCTATGTATTCTTCATCACCCAATCCCTTCATACCCATTACGCCATTTCCAACAGAACGGTTACACGGTTTACGAGTTGAGCGTACTTCAAACAGAATATTGAAGCTTACAAAGAAGGGTATGCAAGATGCAGGGCTGGATGATGATGATGAAGATGATGAGGATGTTCAAGAGAAAGACGAGCTGATTGATGACGAAGTGCTATTGGAGGGTGATGAAGCATCAGAGAGACCAGAAGATTGGGACCCATTTCGTGACGAGGCAGAGCTATGTCGCTAAAGCAGTTTCACGATGTGATTGGGTTTATGACTTCTTCCGGTTTACACACGCATTATTGGGGACAATGGAAGTACAATGTAAAAGTATACAGCATTTCATATTTCGTATTTGTAGTTGCATGTTAATAGGCATAATACTAACTGGCTGTTGAATGACAAGTGTAGCATTGTATCATTATTGCTATCGTGGGTGTTTTGGCCGTCGAATGCATCTCATAAATGCTAGACTCAACGGACTTGGACAAAAAAGGCTGGAATCTGACTGGCAGAGGTGTGCGAGTACTTATGTGGGATAACATTGTCGTAGGATATCAGAATGAGTACACGTTACGACCGCCATAAAAATCCGGCGTGAAAGCATCACGGTATAACGTTGAGAAGAGACGCATCACCCATTTCGATCTGTTCCAGCCGTTTTTTTTGCTGTAACTTCCGGGTTTCTAATCGCTTTATTGCCATCGCCATCTCTTGCACAGTAGTCGAGCGTTGCAGGAAATCTTCTGTGTGTGAAACATAGAATAATCTATATGTCCTCACGCACACTCTGATCTCAAGAGCGCCTTGGGCAATAACGTCTGGAGGAGCTCTATCCGCTGTGGAAGGCAGATTCCTATGATTTCATCAAAGTCAAGTAGTTCATCATGTCAGAATTGGATTTTATAAAAGAGCTTCACACATACTTTCTTAAAAATGGTCGTTTCATGCGAGAGTGAGACAGGCCTTCCGTATCGCCGCTCTGTAACTTGCTTAGCACTGGTGTTAGGAGGGGTACGTAAAAGACATCATTTACCGAGACAAATGAATCGACATAAGACTGCCAGCGCTCGGTCAGTGCTTCCGAGTCGTCCATGTTGGCAGAATCTTTGCCAATCAACTGAACTGTCACAGTCTTCGAGTCGCAGAGCTAAAAGAGCAACGAATTAACACAGAAAGACAACATGTAGACAGTGAATGCAAAAAATACCCAGTCAATTCGAAATATGTTTTCATCAGGTCCCAACACATTTTCGGTAAAGCGGCGACTATTAAGCTGATCTTGGGTAGATGGCGAAACAAGGGCTCGGTCGCGTTTAAGGAGCTCATATAATTCCTGACTTCTAGAATCTGCGAGTGCGAGCTGGACCTATGAAGTGGAGAAAAGTTCTGACAGTTTCCCTGGTGTGAGAACTAAATGTGGCTTACTTGCTTGATGAATGCACCAATGACTTTGTCGATCGTGAAGAGACGAAAAGCGTCCTGGTAGTCCATGGATGATGAGTTGGATTCCCAGCACTGAAGCAGGACAGACCTTTACGCCGAACATGATGCGCATTTGATCTTCAAACACATGAAGCTCTACCTCGCTATCAAATAATCTTTCGCAGGCATCAAGCATCAAATCGTAGAAATGGAGTTGCATTGAATGCTGGTCTGAGGCATCCTGCATACCCGCAGAAGGGCTAGGCCGTTGGGCAATAGAATTCTCGAGACCCTTGAAAAAGTGCAAACGGTCGTACAAGATCTACGTAGATGGATCAGACGGGTTTGATAAAGGAGTAACAATCCTACTCACCTCAAGTAAACGTAAGAGTACATAGAATATTGTATTACTAAAAAATACGCTCTTCTTTGGTAATTTCTTGAGCATCGCTTCTCGTTGACTGCCATCTGCGCAGTCAACTTGCATCATGTCGGCGATGGCGGGAGATGCGGGCCTCGAAGTAGACGGAGAGGCATCTTGACCGCGGGCCTTTCGACTAGTCGACTTGGCCTGTTCGCTCTTCAGAAGCTTCTTCCTCAAGTCACCGCCATTGCCGGTCTTACGGTTTCCACGACTTGCTGCCCTGGAGCTCCCGCTTGCCACACTAGAGACTTCGGTGTCATCCGCAATGCTAGCAAGATCATCACTCATGTCACTATCTGCCGTTTCTTGAGCTACGGTGAAAGTGCGATTGAATGTCTCAGGGTCCAGCGAAAAGAAAAGGGGGACGAAAGTACGAAGAAAGCCTTCTATCTTCTTACGTTCCGGAAGTGCGATCTGGCCCTGTGTTCGGTCCAAGAAAGAGAATGTCAATTTCAGGACGTCCTGTAGAGTATTGAAATCATCCACTACAAATTCGAGTTGATGTCTTGGTCTCGTGCGTGAAAAAAGAGGATCGATGAAAGACGCTCTTTTGGCCATGTGCTCGTCTCTCGCTGCTTCAATCTGGCTAACAAGTGCTTTTGTCGTGATGGCTTTCTTATCGGATGCCTTGAAAGTGATCGCTTGGTGGTCAAGGCTTTTGTGGTAGTTCCTAGCGTCAACCTCTCGCCACACCTTGTTCCATTCCCGTTGTGCTCTCTTCCATTCCTCCTCTTTTTGTTTTAACCGCATCAAGACTACAGGAATAGCCACCGCAGGCGAATCCTGCATGCTTTGGATAACTTCTGCGCCAGCTTCTCTGCCATATATCTTCTTGATAACCCTCTGATGAATGCTCTTCCCCGAACCGCCAAGATTTGGTTTTAACTTAAAGTTAGGACGATCTTCAGGGCTCAATGTCGCAATTTTGTTGTTTATAGGCTCCAACATACTGATGGTCCGAACAATTGCTTCAATGTGGAAATCGTATTCGTGGCGCTCCTCTTCACTGCGATGGAGAGCTTCTTCATAAATATTTTTCTTGTGTGCGATAAAACCGGAGTCCTCGCTCGTCCACGTCGGATGAGAGACCCAATAGTCGTTAAGTACCGACTTGCACATTTCATCACGACCTGTACAAGAAACATTGGCTTCCTGTATAAACACCTGTGATGAGTGAGGTGTGCAAGAAAAGATGGACACTAACATGATCGGGCAGCTTTCTGTAAAGCCCCACCTGAAGGCTTGTATGCACCCTTCCAGGCCTGAGCGGTGCACTGATGCTCCTGGTTGGAGGGCGAAGGTACCCTTGCTGATGTTGCTGCTCCTCAAGCAACCACCTCTCACGTTCCCTCCTATCATCCCACCCTACAATCTCCCTGAATTGCCTCATCAGCTCTCCTTCCCCCAAGAAGGATCGACTTTCCCTGACCAGCCTCGCAGTGTCAATGTATCCCTGTGTGAAAAGGTTGATAAGTTTCAAGAATTCATTGAACGTCTCGCGATTATCCAATGCCCGTTTCACCCGGTCAAAGAAATGCGCCTCGTCATTTGTCGGCTCAGGAGTCGGTATACGGGTATGCTGTTGCGAGAACGATGGCTGCGATGGACGTCTGGGAGAAGGGGCAGCGAGATACTTTGAAGATGAGGCAAAATCAACACTAGCTACGCCATTTGCATTCTAGTATTTGATAATAAGTATAATAAATATAAACATATTTCACTGTGCAGTACCTTATTAGACGCGCTAGCTCTAGTACCGACATCCCTGTCCTTTTCTCTATCGACCACTTTGCGTTTTCTTTTCTGTGGCAGAGCAGACCCGGTGCCATCAGATGTAGCAGGCACAGGGTCGTATTTTCGTCTGGAACTTCTGGTGTCCAAAGCAGGTGTGTTGGTTCGCGTATGCCTGCCAGGGGGCAGAGCCGAATAACTCTCTTCTATCTCATCGAAAAGCTGTTGACTTTTCTCCGGCATAAAAATTCGAAAATCAGATCGCAAATCAGGGGCATCTTTGAATAGCTTGGCAATTTCAGCCGACACTTCTCTCTAGGATGATTATATTGGTTCAGCATATAAAAGCTTTACAGAGAGATATGACGATGTACCTCGTCGATTGCATCTGACTTGTTATGATAACGACCTAATATTTCTAGAAATTGACGATAGGTTGCTTCATCACAACGCTGTTTGATCTTCTGGACATATTGTACCGCAGGCTCGATGGTAATTCCATCTTGGCCATATATGTTTGAATCCGGAGACCCAGGAGGCTGAGGGGGAAACAGACTATGCGAGAATGGTTGAGAATTTGATCCACCTATTTCGGAGGATGAAAATGCCGATGGTTCTGAAGGATGTACCACACTTGAGGGAAGGCTCGGAAAAGTTGACCATAGGAGGTTGCCCTTACCAGGACCGTCGTTAGTTGATTGCATCATTGTGCCAGAGGGCGTGGTAACAGTAATGTAATTGGCATCCTGTGGGTCAGTGGAGCACTCAATACGGTACCCAACAGGAAGAAAAGTGTTGAAGCCCTGTATGAGCGCTGGGTGACCGTTGAAAAGATATGATACTCGTTTGATGACGCCGGGAGTATCGATCCTAGTATTTGGATAAACAAACAAGATCGGGAATATAACCGAAATGCACTTACAGTTCGCTCTTGAAATCTTTCATAATGTCAAGAAAGTGGTTGTAAACGTCGGGCTGGTCGTGGAATTGCATTTTGACAGCATCAAGATAGCTGAGCGCATCTGTGACATTCAAAGGCCTATCCAAAGGTGTGTTTTGGACTTGCGCCTCTATATAAGACACAGGTGGTAGTCTGGTTGATGAAGACTGTGGTCGAGGAGGGACCATGGGTGGAGGGACAGAAGGATCAATGGCAAGAGGCAAATTTTCAAGCGAATCCAAGCGGGATGAGCCCTCAGGCGCAGGTACAGAAGGTGAAGCTGGTAGTTCTTTTGTAGCAGTGCTGGCAGGGGCATCATTCGTGACTGTAGGGACCGAGGGTTCACCTAAGGGTGCAGCCGCTGAGTCCTGAGACGCCGGTTCTGGAGCCGACGGTGCAGGCGCTTGCTCCTTTACGTCCACAGCGACATCTACGTCGATGTCCTGCGGTGGAACAACAGGCTTTTCTTGCTCGCCGTCCATAATTATTGCTCGAAGCTTTCGACACGGAGAGGTTATACTTTAAAAGCAACCTGACAAGAATGATTCGCTGCGATCAGAGGCTAGGCGTGGGCATTTTGGGAACCGAGTCCGGGATCACGCGGATCTGGACTGTGAATGTGCGACAGTTTATTATGGGGCATATGGTGTAGCTGGTTATCACATCCGCTTAGCATTTGGCTAGGCTGCGGGGGGTCTCCGGTTCGAGTCCGGATTTGTCCACTTTTTGTTTCTTTTTCTTCTTCGCCTTGCCAAGGACCCACGTGTGTTTCTCCCAAGACTTACATACAAGGCCTGTGGCTGTCAGACTGGGCACTCCTTATGCCAGTCCTTTCTCCACAGAACTACTTCTAGTCCTGTGCGTCTGTCTAACGGCTCCACCTGCTCTATTCCTACATAAACCTCATCCTTAATTTTTCTTCGCCTGCGCATTATATATGGCTGAGCGTGCCAACGAGTCTCCCATTCCTGACGACATCGCTCTCGATGAGGATGCACCTGGTCCCCCGATTTCAGTACCAGATACAGGTGATGCTGAGGAGGGCGAGGGCGGGAAGCTCAAGATGATTATGCAGCTCCTCAAAAAGTCTTTGGGGGTAAAGGATATCGCTGCAATGTTCGTCTTTACTGCTTCTTCTTTATCCCATGACTGACGTATACCATACATGTGTCTTAGGCGCCTTTCTCTACCTGCTTCATTACTTGAGCCGTTACCTAACTTAGAGTATTGGCATTATTTGGATAGGCCCGACCTCTTTGCTGCGTTGAGTACCATGCTTAGCGCACAGATATCTTGGGAATGCTGACCGTAGCGTCCTTCATTCTTTCACAGAATCAACGACTCCGATGATGCGTTTGAACGGATGCTCGCTGTGGTTCGATTTACTTTTACGAAGGATCTTAAGTTTGTCGTCAGTATTATTAAAAGGTTTTCGTCCCAAGGGTTATTCCATGTCGTCTGATACCTGTTTCTTCATAGCATGGCAAGGTCTGTAAACCGTACAATTCGGTATTGGGCGAGCACTTCCGTTCCCATTGGGATATTCCACCAGTGCAATACTCCTCTGACCCATCCCAACCACCTATTATGCGTATCCACTCTACCAGTAACGTTTCCGTTGCTAAATCTACCAACACCATGCCGTCAGAAACTGCAAGTGTCAAGAGCGTCCGCAGCGGCAGGAGTTCTAAGAGCACGCGTAGCGGTCTCAGCCTCGTTTCCAAGGGCAAGCAGAGTCCATCTACTGCAGCTACCTCACCGCAGCAGATGTCAGATCCAACGCTAGAAGGACACATGTCCAACCTTAGCCTTGGTGATCGTGCTAGTGCAGGTTCCGGCGCACGTGGTGCCGAAGCAGCTCACATCCGAGTGGTCTATCTCACAGAACAGGTTTCTCATCACCCTCCTGTGTCTGCCTACTATGGCTCCTGCCCATCGCGGTCGGTGGAGATGATGGGGATCGACCAGATTTCAGCCAAAGTATCTGGGACGACACTTCGTGTAGCACCGGGATCCTTCAACAAGGGAATATATGTAAGGATTACTGGAGGAGCTGGGGAAGGCGAGACATATCATATCACTCACCCCGTCGCTTCCGTGAATGGTATCTTGAGGGGTAGCTTTTATATCACAGTGGGGGATTCTACGATCATTACTTGCACCGGTAATAAGGGTGGGCCGAGTCTGAGAGCTATTATCGAATATAAGGAAGAGGTGCGCCATTAGATATCATCTAGGACGATCTTGCTAATCACTATCGCTAGTCCTGGTTGGGACGGGCTCACTTCTTGATAGAAGGTGTAATCCACACCTATGACGAGAACGAGACGCTACACGAGGGATGGACCAAGGCTAAACATGTCCCGCAGTCTCGTATCCTTGCCGTCTTTGATGGATGTTGGCGCAATCGCGTCCGCTGGCGGCGCACGGCGACGTCGACATCCGAAGTAGATGTAACGTCTCCTGTAGACTCCGAGTACGCAACGCTTGTGGATCTCTCGACCATCCAAATGGTACCGAAGGAGGTCCGACCATTGGAGAAACAGCTCTCTAACGAGAGTCGCAAGCTGTGGGACAGTGTAACGACTCGACTGTTAAATAAAGAATACGGTGAAGCGACGAAGCACAAGCTTGCAATTGAACAGAAACAACGCGATGAAGCTGCCGAGAGGAAGAGGAAGGGAGCACAGTGAGCTTTTTCCCCTTGTGCTAATGCTGTAGGCTATCAGGCTGATTGCTGATGGGTGTGATGTAGATTTATACCCCGCTACTTTGAGAATGATATCAGCTCCGGTGTACCCATTCTTACAGAGGAGGGTCTCAAAGCTATAGCAGAAGAATTGGCGGAAGAATCAGTATTATGTTTGAAAGGCTCCGCCGTAGAGGCAGACTCATAATATGGACACCAGTGGACAGTTTTCCTCTTCACCCGTATACGAAATGAGTACTATCCTCTTTTTGAATCGATTTTTTGCTGTTATGCCTTCCTCAAATATTTGTTTCTGTTACTATCTCTGATGATTATGTCCCGACGAGTCCTTTTATACCACACGAATCATAAACTTATACAGGCAAGCCTACAGTAGTCCTGAGGTGCAAGATTTCTTTGTGATCTTGATCTAGGTGGTGGCAGTGCTCCTCCATCTATCGGGCATATGGTGTAGCTGGTTATCACATCCGCTTAGCATTTGGCTAGGCTGCGGGGGGTCTCCGGTTCGAGTCCGGATTTGTCCACTTTTTGGTTCCGTTAAGTGATGATTATGCTGGGGGACGAACTAGTATCCTCTTTCATGTTGCTTGCGATCTCATTGTTGGTTGAGGCTTCTCTTTTTTTTTTTTTAATTGATTTAATTGATTTTATATCTGTGATAAGTGAGTGCTATAGAACTCTCATAAAAAATGGTTCTTCCAACTCGCCCCAGCATGCCCTATTACGGTGCTCCACCACAATCCACTGTGATAGCTGGACAATAGCTATGGTGAGGCCTATATTATCCAACCTAAACTGTAAACTGATGTATATTCCACTTATATCAGGGTGGAACCATTTATATACATAACTGGTCGTCAGAAACGCCTCTGGCGCGTTGACGAAAGCAGCGGCCGCGTTTGGCCCCCCTCTGTGTCAACAATGTCATATTGTGCAAGCCAGCCAGCCAACTCCCCTTTTCGATACGTTAAAAATCTTCTCCGACCCTATGTCAAGCAGGCACAACTCACCAGGTCATCCTGTGTTTGCACGGGTGTAGTCAATCTAAGATGCTGGGCTACGTTACAAAACGCGACCCGGATGTCACGTCTTTTGTCTGTATGTCTCTCCAAGACACGTTGGATATGAACGAAGATCCAGATCCCAAGCGCTCATTATACAGAAACATTACACATCTTGAACTTGACAACCCGTTAGCATAATCCAATGGCATGGGCCCCTAATCTCGCTCTTCTCCCTCGTCAGACTCACTCTCCTTCCGCTTTTCTTCGGATTCCCAGGTCAGACTGGCAATACTTACCACGATGCTTTATATTTGCGATAAGCGGAGGGTGTAAAAGCCTGAAATATGTGTATTATTCGGCGCAGTAGGCTTTGGACAAAATAGTTCGGCAACCCTCCTCCCCATAGAGAATGTTATCAGCGACCCTCGGTTGTGACCTTGCCCCTGAGAGGCTGAGTTTGATACTAGTGCTCGTGGTCCTGGGCTATGTGGTTTTGTTCCGAAGACATTGCTTTGAAACGGCGAGGCCTGCATGTCCATGGTGAACGTGAGTTCGATGGGTCGAGTAACATGTTTTGTGCTAATTATACTCGGCGTACAGCTCAGTGCATCTTGGCATTGTATTTTGCTCCCTGAAGCTCATTGACACTTCCGGTCCATTGGTGTTATGGCCATCATCGGAATCTCTCGACAACTCGACATCAAACCAAAACCTCACAGCTATCCTAGTAGAGCAGTGATAGAGGAAGAATCGTACACAATATCTCCTTTACAATTCGCTTATGCGGCGCATTGCGACAGATGCCCTTCGCATTAATTATAATATTGGCTGTACTTAATACTATATAGCTCAATGTCACCGGACCGCGACTTTTCCACATGCACTCGCTGCCTAGCTGAGACACACGCCACGGTACTACTGTGTTATAATTACTCTATTTCGAAGGCCCTTGTACACAGCACAAAAATGACACGGGCTTCACGCCTTAAGCTTGGACGGTGGGTATGTACCTGAAGGATACTAGCACTCAAGACACCCTCCATAAGGCAAACTTTAGCGCTTCAGACTGAGTTACCTTATCACTTGCTCTCAACGCCTTAGTCTCTGGTGTAGATGTTGCCGATGAACACTCTCCGTTATGTTTATCGCACGTGCTTTGTGAACGTTGTCTTCAGCAGCTTCTTGCTATTGTCCTTCGTTGCTGGCGTAGATGGATCAAGTTGCGATTCCCTGGAGTGAGTAGTCGACTCCCATCTTTGACTAGCTAATTTCCCAAACATTTATTTCATCCCCATCCCCATATATACGTATGATCCAGACCCTCCCAATGTTATAACCAAAACTCGAGCAAAATAAAGACACTGGCTATTGCAGTGGGTGCGTCTTGTTCTCTTCAATATCGCTTGAAACCTTTTCCTGAGGTCATGCCAATCTTTGGCAGCTGTGACTGTTTTCTGCCTTATATTTTTCTTCTGCATGATTCGAATCGTCCGAGGCCGACGCTACCCTCGTCAGCCAGTCCTGTCGACTGGCAGAATCCCACCACACAGACGTGCACAGCGGTTCGGCCGAATCCGCTCACCAATATTCATGCAGTTTCGCAGACAGATGCTAGAGGAGCGCATGGGACCTACAAGGGCTCCGGCTCCATCAAATGAGTCGAATTACCCGCCTCCTCTGTATCTACGCCAACCAGAACGACCATATCATGACGCCCGACTGTGGCAAATGAGGCCAGAATCGCAAGTTTCGCAGTCTGCCTCCATAGCACCGCTGATGCCTGTACCAGTAGTCGTAGCTTCGCATCGATCGTCGCTGTCGACATCTAGCCAGCATCATCTCCCGACTTCTCCCCAACAGCGTCCAGTTAGTACGATGCTATCTTCGAGAGCAGAGGAGCATACACAGAACAGCGCAGCGGTGATCGCCCCTTCTAGCTCACCGCCCGTACACCCACCGCCTCGATCAGCCTCAGCGATACCCGCATATAGGGAAAGACAACATACTGGGCCCAGCGTTGCTGGGACAGATCCTGCCAATGACCCGCCACCTGCATATTCCCCCGCATAACTTCTACAAGTCCAATGTATACCAGATCTGATATCCTTTTGTATCACATTATTTAACTGAGATTCTCAGCTTGAACAGGCTTAAGGTTGAGCCACGTTACAACTTTGACAATTTCTGTAAAACATTTCCCTGACGTTAGAAGGTGGTCCTTGCTTTCTAGCTGGCGTTAGCGCCCTCGCACAGGGTACAAGCTTCAGATTTACCATGGTTTGATAGACTTCAACCAATATACCTTCAGTTACCGCAACATTTTTCCGTGAACAAGACATTCAGTCCCAACGAACACGCATTATTTTCCTCGCTATTCCTGTTCTCTTCTCCCATACTGTTTCCACAGTACCACCTCCCTTTCCCCCACCAACCTTATCCATTGGTGTATCTTCTACAGCTCGCATAAACTCTGCGATGCCACCTCCCACTCCGAAATATACTACCTTTGCTGCTACCAGGCAAATGTATTCAGAACTATCATCGGCTGACGCTGACGCATCTCGAAAGGGATATCTGCAGGCGCCATGCATGAGTCGTACTAAACTCGGGAGGTTTTCCGTTCGATACACCGTTTCGGAAGTGAGGACGATGTTGTACTTTCCAGCTGACTGAAGTAGATCGAATGACTTCCATGAACCAGAGAAGAATCGCAGGTGCACCGCATATGTTCGAAGGGACTCCTGAAATGATGTGATGAGCTCAGGGGTGATGCTGACTTCTGAAGGGCTTTCCGGGTCCAATTCAGGTGCGCGGTAGACACTGCCAGCAGGCGACATGTCTATGTGCAAAATCAGTCAAAAGTACAGTACGAGGTAGAGAAAGCTAAAACGTACACCATATCAGAAAGATATTCGGTAATGTGACTAGTTCAAGGACAGAGCTATTATAGTCTTGGAGGTGTATATGAGTATCTTTTTTAGGGGCGTTGGGCGAGGGATTTGATGAGAATATTTCGTGCAGAATGAACAAAGACGGGACCGCAGTTCCGCAGCCGATCTGGAGTTCTATTATTTGATGATAGAGACCTTTCAATGAATTTATAAATGCATACCTCCAGTACACGGTTTCCCGTGAAGTTATTATCACTCAATCCTACTTTGTAATCTTCCAAGTAGCTGACCAAGTCCAAACTACATTCCCAAGTCTTCAATCCGCCTTCATAAACAAATGGCACAAGATCCGACGGTGCATCTAAGAAGTGCAGAGCCGAACGCTTATGACTGTCGGATGTCCCACTCGCACCACCGACATCTTCAGATATCAGCTGAAATCGGGCATCGAAGAAATCGCGACGTGCGAGTGTCAAACATCGATCCGATGAGAGTGGTATGTGAAGCGGAGAATAAGAGATGAGGGAAGGGAGAGTGTCTAGCTGAACTTGATGCAGAACAACGGTTTCTCAGATTTATCACTTTGAATAATAAAGAAGGCACGAACAAGGGTGGAAAGCTCTATCTCAGTGAAAGGCTCCTCGTCAACACAGTTTTCTGAGATACTTTTCGTATTTTCGCTGGCTTGTTGTGCTTCATTGTTGGTTTCCTCATCAACGTCGAAATTAAATTTGAACATAGCGGTTCATGATATGGAGAAATGCGATAAAGAGATGGCACCCGGTTGGTGGCTGTGTCAATACGGCACCGGCCTTTGTACGTGAAATGGCTGTCTCTCCCCTCGTCCTTTGACAACGGACTCATAAGTAAAGCTCAGATCTCGTGGTTCTCTTTAGCCTATATAGTTATACCGCTCTCCCCTCTATTTGAAGCAAGACTTCAGTAATTGGATATCCATCTCCATACCATGCGAGTCTCGTTTTCCTCCATATTGACATTGGCCTTGGGCTCCACCGTCGTGCCGCAAGTGCTGGCTTGGGGAGCAGCAGGTCCGTACCATTTGCTTCAAATTGTCCTCGCGTCCTAACTTATCTTACTATCTAGGACACGAAATAGTGGCGACAATAGCTCAAATACACCTTCACCCCTCCGTATTACCCACACTCTGCTATATCCTGAACTACAACGGCACATGTCATCTCGCACCCGTAGCTGCATGGGCTGACAAGATCCGATATCTTCCACAATTCAGATGGACGGCACCTTTGCACTACATTGGTGCTGTAGACGACTATCCTAGCGAAACTTGTGCGTTCCCCGGAGAACGTGGTTGGGAGGGCAAGAATGATATCAATGTACTCAACGGTATTAGAAACGTCACTGGTGTCCTGGAAGATTGGGTGGACCTACGCAGGGCCGGTGTTACTACTGCGTCTGACAATGCAGGGGCACAGGAAGCGCTCAAATTCCTTATACATTTCCTGGGGGACATGCACATGCCTTTGCACCTAACAGGGAGAGATCGCGGTGGAAATGGCGACAAGGTTACATTCGACGGTCGAGTGACCAGTAAGGGCTCTTATCTTCATCTCCTAAGATAATACTCATGATTGCCGTTTGTCACGCGCAGATCTTCATTCCGTCTGGGATGGTCTCCTCATTGCGCAGCGCCTCCGAACTATACCTAGCAATTATACGCGTCCCCTTCCTTTGAATAACGTGGAACGTCATCTCCGCGGTACAATCTATGACCCATACGTCCGTCGTCTCATATGGGAGGGTGTACTAGGCAAATACCATGATGAGCTGCAGTCATGGCTCACATGTCCGTCTACTGATGCCGCTACACCCGTTACACAGTCGATGTGGCAGCAAGTCGTATCCTTATTTATTGGCCAACAATCAAAGGATGGAGGATTGGGTACGGATGATGAAGTGTTGTGCCCTTACTATTGGGCTAAACCTATCCATGCGTTAAATTGCGAGATTGCATTCCCCAAGGAACTGGACGAGCCTCCTTATAGCCATGCGCTCTCGATCGACGACACTAACCAATTCGATGAATCTGCTTCATGGAGAAAGAAGATCCAGTATCTCGAGCTTGACACTCCCAAATATGCTGGTGTCATCAGAGAAGAGTGGATTGTAGAGAAGCTGCTTATCCAGGGTGGTATCAGGCTTGCTGCAGTTTTGAACTGGCTTTTCATTGACTCAGAAGAGAATACAAAACGAGAGTTGCTCGTGAACTTGCAGTGAATATTTCCCATGATATCAAATCACCATCCTCACTACGTATTTCTTCTTATACCATCCTCGAGCTCTGCCTAGAATGCATTGAATACAATTATGATTTCAAAAGTTGACAACGAAATTGAATTTAGAACCAAGTACTGTATTATACACATTCAAGTAGGACGTGAGGCCCATATATAACACAAAAAAAAGGATCAATTGGGTACCTATGCAATTGAAGTCAGCATAAATTTTTTTCTACAAGCCAGGGCAGATGAGGTCAGAAAAGCCAGTGTTTTCTTGTTCCACGCCACACCATAGCAGTACAACCCACAAGTGCACCCCAAGACGGGATGTACATGTATGCCCTTGTAAAACAAGAGTGGTCGCAGCCACCAAGCAATAGACGAGTAATTCAACGAATGGATGAACTTGTTTTCGTCTCGAAGGGTGGAATGGATTGGGAAAAGGCTTACCATCACATAGACAACCGACGAAGCACAAAAAATTCACTGTGAAAGACTGCATTAGTTGTTGAAGATTGGAAAGGTAAGTGTGAAAAAGAATCAGAATGAGAGTTTTGGTAAAAAGGTTTCCACAAGGAGATTACTCTCTCTTTCGGAAGCAGAACTGAATAGTGTATTCATCACAGAACAAGGGCATATCACTGGCCATATCCTGAATAAGAGAAACTCACCATTAGTATTACATGCCGCTCAGGAGTGAGTAGCCCATGACACTCAATTCTACCACAGTTTTTTCGGATTTTATATCATTTGCCCAACTGTACAGCTGAGTTAAGGCTCCGCCTTTAACGGAGTTTGTAAAACTCCCTTATAAGCACCTCGTCTCCTCTTTAAGTATTACTCAATGATTATGAATATGGTCGGTGGTTTGGGATGTGTCACTAGTAAGTTTCTGTTGTGCCCTTTTCTTTTCTTGCTATATTCCATTTTGCTATGATGATATCTTTCCATATTTCGAGTCGGTGACGTTTATCAATGATCCATACTCGCAACATGCATCACCAACTGAGCTTCTTTTGCTTTGTTTCACTATTCCAGCCAACCAATATGGGACGCTCACATACATTTATCACTTTTAGGTTTACCTTGATAGGTTTGTTGCCATGGGCAACATCGTCAGTTACTCCAGTTCTTAAATCGTACTTGTTTTTTTTTGCAGTATGATCGGGTTTTTTTTATGTAGTCCCGGTGAGTCTGCATTTCATCCACCATGATCATTGTTTCCATTTCCCTATGATGCTTTTATAACAATTTACAAGCATATGTCCGACCTTTATGAAGGATACATCATGTTCACTGAGGGTTATTCTGGTATTATTTTCGATAATGGTTACTTATACTCTTCTTTTTACAGATGTCTTTAAATCTTATGCGGTTCGTGTAACGATACCTTCCTTGTACACTGTAATTTGGTAGACGTTCATATCAATTTATACACTTGTTTTGGCGAACGAGTCGTTTAATAATCCTATGTAATGAATGCAAACACTACCCTCTGAAATCAAACTCGTTAAAGATATAAAAACTTGGATATAAAGTTCTTTTTCGTTATTTGCGAAATATTTGAACAGCTCTTGGTGACAAGATTATTCCAAGCGTTCCCAGCGCAACCTTGCCACTGAGCGAAGAATATAGAAATAGTGAGGACAGTACAAATCGCGAGACTCGAGAAGACAGACAAAAACACTAAGAATAAAACACATCATCACTCTCCCCTGCAAGTCACCAGTTTATGCAAGCTCAGCTTTGCGAGCCTGCACCGTTCCCGTTGTAGCCTCCTCCGTTGGTCGCATAGTTATGCGCTTCCGAGTCCTTTCCATCAAGGGCTTCCTGAATCATCGATATTGTACTTTCCAGACTCCTTCTCCTGGTACTCGGGCTTGTCATCGTCGTGCCGAGACTGGCCTGTCGTCCGTGTCTAGGCTTGAATGGCGTACGTGGCGGTGATGTCGGCGACATGGGTGACGACGGCGTGAGAGGCGAAACACTGCCTGACGTCGAAGATGAAATTCCCCCACTCGCCAAAGCTGATTCGATACTCGCAGAGAGACCTGCAGGAGAAAGAGGAGGGTCGTTACCATCTGAAGGCGTACCGGGGATAGAGTCTTGAGACTGGGCCTGTGCAAGGTAGGCCTTAGCTTCTTCCGCGTCGAAGAGATCGGGAGGCAGCCGTTCGTTTTCGATATCTGACTTCCGTCTGTAAAGATTTAGTCAGTGGTAGATCAACAGGAGCTACAGACGACATCACATACGCATCCTCAAATCCAGAGATGGCATCTTTGATGCCCTCAGAGCCCAGGGCAAGGGTTCCATAAGGTAATTTGCTTGAGCCAGATACACTCTTAAGCTCTGAGACCTTCTCAGACTCTTCACTATAAGCGAGTTATTAGTTCAGTAAAGTTATATAATATTTACAGATGGATGGAAACAAACCGGAGTAAAGCAAACACTCTGGCCATGCGGCCCACCGCGAGGATCTTGTTCTTGATGACCTTTCGTCGCTCGATAGTGTCCTCTGGTTGAGAAACGGGAGAAACAACCTCTTCTTCAGACTCTTCAAGTTCTTCTTTGGTACATGTATTCAATACAGCGACCAACATATCGGTAACTAAAACAAAGTTTGTCAAGTTTGCCAAAGTGATATCATGGAAATTTGCCACTGACTTTTCTCCCCTACGAAAGGTAAACTCCAAGTAAAGACATCCATGAAATTGGGGAGCCAGTACGGGTGGGGTGTGCAATTGAATTGACGGATGTTCATCACGTTACTCTCATACTTCAAAACTGCAGCCTTGTTGTTGTACACGTCAAGGTAATTCGGAGCAGAGAAGATAGTCATAACGGAAGGGAAACCTGTTGTTTTTGTCTTCCGATACATGCGATAGCTAGTGATGTGATCATCATGAGCAATCAGATTGGGTAAGTTTGAATGGCAAGCGCACCCAGCATCTTGTGCTTCATGCGCACGAATGATAGAAAGTAGGTTGTTCCGCTCGAGAAACTGACATGCAGCTTGATAGCTATCTCGACTTTGAGTATCAAGGGGCAGCAAGATATAGGTATATTACTTACGTGAAGAAGTATGAGCATCCTCTGACGTGATTATGCACAAAATTTTCATTGTTAGTCTCTTGTCCGAAAGGTTCAATAGGGTCAGCCCATAGAATATCACACATTAAACCATGCGTAGGCGGTTCACGGAACCGATCAATCTACCAAATCGATGTTAACACTGATGATGACACTGAAGAAAACAGAAGAAGCGTACCGCGCGAATGTCATCTAGAGTATTGAGCTCAGGGGACAAACCGCCATGTATGCAAAGAAATTGTTTGTTCATGATGGCAGCGAGAGGCAATGCACAGAAAGAATCCATGCATGCGTCATAGATGCGCTCCGAGTACTTGTGTTTGCCTAATATAAAGTTAGCTGAAACCCGAAAGATCCGTTGATAACAGAAATGAAATTCACATTCTAGTTTAAATGTGAAGTAGTCGGTCAAGTGTCTGCACTCGTGATTACCGCGGAGAAGGAAAAGGGTGTCAGGGTACCATATTTTGAGGGACCAGAGATAAAGCACACACTACGAGAACAGTTAGCGAAAGTATTTTAGATCCGAGGGATTCCATACTTCGATGCTGAAATATCCTCGATCAACATAGTCTCCGAGGAAGAGATAACGTGTATCGGCAGGACTCCCACCGACTTCAAAAAGTTTCATCAGGTCATACTGGGAGAGTCAAAGGTATCAACGACGTGGATTGAAAGGTACGAGTGCGAGAAATTCACATATTGGCCGTGGATATCTCCGCAAACTATAATATGAACATAATTGAGAAAAACTGATGTGAACATGATCCTTGTCTGTGGTAATGAGCCCTTACCTGTGATTGGGGCATCGACCTGAAGGACATTAGGCTCAGCACGGAGTAGCTCTGTTCCCCTATCTATAATCCATATCGCCTGCTCCTCGCTAAGACGACCTTCGCGATAAAAGTGATTTTTTAGAAAGGCTATATCAGGTTTGTTTGGATCCTGCCGTGAAAAGAATTGCGCCTCTGTTGGTATACCCATAGCTGGTGCCTGGACCTGTAATTGATCATACGAGCTTTAACAACCTCCTGCACGACATAAAAGAGATATGAAGCGTGGCGTACATCTTTAACGACTCGTTCTTGTGTGCTGATCGTGTTGCCGTCTTCGAGGACGTGTTGGGTGAAATCAATATCTGGCGCAGGCCCCTTATGCTGAATTTGTTCTATAGCCTTGTCGACATGGGCTTGGGCGATGTGCATGATCACTGGGAATCTACGGGGGGATAACGATTGTTGCTGAAGATGAACAGAAGGGCGCTCAGATCTTTAGTGGTGGATGCAGTATAGGTGGGTGGCGGGGTTCCAACGCCACCGTGACACTGACTCTTGAATACACAGCATGCCTTGTCAATAAGACAGTGCAGGGCTGGCTATATTAGCCGTGCATATTATCGATATCGTTGATGTCAGTGAAGTAACCTGCCTAAATATCTGCCCCCCATCTTACGTTGTCGTAAAGCATGTTGGGGAAGAAGCCACCGCACGGGACGTATGATACAAAAGGTACATATGAAAGCACGACTGATTAATCACGACCCAAAATATGCGTGTAATACATGCTTCGCAACATTAAATCCCAATAGCGACACTATATAACTTGTGAAAAGCGGGAGAAGAGGCGCCAGTAAAATCTCAGTTCGGATGAGAAACGGCAGAGCTGTCAAAGGAGCAGTAATTAACATGGGGGTGGTTAAACTTCCTCAAGTAAATGTAATTTTACCATTCAATCCCAGATATATCCCATAAATATACTGGCCAAAGCTGCCAGGGATATATTAGTTGGCGATCCAGAGCACAATAATCAAAACTTGCCCGGCTAGATATAGAGTGTTGCCCACCCAAAGGCAGACCCAGTTATCCTTCAGGACGACAGGCAGCAGAAATAGCTGTGCGAGATAGAGTGTAAGATAAAGAGGGAAAAAAGCATTCGTGTGGACATCAAATGCATAGGCCCACTCGACACCAGAATCCGCAGTAGCCGTATGAGAAGAGGGCGAAAGTAAAACACGATTAGAAAACAGCCTGAAAAATCAGTCATGAACACCATCACAATGAATACACTATTACCTTACCATATTATCGTGGCGACAATTGCACCAACAAAAAGGTAATCTCGTATTATCATCACCAAGGCCAGCTTTATTGCTTCGGGCGGTGAGCTCCTGTATACGACTGACCAGGCAACGGCGGAGACTGCATTTTGGAACTTAATACAAATCCGAAACAGTGCACAGACTGGGACGCACCAAAAAGGCAGGCGAACAGAAGGATGAGAATCGCAGGGTCATCCCTTGCCCAGGTGTTTTTCGTTTCTAGAGGACGAAAGCTTAGCAAAAAAAAATGCAGGTATGTGTAGCATGGAGCTTCACGTTTGTGATAATACACGTTGCGATAACTGTCGTAATATCAATTGACAAAGATGAGGCGTATGGACGTCGGGGATGAGCTCACACTCTCTTCGGGGCTAGACACAGATATGATAGTTGCCAGAAAGCCAGTTCAAAGTCCTAGGTGCAAGTAAACTTAGCCAAACCCAGTGCAAAAGACCAACAAGTGCGTTCAGACCATTTGCTGGAATCTATGCAAACGTCGAAATATAACAGGCACTCTACTCGATACTGACATAGACGTCCCTGGTAAATTATGGCTGGGATAAGCTGGCGAGGTCATAGGAAGAATCGCCATATCAGCACGAGTTTGCGGGCGAAGCGAAAGAGTGGAAGAATAAGACAGTTTGGAAAGATAGACCCGGTGTAAGTGAATTGCAGCAAACGTTGTGTAGCACGTCCCGCCAGGTGTGGTCTCCGAAATGTGCCGCGCCACCGATGTGTTCTGAGTTTGTCATATTGAAGCGGAGTCTTATATTCCATCCAGCGCTACGCATTACCAAATCTCTTTCCGCGTCGCCTCTGTCGAAAGACTTCTTCCTATTGCTATAATCTCTTTGGTATTATCAGGATGGAAGACACAGAGGTTCTCGACTGGGGAAACGAGGAGGACGAGAAAGGCTTTGGAGATGGCGAGTATGTAGGTGCAGATGCAGAAGACGCAGAAGATGCAGTGTCGCTTGGGGGCGACGAGGACGACGAGTTCTATGCTTACCAGGCTAAGAATCCACAGGACGTTTTTCAGGGCGACCAAACGCCCCCAAGGTCTCCTTCTCATATGGAGCAAATGCAGGATGGCAGACAGCGGAATGCGCGAGCCAGGAGCCGTGGCCCCGAGCGTGAAAATTCAGGTTTTGCACGAAAGCAGTCTCCCGACAATGGGAACACTTTCCAGCAGTCTTCTCCGCTCGGGCGCACACAATCCTTTGGAAAGCTCACCCATGCGCTTCCTCCTAAGCCTGTTGTCTCTAATGTTCCGTTCGTCCATCCTTCTCACCCCTCAATCATTGAAGCTACAGCTATGGCTAGTCGTCCGGAGCGAGAAAGAAAATTGAGCGGTAATCTAACAAAGTCTACCTCTCACGACTCGGGAGATCCTCTTCCACCAGGCTGGGAAACGAAATATCCTAGAAATGGCCGTGGCGTCTATTATTACAATGCTCGTACCAATGAGTCAACGTGGACGCGCCCTACAAGTTCAATTCGACCACAACCTGCCAAGGACAAGGGTCGGTCGGAACCCTTAGATCAACGCGCTCTTGTCAACGACAATCTAGACAAAGGTTCTATAACCAAGACCTCTGACCGTGCACCTCGTTTAGGTCGTCCTGAGGCCGAAGGTCAAGTTTTGTCCTCTTCTCTATCTTACGAGGACCGGCATTATCGTCCAGCAGATGCACCATCCCGCCGTGATGACAAGTCCAATGCTCAAGCATTTTCGCATTTAGATGAACCTCAAGTACTGTCTAGAGTTTACCCTGACAAAACGGTATCTCCTGCACCTCGTTACCGAGAAGACAGTCGTGCGCCACAGTCTCGCCGCCCAGTATCTCCTCCAGCTTTTACTGGTGATCGTATTGCGACAAGAAATTTCCAGCGAGACGCACCTCGAGCTGCATCCCCGCAGCGTTTTTCGGACCGTGCCTGGATATCTCCTCGCGAACTTCAATCTGGAGATCGGCCCCAAAATTCCCGTGAACGTCGATTGCGACAGGAAGACGAAATTCCGTCGGGTTTAGCTCGCGAAGAACGCAAGTTTCATTATGACTCTGAGTGGTCGTCGACACTAAGTACGTTGTTCGCATCATCACATCCCCCACCTATCATATACGGTGCTTTCGTTCCTCCCGAGGTGGAGGGCGCAGCATTATGCAGTTGTCTTGGGATACCTTGGGAGTTGAGCTGTACCTCACCGTATCTATTCTTCTTTATTCGACTTCTTCCTCGATCGACTCAAGGACGCTCATCATGGATCCATATGTTCTTTCATATTCTTTTTTTTATATCCCTCCTATTCTCCTCCTCCCATCTCCCCCCCTTTTCCTTTCTACGTTTGTTCTTTAGGACCTAGATCACCAGTCTCGTATACACGGGATAGCCAACCTAACAGTCGCCAAGCAGATCCCGAAAGTCAACATCACCCCCCTTCTACGACAACAGGCTCCTCGGCAATGCAAAGGCACAAAAGTCACTCATTTCGTTGGTTACCTTCGACACGACCTAATCAGCAGGCTCACGAATTTCGGGTTCGAACCGGCTTTGCTCCGGAGAGGAAGCCAAGGGAATCGTATCCTCCGAGTGCAGAGTTGAGTACGGACATCAATATGACGCATAGACGTACAGATGACCGCGAATTCGAGCCTGTTCCAGGTTCTGCAAAACGTCGTATGTCACCGGAAATCGAACCACCTGTGCAGTTAGACAGATCTCTGCATGTTTCCTCTTCATCCCCCCTGGTCGAGACTCAACGTACGTTCTTTCCATCATTTGCATCCTATCTCATGTCAACGCGATGTCCTATCCGCGCACCCACTCTGCATCTATAGGCCAACGAAAGCGCCAACCTTTACCCCCTCAAACAGCTAGTTTCCGTGAGGGATCGAGATTTTATCCCGCTAAGCCAGAACAGGTGTCTTTACCTTCTTCCGGTGTACCCGGCGGCCCCAAGGATAACGGGTTACCTGCAAGACCCAGCAATATCGATACGAGTCTTCCTTCAGGCCCCAGGAGTCATCCTCAGCTTCTACCAGCGAGGGAGACGGTTTCCGCTGATTATGGTCGCCGCGTTGCTCGAAGTCCTCTTACTGCAGCTGGGACCAGAAGCGGAAACAAAAGGAATGATGGTGGTTTTGCTGATGAGAATGCGAGAGATACAGCAATGGATGTTGATGACTTACCTTCTGCAAGGCACTCTTCTTTGAAGTCTATTGACCTCCCCCGTCGACCTACATCCAGCGGTATCGATGCCGAGGGGCATGGTGATGCTTTACCCAGAGGACCAAGGGCAATGGCGAGCAAACCGGGGCCCCAGCTATTTTCAGGACGATCGCCTACCAATCCGCTTTTTGTACAACGTGCAGATAGAACTGATTATGAAGGAAACAGCTTGAAGGACCGCTCACTCCATGCCACTCGCGATGGCGGTTTCGACTCACGTCGTGATGTGTATCAGCCAGACGGTCGTTCGCGCCATGATCCTCGCCCCAGTGACATCCCAGATGCACGCTCCCGCGATTACTTTCGAGCCCGTCCAAGTGTAGGACATTATCAGGTTAGTCGTATCCGTAAATAATCCTTACTCTGGTTGTGATTTGGCTTCTTTAGGATCGGCAAGATTTACCTAGAGAAATCCCACAGCGTCGAGAGGATATTTTACGTCCAATCCATGGGCAGGTTCCAAAAGTCTCGGGCACTAACAGCATACCTATTGGGAGCAGAAAAGGTCAATTTCCCAGCGCCTCTACTGATTCTGTAGCGACACCATTTTCTGCCATTACTGGTGATCGCCGCCAGGAACCACTTATGAATGAAGGTGAACGTGGACGAAACAAGGGAGCACGATATAGTCCTCTTATCAGTAGAGAATCTTATGAACGTCCTGTAAGTCAATATTTCAGTGGCCATGATATCTATCCATTCATGATATCCAATCAGCCCCACTTTGATGTACCTCTCCAGCAATCTGCTCAACAGGTTATTGAGAACGATCAAGGGAAAAATGGCCGAACCGTCTCTCCTGTATGTATATTGTCTGACCAGCATGATTACTAGTATAACTAAGTCATAATATGCAGATATCCATCCGTCGCCCCCTTTCTCCTCCTTTATCGGGCCGTAATACTTCGGCTAATGTAGCTCCTCGTTCGTGGCATGGTGGGAAAGAGGTGCGTTATTATATTCACCTGATGATCTCGTTGGCTTAAGCGCGTGTACCAGTCGCGATTCGGTCCACCCATTGGCCCAGCTGAGTCTACACGCCCATGGGTACCTAGAAGGCAGTCCCCGGATGCTCACCATCCGACCAGTCAATATCGTGACGACTCTCATGGATCTCCTCCGCCTTTATCCAGAGACTCTTCTATGGTCTCCCTTTGGGAGGAACCGCCGTACTCTACAGAACGAGCGCGCTCCGCTGGTCGTCACCCAGAAAGTCCCCGTCAGCGTGTTCCTTTTGATAATACAACTTATCCGACTTCCCGTGAAAGTTACAGTTTGCGTCACAAGAGCAACTACCCGGAGCACGATCGAGACCAGGTCTCCACTCGTCCAATTGCTCGTCGTAATTCCCTCACTTTGGAAGGACGCCTAAGCGACCATCATGAGATGCAAGGATCTCGTGGCCCTCGTGGCATGCCTGTGGCTCATAAATTTAATAGCAACACCGCAGACTCTACTCGAGCGAGTTTCCAAGATGCGAAGGGGGACCATTATGTGGTTAATGATGACCGAGGTGGCATAAACCAGCAATCAGAACGAGAGCCTTTCCTTGCATCCACTGCCGCAAAAATGCATGGAGAGCGTGCGGTCCCAGCTATGGTAGCCCCCTTGCTGCCTCGCCCAGATGATGAACCTGCGCGCACTCTTGGTGCAAGAATGCGATCCCGTCGGACTGAATTAACAGCTGACAACATTCGCTCTGATCATTTTGTTGATGAGGTGCCGCGACCAAGTGAACGGAGTAGTGAATACTTTGGTGATTCCGGAGGAAGGTCACCGAAGTCTAGCTACGATCGCTCAGCTCCCCGTCGCGGAGGCTCTCTTTTGGATCGCCTATCCCTCGACACTGCCAACGCTGCTACAGGTACAACAGCGACACAGTCTCCATCGCTCAGAGAGCGTGTACAGCTACCAATCAAGAGAGATAGGGATGAGATGCTGGCGGATGAGACCACTATGGAAGTTGATGAAGAAGGTGATGAAGGCGCTTTGAAAAGAAGTAGGAGACGGAGTACGAAAGGAAGGAGAGGGAAAAGGGTTACTTAAATCATCGCAATCTTGTCATTTGGCTCTCCTAATTGCAATCGTCACAACTGATGAAGCGTATTATGTTCATCCACTTTGATATCGTATTATGTTTCCGAAATAAAATTACAGTACATTTTATGTGCTCTTTGTATAGCCTACTACACCGATGACTTGTTCTATCTGAGAAGAGGCGGTTACCGCACTCCAGTGATAGAAAGGTCCCATTGCTGCATAACAAAATCCAAATCATCCCTAGGCAACCACCATTCAAGGAACACAAAAAATAGACAATCAACCACCAGAATAATGGTGTAAATAGGACCAGCAAAAGGTCCCAACTCCATAGTCCTGTAAAGTCGAGCAACCAGTTAGTTCAGGTTATTAGAACAGACTAAAGCAGCCTACCGTTGCATTCTACTCCATAGATCGATTTGTTCGGTGGCAAACACAGACTCGTAGACCTTTTCTGTCCGTTCTGCGATGTCATTCCAGTTATAAAAATTCTTTACACGTTCATGAGCCTCCATGGGGCTATGCTTGCCCATCGCGACAATTTCGATCGCCCTTGTCAGGGCAAAGAAAACATCTGGTTCAAATTTCAACAAGCCAGAAACCTGTCGATTGAGAGGGAGAAACAGTACCATCTTCGTCGGGATTAGCCAGCGAGATCATGTCTTCAGGTAGGATTTCGGGGACACCTCCGACGCGCGTGGCCACGACATATAGACCTGCACAGGCGGCCTCGAGTATGGCAATTCCGAAAGATTCCGTCAAAGAGGTGTTTAGGAATATAGACCCACGAACGAGGACCTTTTACACATTCTATCGGTTTGAGGAGTAATAGAATCATGGATTAGGGCAGCTTACATCTCGTACGTCGCTGTGCCGCACAGGACCAAGTAACTCGATGCGGTCTTGCAAGAGATGTCGCTCCCTCATTTGTAGTAGATCAATCAACTTGGGCCCATCTCCACCTACAAAAAGCCCTGGGTGGATAATCGGACATGACCGTAGTAACATATAATACGTACCTACTATAAAGTTAACGTTTGGGAAAGCAGCACAAATTCTCGGTGCAACGGCTACTAGCAGATCGATACCTTTCCTGTATGCAAGTCGAGACAATACCACAATATTGACTAAAATGGAAAGGATAAGCGCGTTCAGATGAAAGCCAAATCAAGATATGACTCTTACTTGTGTCCAAAGGCAGTGGTTCTGTGGCAGGTTTGAATTGATCTGCTACGAGAGCGTTGGGTATGACGTAGACATTTTGTCTGACTGAGAGTGCTGACGGGTCGTATTCAGATTTCTCGAAAAGCTGGCCGCGTAAAACCGTGTTTTCTCGGCTACAGGAAATACGTTGGTGTCAATGGCACAAATTATAAAACTGTGCAGAAACTAACCCCGTGTGGGATACGCATATAACAGCATCAACATTTTTCAATGCCGCAGCCACTAATTTGTTAGTGAGTATACTTGCAGCGTCCGCAAAGCCAAACAGGCTATGGTCTGTGAACACTGTCCGCACTCCCATTAGGTGTGCATGCAATATAGCCTCCTGTCCAAGAGAAGAAAGGCTCGCGTGGGCATGTATGAGGCAGATGTGTTCTCTCAGCAGGATCGTGCGTAGATACGGAAGGAAGGTAAAGTAGTTCGGTAAAGTGGCCGAAGAGGCGATGGTGGGGAACGGGATATAGTAAATTTTTAGGGAGGGTAGTATCCAGCGAATTCCGACGCGGTCTGGGGGGTGACTGTGGGTGATAACTATGACCTAGGAAATTCAGAGAACTGAGTTGTGTATAGTCAAATCTGCATTGACGCACCTTATGACCTCGGCGTATGAGGCTGATGCTAAGCATGTATGTATGGTTCTCAACACCACCTACGTTTGGATGGAAAAAGTCTGAAACCATGCTGCTCAACCACGTCAAATTATGCTACCTAACGCAACCAGTGGACCTACGCAATGGCCGTTGGAGGCATGGTTGCCGTTACATCCATCCTCGCTGAATAACTGATTGGAGCCAAGCTATGTCCGTCAATCGATTTGCAGGCTATTGAATATTGAATATTGAATATTCGAAAGGCTAAATTGAAAGGACTGCTTTACCGCTTCCTGTATCACGGGATCACGGACGCGCGCCAGAGTGAAGCAGTACCGTGACTTGGACTGGGATGAACACTCCAGTTTCAAGTGACTTTTACTAGTAGCGTCTGTCTGTCTGCTCCCTCAAATTGAACTTTGCACATTAACATACAAGTAAATGACCAGTAAAGTTCATTGATATCAAACTGATGATTGATGACTTTTCTGCAACACTTATAACTAGCGCCAAACTCTAGAGGTCCTCTGTTTCGAGGTCACAATTTAAAGGTAGCGCTCGCCCTCACTGGCACCCCAAGTTCCATCAGTAGGTATCTACGCCAGATGCTCGGTTCTCTCATCTGTTGAGTCTTGGAGAGATACTTGAAGTTTGCCAATACCCTTCAAGATCATCTGAGCTCCATGCTCTCAAAACATCCTCCGATATAATCAACATGTCAGCGGATATATACTCACCACTACCTGAACTGAAGTCATTCCGTCTCCTCACCATTCTCCCACCATCATCAAATCCTGAACTAGTGGAGTGTGAGCTGTCCATCCACCTCTTCAAAGACACCCCGTCATACCATGCCTTGTCGTACACCTGGGGCAGCCCCTACCAACGGGGTTGGCAGATAAAACTCGGGACGCACCTTTTCAATGTCCGAGAAAATCTTTACAAAGCCCTCTATAACATACGTCGCAAAAGACAGATCAGTCATCCTTTGGGCTGATGCAATCTGCATCAATCAAGACGACCTTGATGAGCGACGAGATCAAGTGAGCCAGATGCAGTACATCTATAAAGGGGCGCAAGAGGTGCTCATCTGGCTCGGCGAGGGCTCAGACTTATCTGACACAGCGCTGAATTTCGTTTTGGAGCTGCCTCATCTGTTAGAAGACGCCAAGATTGCTGGCGAAGGCAAGAAAGTGTTAAACGATCCTATGCTCCGGGATCGCTGGATGGCTTTGGGGTGGCTTATGATGCGCCCCTGGTGGAGAAGAGTCTGGGTGACACAAGAAGTTGCCTTTGCTAGATGTGCCAGGATTCTTTGTGGATTGCGATCAATTCCATGGTCTGCGATGGAAGGATTGCTCGCAGAACTCAAGCACTCATGGCAGTGGGCTTTGCACACGGACGCGGACCCAGATGTTGCAACGATCATAAGACTCGCATCGACAAGCAGATCTGTTTTCGAAGTCGTCACTAATCCGATCGCCCAGGGACAACCTGTAGATCTCTCTTCGCTGTTGAAAATAACTCATTTTTTCAAGGCCACTGATCCGAGGGATAAGATATTTGCACTGTTGGGTATGACCGACAAAGAAACTCAAGAATGCGTACAGCCTAATAACTTTTTTTCATGGACCTTGAACAATCCAGACCCACGGCTCGGCGACGCTGTACATTCTCGCCCGAATAAGGTGTATGCTGCTGGTGAAGCTGAATTGGCAGGGCTGGTAGCCAACATCAGATTCAACGAATCTGATGAAATGATTGTGGATGGTGTTGAATTAGATTCGATCGCCCAAATGGACTTGATGATGCTCTTCGACCTGGACGAATATTCAAAACAGGGAGACCGCGTTCCCACTCCAAAAATCGTCGAGAAACCTAAAGCAGAGGCAGTCATGGGAAGCGCTGAGCCTTACATAGCTGGGGGGAGTCAACGCAGTGCCTTCTACAGGTCAATTCTTCTGGACTGCAGAGTCCCATATCTCGATGCAGAAAGCGCCACTCCGAAACGACTACTTGAATCGAGAACCGAGCCTGTACACATCCTTCCAAAGTCTGCTGAGGAAGTAGATGCGCTTCTCCATAACATGAGCGAATCTCTGCGCTTGTTGAATGGTAGATGCTTCTTTACGACTACTGCTGGGTACATGAGAATAGGACCACGCACTGCTAGGTGTGGCGACAAAGTCTGCGTACTTCTTGGGAGCGAATTACCGTTTGTTTTGCGAGAGATAGAGAGCAAGTGTTTTAGGATGATTGGAGAGTGGTACGTACGATGCTTATTGCATAGAAATAATATATGTTAATGTTTTGCCTAGTTATTTACACGGGATAATGGACGGCGAGATAATGGAGGAGGTACGCATGGGGCAGAGGGAGCTTCAGAGCATGAACATAAGATAGTGTTTCCTGTTCAAAAAGGGACATGTCAGTTTCGGGCACGTCTCAATATAAGGCTGCGTAACTGCGGATGTCTGGCCTTTACTTTTGGAACGTTTCACTTCTCAGGTAGGATCTTCATCTTGGACTTCCGATCCTTTCCCCCATTTCCTATAATCATCAAGGATTGTCTGGGAGGTGTGTTTGTCTAGCTATGGGCTGCGTATCATCTATATGGGATGTTCAGTGGAATCCGACATGTTTGGGTTACTGGTGTCTGATAAAGACACGGAGCAGTGTATCTACATGTCAACCCAAACTTTGCTGCTTCCTCCGAAATTTCATGTTAATTGTCGATCAATACGGAACGTCATGGGCGTGAATGCGCCTTGTCGGTTCAATGGTCTAATGGTTATGATTTCTGTCTCACATGTGGGATATGCACACAGAAGGTTCTGAGTTCGATCCTCAGTTGAACCACTTTTTTTTTCGATTTAATTACAAGCCATTTACGATCACGAATCCTAGACTTCAGTGTCCGATACAAGAATCAATCGAGAAATATTTAATTCTGCGTCTCGAAATTCGATAGTACAATTTAGCATTTCCTAACTTGTCAGGTAGACTGCAGGTTATTAAAACCACCCTTGAGGGTCTCTACAGCCATTCTCGCGCCCATCTTTAGTTTTCCCTCCGCGATTCCCTCACCCACACCGTCCTCGTTTCCAAATGGGCCATAACCCAGCCCGAGCTTCTCCGCGGTACGCTGGACATTTTCATCATTGCGCCCCCACGATCCTTCCCTCGCATCACGGGACCACCAACGACTTGCCCGTTCACGCAGCTCTGCGCGGCGCATCACACTGCCTCGTACGTATTTTAGTAGATGAGCACGTGTGATGGCCTGTTCAAGGTTCATCAGTGCAGGAGGGAGAAAAGCGAGAGGACCACCAAATGTCGATGAGGAGGGGAGGATGATGGTGATAATGGGGAGAATAAAGAACAGCACGTGTCGACATAGAAATATGATATCATGCCACTGGAGAAAAGCATGAGTTCGAAAGTGAACGATGGGAAATGAGAGTGAAGGAGAACGTACCATGATAGCGCCCCTGCCATCGCGGGGAATCGGTACGGTTGCGCTTGCGATAACGACCATATATGCCTCTACGAGGGCAGCACAGAGTAGGGCGGTGAGTGCGTAGGTGCGCCAACGCTCTTTGCCCATTCCTCGAGTTGTGACAAAAGAAATGACAGCAGCTGAACGGATATAGGCGAGTAATGGGCGAGGCAGGGCGAAGAGGGCATAGTCGGCGGAGGAAGAGCAGTGCTGGCAAGTTTGTATAGCACGCTGACCGAACCTGAGTGCCAGTCAGTATCAGTAGTGGGAACGATGGCTACAAAAGCCAACAATTGAGCCTTAACCAAAACCATCCACAGACCTTGTGTACAGCATCCTTGACTCAGCCGAATTAAGCTTGTTAAGTAGATACTCTATACCTTTTGGCAGTTGAATGGTGGCGGCTCCGGCCGTATCAGTAGCTATGCCAGCTTCCCTAACAAGCAGAAACCGTATACGCTCCACAGAAGTTGTCAGTGGTACGTTGAGTCGATTGAAGAGGTTGGCTGGGGGACAAACGATGGCAGAATGGAGTATAAAGAGACTATGGAGGAGAACGATGGCGCTGAGGAAGGGATGCAGGGATGGGAGAGCAGAGACATTTGCAGATGAGTTACGGCGGGTGATGTAGAGCCATGCTGCGGTTATGGCGATGGAGGTAAATAGGAAAGAGAGAGAAACGAGAGGCATGCTATAGACAGCCCAGTCAGGAAACACGAAACCAGGTCGGATCGGTTATCGGGAAGCGATATTCGCGGTTATCCAAACGGTTGGGCTTTTTAGTCTCCTGCAGTTCCTTCTTTTCATGAACGCTTGTTCCCTTCAGTCAGCGTGTTTTCTGACATTGTTACAATTTACAAAAGGTTTCCATGGTGCAGATACCGTGAATCAGATGAATGCGGTAATACAAATATGTCTAATACTAATAGTAGTGCAGGTATCGGTACCCGAATAGCACAGCGAAAACTATCGGTAGGGAGGGATGGTGCACAATGAAATTGTTAGGACAGCCTGATATTTGCAAATGTTAAGGCAGTCATTAATATCTTCATTCCTTTACGCCAGGTCTTCTAACATGTCTTCTAATACAGCGTCAGAAATGTAGTTTGCCAGTCACAGGTTCGTAAACATGTTTATCACTGTAAATGGTCGTCACCAACTTAGGTGCATTCGTTACGAAGTTGGATCTTTATTATCTGGATGTCGGCTTCATTCTTTCTGATCGTACGTATAAAATATGTTGCTTTGCATATGCGGGTTGACCTAAACATATCGAGATCTAGCGCCCTCCATTTGATCCTGCGGATGGTTTATCAGCGACGGATCAAGAACAGGGAACTGTGCAATACCTCAGTGAGTTCCTGCCTTGGCCGTCGGCCTGACGCTGCGCCAGTCCCGCTCACCTCGGTCCTCACGTTGTCTCCACTGAGGTTGACCGAGGGGTTAGTCTCACGGACGTGCGCCCGTATGTCAGCCTTGTTTCTGTACCACGGTCCACCCGTCAATGCTCCAGAACCGGAATGAATTTCGACAAGTGAACTCACCCTATGGTACTCTCATACATATCCGACATAGTGCCCTCTTTCCCTTCGCCTCCCTCTTCTGGAGGGATAATTTGCTGCAGAATCCCAAGGGAGTGGTGTCAATTTGGTACCGTACTTGATTCTACTTGCTGAGATAGCTCACCGGGTTCGTCCCCCCGCCTGTCTGCCCCATGCGACCAACGCGAACGTCAGCTCCAGGAAAACCTGTGACGCCAGACTCGTTGACACCACTCTCCTCGGAGGTTGCTGTCGAGGTGGGCTGAAACCTGACATGAGATTTGTAGTCAGATTTTTCCCGGAGTGAGGAAGCTTGTTCGCGGATGATATCTTCGTTCGATTTCGACATGCTTAATATTTGGTGTGGATGTGATTCGTAGTGGGAGTTGAAAAGAGTTCGACTTGACCATAGGGGCTAGGCTATTTTATACTTCCGGATTCCAGTCTGACGTTCTGTGTTGCACCTCGTTATCGTCTGTGACGTCAGATTAACTGACCTGTTTTCTCCATCTATTCAAATGCTTGCCCCTATAGCTATAGCTATGTTAAACATAGCTAAGCAAGTTACAGTACAACCTGCAGTGAAAAGAATTAAAGTAATCATTGAGTAGTCCCAAGAATAGAAACAAAGTAGAGCCGGTTATACGTGTAAAAGATAAGGTACAATGTAATGAGAGTGCTTATTAGTAGCAGCTGCGAGAAAAGCAAAAATATTGGCTCAACTGAGGATTGAACTCAGGACCTTCTGTGTGTAAGACAGAAATCATAACCACTAGACCATTGAACCGATGATAAATGATATAGTGTCGTAACCATAGCTGGTTGCTACGTTTTCAGGGTGATGGATTAGGTTTCCTGAACGAAGTGCCAGATGACGAAAAAGCCACTGTATGAGCAGTTCTGTCAATGCACCGTAACAGCCTTTCATTCCCTCAAGGCCCAATCGGTGTACTACGGACAGCGGAACGCATGGGAGGGAGTGCTGAGGCTTGTGGAAGCATCCGCGGGAGCACAAGGGTTGTTAGGCACGTGGACACTCCGCCTTGCTAAATGCATGGTCCCATGCAATTGTTTTGAGGCCTCCCAGGTTACACTCCTCCACCCGCATCTCTGTCTACTCTGGCAGTAAACGTGCCCAGCGAGCAAGCACAATAACACATTTGGCGCTCGTGGGTCCGTTCAGGTTCATTTGTGCCTGCGGAACATAGCCGTAAGCTTTTTGTGCTCTGCCGTACGCTGTGTAATTTTTTGACAGGCGCTCCAAAGGGATAAGATGCGTCAGATAGCCGCTCTTGTTCTTGTCTTCTCCATTGCAAGAGCTATACCAGCTCTCGCAGGCGCACAGGTCAACCAAGCGCGTCAAGGGCCAGGAAGGGTATCTCTCGTTCCCCTAACACCCTCTGTATCCTCAACGGCCATGTCCGTATCACTTCCGGGATCAATTCTCCAAACTTCGCACACGTCCGAGTCTCCTCCTGCTTCGTCTACAGCATCTCCGCCTGCTTCGTCTGTCGCATCCCCTCCTGCTTCGTCTGTAGCATCTCCTGCTTCTTCTGCCACACCCACCATGACCACCCTAACATCAAACTCCCCCTCGCCGACTTCGTCTTCGGCACCGAGTCCTTCGTTTAACACTGTTATGAACATGACGACATGCACCTCTGCCAATATCTCATGGTCATACACTGGACCTTCAGTCGACCTCTCCCTGTCGGCAGTGCGCATGAGCCCTTTGGACCGTCTTGACGCCCTCCCTGCTCAGCCTTATCGCGTTGGATTCTCGCAAAAGAGACAAAATCCAGAGAACGTAGTCGTTTCTTTAACCAACATCAGCGCATCTGCTCAATTCTGGAAATGGGCTGCAGTAGATGTGTCCCAGGGTTTGTATGAAATTCAGGGTAACTTTTCAGGAGGACAAACCACCTTCTCTCGTACTTTTTTCGTTACCAACGGTACTGATACATCATGCATCACAAACTCGACTTCTACAACAGTTTCTACGTCAGGCGTTCCCACCGCATCATCTTCCGCTGGTTCTGCTGCTGTTTCTAAATCAAACACAGGAGCTATTGCGGGAGGTGTCGTTGGTGGAATACTTGGTCTAATTGCCATCGTTGCACTCTTATTATTTCTTCGTTCCCGTCGCCGCCCCAAGAACGGGGGAACAGGAGCGGTGGGGAGATGGGGATCTTTAACTTCCAATGACGTGAAAGTCAAGCCTGCAAGGAGTGCACGCGAGCTCGCAACTGCACACTACCACGGACACTCGGAGTCCATGGGTGGAATACTCCCAAGTGCAGGGAATGGCAACTCGGATCCTCCCTCTCCCGGAGGATCGGAAGCAGACATTGCGTCCCTTCGCGAGAAAATACCCTCTCTCTCTGGCAACTCCCCTCCAAGTATCAATCCATTCGACCTCATCCCTCCACTCTCGTTCAACCCCCGACGTGAGTCGACGTCCTCGTTGAGCAGCGTGGGAGGCATCGCCAAGGATGCGCGTCCCCGGTCTTCTTCTGTCCGTGCTTCGCAAAATAGCTTTGAACAACAAGCGCAGAGGTTGCGTTCGTCTATGGATAAACCTATGTACATGCGCACCGAGCGTTTGTCGATGCCCGTACTACCTGCCTTAAGCTTGCCTCGCACGCCGACCAGTCCCCGACAGTCATATGACCAGAACCCAGCTGAAATGATCCCTATGGGACGCTCAGCCTCAAACAACGGTCCTGGAACGCGTCGCACGCCACGCAAGCCTGTTCCTCAGTACAACCCTCACGAGCTCCAGGATAGTAGCACCAGCATTCTCGACTCACGCACGCCAGAGACGCAGTCCATTGCAACAGGAACCGGGGTATCTTCGCTGTCTCATGGGCCAGAAGTTGAGCCACCTCGTGGTGTTCCTGAACTTTCTCACAAGAGTAGCTTTGGGAACAATCAACCCGTGCATTATCTGATCCCTGATATGCCTCCGCCTAACTTGGAGTAGGCGTTCATTCGCTGATTACACTAGCCTGTGTTATCATCGAATGACTGGGGAGATCCACTGGATTGAATTTCTCCTTTTGTTCACATTTCTCTAGTTTGTATTGCTTTTGTTAGTTGGTGTTTTCTATGGCCTCTTACTTACTCATATGTAACCCTGACCACAGCACTCCACTTCGCACTTTTTCGATCTTTATTGACTTTTCGGATTACTACCCTGTTGTGACGTTAAACTACCTTCTATGGACATGAATCTGCGATGTTACTCTTCACGAATGAATTAATGCTTTTATCAGCTGTGCAGGCTATACGCATATGCACAACCAATCGACGCTGTGCCGGTTTCATATAATCAGGACTGCTGTGAATGTTGAATGTTGAGTGTTGATCCTGGCCGCGTTTCCGGCGTTTCATGTTTGAACCATACATATTGAAAAAGCTTGTATTTCTCTTGGTGGGCAATGAATATAAATACATACAATGACAAGTGGTAATGATAATGCGCATACAACCCCCGAACCATATTTTCAATCGTCTTTCTTCGGCGCGCCATTTCAGGTATTTCGTACTCCAAGTCACTCACTTCATACCTCTGGATTTAACCCAGTACGATCCATCGGGGTATTCGTATTCGGAAATGCTTGATCTGTGCATCTCGATGCTATACATTCAAGGCACATTAATGGTATGCAACACAGCACAATCGAGATCCCATGCGGACATACCTGTAACCTTCAGCTGGATTCATAGGGACGTTGTATCTCCCCTGAGCGGTGATCGAGCAGGGGTAGAGGAAATGCTCGTGTAAGTGAGTGGCAAACTCTAGCACATTTCGTTCCATCGAGCCTGAGATCGCGATGTAGTCGATGAGGCTGTTATAATTGCGGTGTGAGTACGAAGCGAAAGACAGGCGAGGAAAGTACCCACCTGAGGTGGATCGTATACTCGCACAGACCGACACCGCCTGCGTGAGGGCACACAGGTACACCAAACCTGCAATTTCGGTGATCAGAACATGAACAGCATAAATGAAACACAAAAGAAGGATTCTGTACGTAAGAAACCCTTCCGGACTCACTTTGCAGCCATCAAGAGGACACTCAGAACCTCGCTCACTCCTGCGAGGCGGCACGCATCAATCTGGCAGACGTCAATGGCCTGTGCTTGGAGAAGCTGCTTGAAGATCATGCGGTTATGCGCATGTTCACCGGTTGCGACACCAATCCCGTATGGTTTGAGTGCAGTCCGAATGGCAGCATGTCCGAGAATGTCGTCTGGCGCTGTCGGTTCCTCGATGAACCTGCATTTCAGAGTATTAAGCGTGATATTGAGTGCTACGGCAATAGAAGAAGCAGAATAGCCCGACGAACCAAGGTTTGATATCTTTCAGACCTTTCACATACTCAATAGCCTGCGGCACATCCCACACTTGGTTCGCATCGACCATGAGCACTGCACCCGTCGGCCCAGCATTTCGTCCTTCAGTAACGTGCCCTGACTGGCCAGAGGCAGTGCGAGGGAGGTATTGTGGGTCATCAATGATGGAACGGATAATTTTGCCCCTGCGGAGGTCGGCGGCGAGGTCAGAGCCAACTTTCATCTTGAAGTGACTGAACCCTGCGGCCACGGCATCTTTGGTAAGGCGGGCCACTTTTTCGTCATCATAGCCTAATGTATAGCCAAAGAGTGACGTCAGGAGTAAAGGAAGGAAGAAGGGGAATGCACTCTACCAAGCCAACCAGCAGAAGTAATATAGGCGGGATATCTGTGTCGGACCAAAGCAGGTGAGCGATAAACGTCTAGAAGAATCCGAAAAGCAAGGATAAAGCATGACAGTATCAAGACTTCATAAATGTATGAGACATCGCATTTTGGTTCCCCGAGCAGATGTCATAATGAAAAAGAAGGCGCACCCAATCTCTTTAACTTTAGCCTCCCTCTCCTTCTTCTCTGCCTCCTTGGCTTTGAGCATCGCCAGTGCTTCTTCGCGTGTGAGCGCGTCGCTAATGTAGCGGAAAGCAGTTGCACTGACAAGTTCTTCCTGTACTCAGGGGTTAAGCGAGTAAAATAATGAGAGAGAAAACATGGGCAGTGAGGATGAGTATTAACGGAAGGACACATAACGAAACGAAGAACAAGAACCCTGTCGGATAGACGTACGGGTGACATGTCCACGACGAGTTTCCAGAGCGGCTTTCCTCGCGCACGCGCATACATGTCCCAGAGCGCATTGTTGACAGCTCCGGTGGCAATGTGGATGACACCCTTCTCAGGACCAATCCTATACCGATTTTTTTTTTAGTTGCCATTTTGTCGCGAAACATTTATATGCAAGTGAAAAAAAACACGAAGAAGTAGGAAATGAAAAGTCACTCTCAAGCCTGAGGTCACTTCCATCCGATGATCTGTCTGGTGTAGAAGGGTGAAACGCCAAAACATAAGCTTACCATCTCAGCTGGGAGTCGGCCAACAAGTGCTCCCATGCAGCACCCATGTCAGCGAACAATTCTTCCGTATCACATCCAACAAGCCTCGAGGCAACCGCTTTGATTGCTTGACACACCTAAGTAGATGGTGAGAAGGCATAAGTGGTGGGGCCATAAAAGTAGAACCGAAAGGAAATAGACAAAGAAAACTCAAGCACTCACGATCTCGTTTCCACGGCCGATGGTGAATGTCATACCGTGGCCCACGAGGGATGAGGAAGTATAGAGTGTGACATAGGCAGAGGAGTAGTCGCAGTCGGTGTTCCTGTATTGAGTAATGGATACACGAATGAGCATTTTGTTCCGTCATAGCAAGATATTAATATTAGCGTTAGCGAGTAGTTGAGTGCATATGGGATAATAGAGGACAGCATACATAGCATCAGTCCCATCTCCCGTAAGAGAGGTTGGAAAGCGCACATCTGCCAACGATGGAAGTTCAGTTGACCCATTTGAACGTGGTTGAAAGAAGAAAAATCAATGCAACCATACACTTGTACTTAGCCCAGCCCATCGAGCTAGCATATACCCAAGAAGACGATAACTAGCTATTGCGTTGTCATATGCAGGCCCTATACCATGTACCTCATCTTTATGCACAAGTGACAGGTAACCCCTGAATCATAGACAGGTGGTACACCACAAGAAACATAAAGCAGAATGAAGGAGAGAAAGGACCTGGGTAGGATGATGCAGGACACTACTCACCATGAGTCTCGAAACTTATAATCTTCGCACTCGCCATTATAATGGTACGCCTTTGTTATGATGTTGGGGCACGCAAGAACTCGGATAACCTAGTAAAAATAAATTCAGCACGACAGTGTCAAACAGGATGAAGGAGCACTACGTTACGATGGGTGATAGCCTGAACGTTGAGATACGGATTACCAGAGATGTGTCAAATGAGCCGGCCAAGACGAAGTGCAGGTCCTTGTGATCATTAGCCCCACTCGTATTTATAACTACCTATGTATTCTCTCTCAATGCAGTACTAGTATCCACTCCGGATCCTTTATTGGGGAAGCTTGCCGTAACCTTTCCAGGTCATCTTCACCCGCGAAAACAACCTTGTGATAGCGAAGGGACGGGTCATTTGACCATTGAAAGAATAAGTACGGCTCGCCATTCGAGATAGTAACTTCATGTGGAAGGCTTCAAAGGAGCGCTGTGCTAGAATGAAAGCCGCTGGGTTAGTAAGAAGCTGGGCGCTAAATTGTTAAACTGCAAAAGCAGAAGCCTGAGTTTAAGTGTGAGCTCAGCACACAACACAACCAACATGCATGAATACTTAGATAGTTGCCTATATGTTCTGTTTTCAGTACTTTATCGTAGGTTCAGTATTGACGTTAACTTTTCCAAATGTTCGCACCAGGTCTTGCCAGAAAACTACTGAGACATCCTCGTCCACACACCATCCACGCAACCACCTCACAATATAAATCCTTGCTCTCTCAAAAGCGCGCGCAGGCGAAATTGAAAATGTCATAAAATTGTGGAGAATGCGAAAGATTACGAGAACAGCTTGTTGACCGACGTGTTACCCTCTTGGTTCTTCTTGAGAACCTTCGCCACAGCAAACTCGAAATCTTCCTGTGTAACGTGCTGCCGTCTTTCACGTAGTGCGTACATCCCTGAGCACTCAAGTTAATAAAGGATTTATCAAAAAATGGGCAATAAACCTGACCTGCTTCCGTACAGATACCACGGACCTCTGCACCCGAACATTGGCCCATCTTCTCTGCTAGAGCATGGAGATTGATACCTCTTTGCAATGACATCTATTTAAAACAACAATTGAGTTCTGTTCCTTTGAACCTTTACAAATTCGCCGTGAGACCCACCTTTCGAGAGTGGATACGCAGAATGCTGACACGAGCCTCAGGTCCCGGTGGTGGAAATTCGATCTTTCGGTCAATTCGACCAGGCCGCAGCAGAGCAGAGTCCAAAATATCTGCGAGTATGACCAGCCAGTTAGGAACTACGAAAGCAAAGGATAAAAGAGAAATTGTCACATACCTATCCGATTCGTAGCCATGATGACTTTGATATTCTTAGTCGGTTCGAATCCATCAAGCTGGTTCAAAAGCTCCAGCATTGTTCTCTGCACCTCTGAATCTCCTCCTCCCGACCCACTCTCACCTCTCGAACTTCCAATAGAATCAATTTCATCCATGAAGATGATACTGGGTGCGTGCTCTCTTGCCATAACGAACAACTCTCGCACCATTCTACTTCCCTCTCCGATATACTTCTGCACGAGCTCGGAACCAGAAACACGAATAAATTTACAGTCGGTGTGATGTGCTACAGCACGCGCGAGAAGTGTTTTTCCAGTTCCAGGTGGACCATAGAGCAGCACACCCTTGGGCTGGGCAATTCCGAGAGCTTCGAAGAGCTCGGGATGTTTGACAGGGAGCTCGATGACTTCTTTGATTTCTTTGATCTGTTTGTCGAGTCCACCTACCATTTCGTAAGTGCTATCTGGTACTTTTTCGACCATCATGAGGGAGACGAGTGGGTCTACTTTATTGGGGAGAATTTTGTGAATGGTGTAAGAGTCGGAACGGAGGGCGACACGGAGGGAAGGGGTTAGGGATGAGATGTCGATTTCTGAGTCCAAGTCAACAACTGAAAGCAAAGGTCCGTTAGGATGTTTCGCGTATAGAATGAGAAACAGAATGAGAGAACTGTTATATGAACGCACTGTATTTGCCCTCGGGCTGCACTTTGACCAAGACTTTGGTTTTGCCCATCACTTTGACTACTTCTCCGACATAACTTCCTGGTTCGTGGAGCAGCTGAAGCTCTTCTCTGAGTAGACGTACTGGTACAGGCTATCAGAAAAGATGGATATGTTAACTGTAGATGTTTCTGACGTACCACGGGCATTAAGAGCATTACGCTGGGCTTCCAAGCGTCGCAAGTTCTGAGTTTTCTGGTTTATGAGGAGTTCTGCAGCTTCTATCTTGGCCTGATAGTAAGACTTGACACCTCCTGGTACAACTGGTGTTCGAACGATGGCTGGCATGGTGGCAGATGCTAGAAATAATAACATCCATCCTTTGAGCATACGCGTCGGACTGTGACAGCACTGTGACTAGAGAGGTATGCATACCATATATGGGACAGGTGTGACGGGGTGACTGCATTATTTTATGGGTAAATCTCCATGAAGTTGCCTCCTTGGTATGACCACTGACGGTCACGGTGAGGAACGAGTCTCGGTACAGTTTCGTGAATGTATATGACTTGCCCTCTTTTGCTCTCCAGCAATGTAACAAGGCTTTCCTTTCCTTCTACTCTCCAGCTCCTCACGCCCATGTCCATGTACCCTTCAAGCACGCGCTTTCGTCTCCTTCACTCGCTACCACAACTTCACCTGGCCGCAAGATCATCCCTTAGCGCACACAATAAAAGTAGGACCAATGGAAAGATAAAAATACGTAGCCTCGAGCAATACCGGACAATTTCATGGAAGTCTTCCCTCGAAATGCACTCTTCAGAGTCCATGTCGGACGGCCAGGAAGAAAATGCAAAAGCAGCAATCCTGGACAAAGTCATGCAGGGCCGCCAGCCGACAGATCTTCTCCTTCGATGTGAGTACACCATCTACCTATTTAAGACTTGGTTCAGCTGAAGGCTGGTACAAAGGTACGGTCTTGGACGACGTAGGTGCGTTGAGCTTTTAACGCTCTCTTTTCTCGTAAATACTGGTTTTATTTATGTACTCTTTCTCTTTTATTCATGTAGGACATGTGAAGAGCATATCAGGCCAATTCAAACGATCCGACTTGTGTACAGAACACCGTTTGAACGTAGGTAAACCACCCCATGAACTCGTCTGCCTGAGCAATGCGGATTCATCTTGGAGTTTAATAGCCTCGTGACCTCCGCAAAATAGACTCCCGAGTACCAAACTTAGTCCCCACTATACTAATACGAAAAGAAGCCATCCTCGTGAGCACATCGAAACCACCGGTATCTCAGCTCTCTCCTTGTGGTCTGACTGGGCACGGCTAGATTAATATACTTCATATACGTGCTCTTGTCAAAGCTGATACTGTCATCTTGTTTGATACCTACGGTTCTAATGACTCCAGGCTCCATTCTGTTTTCCTCTACCATCTAGAAGTAAGTAAATGACACCTATACTTTCCTCCTTTCACTCACTTTGCGATACACAGCATAATCTCAAAGCCAAAGGCAGTGGAGCCCCGTATGAATTTAGGTATCCGCTTACCGATATTTTCACAGTCATAAGCTTTCAAATATTACTTTCTTCCGCAGAGCGATCGAATCAATTCTCCTATCCGTCCTCAGCGCCCTCGAAGCAGAAATGGTTTTTATTCGTAACCTTGTTGGCGGCCTCCTCGCTGAAATGGAGGACGACATTAACCACGACAAGTTCAAGCGCCTCTTGCACTACTCGAGGCGTCTTGCGAGCTTCAAAAACCGAGCGAAGCTTGTAAGCTATTACCACTTGAATACATTGCTCTAAGCCATCTTAATGAAAATCTGCATCGTTTTCTTTAGGTCCAAGAAGCACTTGAGGAGGTACTGGAGCAAGGTCGGTTTCTTGTCATCTTTCCTTCAGTGCAGTAGCATGGAATGTCTAATTAATTTCAGATGAGGATATGAATGCCATGTATCTTACTGATAAGAAAAACAACGCCTCCCGAGAGCTGCACGAACATGAAGAACTCGAAGTTTTACTCGAATTTTTCTCTAAGCAAGTAGAGGAAATCGTCAACGAGGCGGAGAATACTGAGGCATGTCTCTTCTCTTCGACTGCCGTTTCAATCTTGCTTTCGTTCTTAATCAAGCATGGACATGCAATATCTAACTCGTCTCCCTTTCCTTCCTCAGAGTAACGTCCAATCAACACAAGAGATTGTAGAACTCATTTTGGACTCAAATCGTAACGCTCTTCTCGCTCTTGATCTCAAAGTACATCCCTCTTTCTCGTCTGCTTTTGCCTCCTTCTATTGTAACTCACTCTTAAACCTACCACTAGGTCTCCATCGGGACCATGGGTATCGGCACAGGGGCCCTCGTAGCAGGTTTATTTGGCATGAATGTGAGTTTTCCATTCCTATCTAATGCTCAGAGTTTTCGAATGTGGTCTTCTCGTCGATCGTTTGACATACCCGTTAACCCGTGGTTTATTCTAGTTGACGAGCCATTTGGAAGAATCCCCATACGCATTTATAGGCATGTCCGTCGCTTCTACCGCCATCGCACTTTTCGTAGCATGGGTGGGCTTCCGGAGGTACGTTTTTCTATCTAGATTTCTCACCGTCAATCGCTTCTCTTCTCTCCTCCCTCATTGCCTAAAAAATAACTCATTGATCCAACCGCCCACCCCTTGACCATTAACCAGGCTTGCAAAAATCCGCAAAGTGGGACTTTCAAATCCAAACAGACATCGTCGCAAGACACAACATACTAGACCATGGATACCACTGCCCCTGCGACGAAGAAACGCAGATGGGTGGTCGTAACTCATGAAACAGCATACGTATAGAACTTGGCATAGAATCAGGTAGAGTCAAATCGGCTACATATATATATCATCCAGCGTAATATGAATACAACAGTCCACTCATCTCATTGCTGTCGGATATGTCAGCGGCGTATTCTCCTGTGAAGCAGAGGCCATTGCAATCATTAAGTGAACTTGTAAGGAGCCCAGAGAAAGAAAAGTGCCAGTGGTTGGTCCACATTTCTTGGCCGAACATAAGAGAGAGTGACGTAGTAGTAAGGAGGTTCTAGGAGTACTAGCAGAGTAACGTAAGTAATCTAGACACAACAAAGTTACTTGACCCATATTGCAAACTCCGTAACATTGTTTACTGTCAACGTCTCTTGCCAATGAAACCTTCAAAAAGTAAATAATAAAAAATACCGCAGTATATACCGTGAGCGAAAAATTTATTTCTGATCTGTGAGCCCATAAAAGAGCAAATAAAAAGTACTCTCTGGCGGGGAGTCGAACCCCGCTCTCCCGCGATCCATATGAAAGAATCATATGACAGGCGGGTGTACTATCCGATATACTACCAGAGATGTAAAATTATGCGATAGAATGCGATATGAGGTGTCAGAAGGCAAGACATGGTTTTCCTTTCTGCCATAAATTGAGACAGTCCGAGTTGCACCACCGAGCGCCTCAACATGGCCGATGGTTCTTTACCCGCTGGAGCTGTCCAAGATGCCACCACTATAACCGCACCCCAAAACCAAAACCAAAGACCAGGTTATTACGCCGCCCTCCAAGTCCCCAGAATCCCTACCCCGCAAACCTCAACCCCTTTGATCCCGGGTCAACCACCAATACCTCCTTACCCCCCTCTCCCCCAACCACAGCACCCACAGCAACCGCAACCACCACAGGCGCAGAACGCAAACCAGCCATATTACGCCGTCAACTACCCCCCTGGCGCCTGGCAAAATGCATGGCAGATGGCCGGGTACCCATACGCCTCTGGCAGTGCTCCCTACCAGCAACACCACTACTCCCAGATTCCTTACACACAGTACCAATCTCAGCAGTATATGACACAGTTCCAACATTATCCCCAGCCCAAAAAGTCGTCTTCTACATCCAAAGCAGTCCACAAACCACGGACTCCCAGCCCGTCTCCCCCACCACCAGAACTGCACCGGCACTGGGACGGCGTCATCAAGGCATTCTTGAAGAAAGTTGGCTTTCATCAAGCTTTGAGAGGATTCGAGGACGATATGTTCGTTTTGAACGCGGATTGGGAGCGGAAAAAGGTGCCAGGTGCGATAGGTGATCTCATGAGGGACTTGATGGTGCGTTCGTTGGGTATGCCTCAATGTGGTTCATGCATGACAATGCTCGTCTCTTCTTAGACACTTGGAAAGTCCAAGGACGATGAAGAGGATGAACCAAAAGAAGAGCCACTTGAGGAGCGAAAACTGGAATACGTTCATCTGTCTACTGGTGAGGAACCTCGTTCGCAGACGTCAGTGAGTTTATTCATCCGACAGGGAACTTGGTAAAGACGGCCTAGACACTGAATCTCTGCCACTTCTCATAGATAAATAAATCAATATCTACCTTCCTCTCGCAAAACCGCGCTCGAAACGACGCGTCCAACCGCGCAGAATTTCTGGAGTCTCTTTCACAGAAGCGACGGCGGCTGAATCCCGACGCAGAAGCTTCCTCGTCGTCCGAGTCGATCCCTTCTTGTGCACGAACAGATGCGAAGGAAATAAACAGGGACTTGCAGATGAAGTATGATATTGCGAAGAACGAAGAAGGACCGCTTCGTAGGACTATGAAGGCTGCCAGTGCACCCGCTACGACTGGACGACAACAAACCCAGCCGATCACAGGCACTCTGTCAGAGGAATACTTGTCCGAACGACATCCTGGTCTCGACGAACGGTTGAAGAATATTGAGACGCATCTTGCTGTTCGCTATGGTACTGTGTATCTTTGCTATGTCTTCCTATCATGCGCTTAAAATTAATTTTACAGTACCGTCTGCACCCCGTACTCTTCTCTCACGACTAAATTTTCTAGAAGATCATCTTATACATTTGGAAAAGGAGTACCCACCGTGGGCAGCTTTGCATTTCAATCAACCAAACCGTGGGGTGAGTTTCTCTGCGTTTCACATCGTTAGGCTGGAATATTAAGTTCACTATCTTCTGCAGTGGCCACCACCACCCCGCCTGACCCCAATCATCGTTCCCTCACATATCACCGATCGGTCCAGCGCCACCACTACATCCGGAGGGACGGCTGGGCAAGTTGGTCAATCAGACTCATCCACCAAAGGGAAGAATAAAAGCAAGTCGAGCTTGCACCGAGCAGTGATGGAGAGGTTGGAAGTGCAAAAGGCTATGAGCGATTTAGCAAGGAAAGGAGAGGGAAGCTAACGTCTCATCTTTATACATGATACAGGTGTTTGTTAATTGTTATTTTAATACACTCTAATGATATTTCTTTTACGGGTGCCAGCATGGAAAATGAACTTCATCTCAGCTCAGCTGTCTTGATCAGAAAGGAGCACCAGATGGGAAGACCATCGGACCACGGACTTCAGCCCGCTTTTCGGGGCCGCATAATAATTCCACCAAGGCGAAAGCAAACGGGAAAGCGGTACCTGCAAGCAAAATACTGCTTCAATCTATATATATTACGCTAATGCACAGCGAATTACCTGGTCCACGACTGATAACTCAACGTAAGCATAGGTATAAGAAAATAAACGGATCGAGCATACCTGGTGACTAATTTGCCAGAGATGACAACGGAATCTTCTGAGTAGTCAAAATCTGGACATGTGCAAGTGTTTACGGGTCCTGTTTGTCGATATGCCGATGTACAGTAGGTCACATACCTCTCTCGAGATCTGCTTTGACGCTGGGATGAGATGTCAATGGCTGTCGAGGCAGCCCTGATCGCTTGGCAGCTAGACTTCCTGAATCCCCAAGTCAGTTGCTATACGACAGGCAAGCAAGGATTCGTAGTACCGGCGCAGATCATGGCCACGATTTTATTGTGCTTGTAATACTCCCTAACTAAATGCTGGACGGGAGACGACTTGGAGATGGTCTCCGCACCTTTGGCGCCTCCCGGAATAATGATGGCGTCGTATTTGTCCTAATAGGCCGATAAAGTTGGTTTCAGTGATACGGAGTCGGGCGATGAGGGTATGAGATAAAATCGATGCGCACCGGACCTGCTTCGAGGGGGACCAGCGTCGTGTCCGGTAAAATGCTTATTCCTCGAGAGCCCACTGCTAGGGTAGGGCTGGCATCGTTTGTTCCATACGGAGAGGGCACATCCTGGACAAGTGCAGAAGTGCACGACACACCTGCTCGAACGAGTGTATCGTATGTGATGGTACTGTAATCGGCCGATAAGCACGTCAGATAACGTGAAAAGGGGAGACACTTGCAATTCCATCTCTTCCGTTCCATCTGCAATAAGGATCAGTGCTTTAGGCATATCGTGTATTATATATTATATCAATGTTCGTAGTCCAACTGAAGTAATAAGTACTGAAATTTTGGGTAAGGGATACCTATGACGTCACGGATAGCCTTAGTAACTCACCGCCAATCATGGGCACATGAGGGTGAATACCATTAAACCGTGTTTACGGTTCAGAAAAGGGAATGGGGAATCAGAATACTATTGATATTTTCTCTCCGACATCTTGAAATATGAAAATGCTAAGCTACAAGAATCAAATATTATATAAAATACGTTCTACGGTGGGATGACGTCCGCACAGCGTGAACACAACGTATCGCTTTCTGGACGAGTGAATGTCCAACATCGCGGGCACTTGCTACGAGTGGCAGGTCGTATCCGAACAGCTATATCAGAATCGAGACCTAGTGATGGAGGTATATGTTTTGAATATTCCAAGTTCACACAAGCCTGAGAAAATACATACCAGGCAATGACATCGTATCAACATAGCTCCATTCAGGGGACTCTGCACCTAGCGATCCTTCGTCCGTGACGTAGGCGTCTGAGACGATGAACAGCGTCTTCAAAAAATCCTCTACGACGACCCAATAACGGTGAGTTTACCGGACAATCCTTTGCAAAATAAAATAACAACCTTCACGCTCCAGTAATTGCACAACCCTGGGTTTCTCAACCGCAACGTCTCCAGGAAGAATAATGTCTACTTCCGCCTCAAGTGAACTTTTCAGGTGCCTGTGTGAAAGATCAGATTAACCAAGGTCCAAGTATGTTTCAACGGTCATTATACGGCGACGACGTACTTATGGCCACGAGCTTTTTCCAAGAGCGAAAGCACTGCGCTGCGAACTCGGAGCAGATGATTCATGTCCTCTTCTGCTGAGATGTCTTCCCATTCTGGACTCTGCGAAAAGACAGTCAACTCTTCGGGTAAATAAAAAGTTCGTCCCGACTCACCAGAGACGTCCACTTCTTTGTAAAAATGGACCTGGCAGGGTCTGCGCCATGCACGGTATGTGAAGCATGGAAGTGGATTTCTTCAGCTAGGTGAGGGAGGACAGGCGCCATCACTGAGATTATGGAGTTCAGGATCTGAGTAAAATCAGAATACGGTTGAAATGCGTCGAGAACAAGCGACTCACATTTTCCAGAACAGTTACAACTGCTCTCCTTTTCATGCTATGCACTGAGTCTGCATATAGGCAGTCTTTTGTGATATCGAAGTATAGCGATGACAAGGTGAGGTTTGCAAAATTCGTCAAAGAGTTGATGACTATATCGTCCATGTCAGACTCCGTCAGGTTATCAAGCAGCAATGATACAAGCCTTTTGGGAAATTGTAAGAGGCATAACCCTCGTGAGCCACTTTTTCCAGCTTGTAAAGTTCGTGCATGACATATCGTTCGGCCTGTTACATGGCACGTCTCCCATCTTTATTTATTCCAGGAAGGAAATCAATGATAACACTTACCAGGCCTAAGTCCTCTTTCTCCACACGCTGAAAATTTTTACGACTGTCGATATCTCCAATATTTCCCAGAATGAACCTAGCAGAATTGCGAATCTTTCTCATTGATTCTGCTACTTGACTTAGAACCGTTGGACCGATTGACATATCACGCCAGTACTCTACTGTTGCAACCCATAATCGTAGGACGTCGGCTCCATATGCGGGCTCCTTTTTCTTATCCTGAAAATAATGTCAATATCAGTATCAGCCTTCGTGAACAATTTTTCATTCGTCAGAGACCACAAACTTTGCCTCCGTTGATGATGGTCATAGGACTGATAATATTACCGAGCGATTTGCTCATCTTCTTCCCTTCCTGATCCAAAACCATACCGTGCGTGATCAATGTCGCATACGGGCTGCTAGGCTGTTCAGATGCGGAGCCAATAGCCGTCAGAAGCTGACTTTGGAACCAACCACGATGCTGGTCAGACCCTTCCAGACATATATCAGCCTCAAACTGCCGGCTTGGAGTGTCTTCCTTGAGTGCTTTGAGCATCGACCAACTAGTTCCACTGTCAAACCACACGTCCATTGTGTCAGTCCCTTTCCTCCAGGCATTTGCTCCGCCTTCTGCTTCAAGTTGCGGGGTCAAGAAGTCCTCGACAGGGCCGTCCCACCAATAAGCTACGCCCTTCTCTTCTAGCACCTTGAGAATATGATCCAAAGACTCGGTATTGAGTACGGGCTGGTTTGTGTGTGCGTTATATAGAGCGGGAATAGGAACACCCCATACGCGCTGACGGGAGATGCACCATTCTGAACGGGATCGAACAAATGACTCGAGACGGTTGCGAGCTGAAATAATGTTAAAATTCGAAAGAAAGTAAGAAGGCTTATGGTAAGAAGCTCACATGCCGGCGGGAAGAATATCACGTCCTTCAATGCATTGAGTGCATCGTCCTTGATATTATCCAGATTTGCAAACCATTGCGAAGTGGCACTGTGAAAGTAGATATTAATCAATTTTGATACTGACATAGATGCAGAAGAAGACAGGTTGCGCACATTACAATGATAGGCTCATTGGTTTTCCAATCATACGGGTAACGATGTTTGATCCTTTGCACTTTAACGAGCTTTCCGGTATGCTCCAGTAATTTAACAATAGCCTTTCCGCCATCCTTCAATACCTCTTGACCAATCACTGTCAAAGCAGCTTCTTCGCCGACGACATCCGCGACTTTATGCGTAAATTTACCAGCCTCATCAACGTGGCAGATGATACTGTTGGGATTATGTGAGTTTATAAGGCCGAGGGTACGGAAGGCCTGGTAATCTTCTCCGCCGTGAGCAGGCGCGCAATGTACGAGACCAGTTCCAGAATCAGATGTGACGTGAGACGCAGGTATAATCTTGTAAGGGATGGGAACGATGGCACCAGACGGGGAGAACAATGGCAAATATGGAGCATCTACCAGATCAGAACCTATAACCGAACAAATCAGTGTTCATTTCTTGAATAGACCTAGCTCAGACGTTTTGAGGTTACCTTTAATATCGGCAATTACCTCTATGGGACCAACAACTTCCGTTAATGACAGAATACGGTCCTTGGCCACAATTAGAACCCCATTTCCAGGTGCCCCATTTCGTCTTAACACAGTGTATGTCAACTCAGGATGTACGGCAATACCCTTATAGCTCGATCAGAATTTATACGCATATAGGGACAATAACGTTGCTTACCATGTTGGCTGTCAAAGTCCATGGGGTAGTCGTCCAGACGAGAAGGTCTGCGCGAGGCTCCTGAGCTAAAATTTCACGAAGCACTGTGCTCATTTTCTCAGCTTTCAGGTCGAGACTATAAGAAACGTAGACCGAGTGCGATACGTGATCATCCTTGTAGGTGAGTTCTGCCTCTGCTAATGCGGAATGTGACGATGGAGAGTAATGTACTGGTCGGTAATGCCTATAAATCAAACCTACAGCAAAGGGGGTCAGATTGATGGGTCGTGTATCGAAGCATAAGCCATCAGTCACCCTTCTCAACCATCTTTTGAAATATTCTTAGCTGACGGATCTCATAGTCATGGTCTGTTTTGCCTGTTTAGCTCCCAGTCCAGAAAGTAAGCAGATTAAGTTCACCTAATGTACGATACGTCGACTCTGTGCTCCAATCTGCCATAATGCCAAAATGTTCGAATTCGTCCTTCTGAGTTTTCATCTCTCTCTCCGCCGTGGCTTTCGCCACGGAGCGGATAGTATTCGCCGGCAACGACAATGCATCTTTCTTTCATGAGTTTGCGTTAGTTCACGCTGGAAATGTGAGTAGGAAGAAAGTTTATACCCTTAGTTCTTGTAATGCTTTGTTCTCAATAGGGAGGCCGTGGCAATCCCATCCTGGAAAGTAGCTTTATAGCGATTGGTATGAGAAAGATAGGCGGTGCTATAAACACGTACTGCACCCTATCACCGAGGAGAACATGGTAACGATTGATTATATCCTTAATGATCTTGTTCAGAGCGTGGCCTACATGGTGGGTGAGTAACAAACACGAGTCGAAGCTGGCATGCAAACTCAACCCATATGTAAGTGGCCATTTGCATACGGGGGCCCGTCATGCATCACAAATAAAGGTCCATCCGCATTCTCCCACTACTTCACGCAAACAAGGAACATGGCGTATGTCATTAATGGGCTTCAATGAAAAGCACGAAACAGACCTGCCAGCGGTACAGTTCGTCACACGTCCTATGTCTGAACGGAACTTCTCTTTTTGACGGGTCGGCCCAGAGAGGAAAGTTGGTCTTGGGTAGCAAGAGTGTTTTTGAGAAAGCTTTTGAGTCTACTTTGGCCTGATCCCCTGAAGACCACGAGTTGGAGAGAGAGAAACGTCGGCAATGATTATTGAGATTTTGTAGGCTAGACGATGGCAAGAGACGAGTTGCTGGACGAAGTGCGCTGATGCTCATCGGGTGTCTCAATAAAGGCTGAGCCTCAGACTGACCTCAGCGAAAAGCAAGTGTCCTCTTAAATGCACGCGAACTGGGTAGAGCTCACCGACGAAGTGCGATCACGGCTAACTCGAAATTTCTCAAATTCTTGGTACATCACGTGTTCATGCTTTACATGGTGGCAGTGCATTTTTCTGCCTTGCCTCGACCCAGTGCTTGCGGTAAAACAGAGTCCAACTGCATATCCAACAACCAGCCATTCACTTTGCACAATGCAAATACAAAAGAAAACCTAGCCAAACTGAAGAATAGTTTGCATCTTGTGTCGTGGTCTTTATGGACTTCAACAGAGCTCGGTATGTTGGAAATGGCATGACGTTGGAAGGCCTCCAACAAACATGTAACATGGAACTGCAGTTCTTTTGGACATCTCTCTTGGACCCGGTTGACCCTGTAACGCGGGGGGCCCGCTTTGTGGATTTACGAGGACTTTGAGCTGGTTTGCCGCGGAACCGTGGTCAAATTGTCAATGTAACACTGAGATTACCTTCAAGTTGCCTCGTGATTCTTGCACTGTACAGCTGTATGGCAGTCTTCTTGATACCCATAATGTACAGCGCCAGGCCTATCTATTTAACCACTGTAAACATCGAGTACTTATGTGTTGTTAAATTCATTTGAGCAAAGAATAGTGATCATGAAAGCTGTACCCGTATTATAATTACGTGAACAGAAAGGCAGTTGCACGAGCTTACGAATAACCAGACATTTTCTCTTTCTTTCCACAGCTCAAGGGGTCGGATGCGAGCAGCCTGGCATGGCGGACGACGTCTCTGCGAATGCTCTAGAGCAGCAAAATCAGCTAATCGTTGGCACGTTTGCTTGAATCTGATAACGGCCAAACGCGTCGAGTCACTTCCAAAATTTGCAGTGCCTTTCAATCCCATACCTCAATCACGCTGCACCATCTTTACCACCGCAACCCACATGTCCTCCCTAGATTCACTCACAGCTTCGCTTGCTAGCTGTTCTATTCAGCCCTCTGCGACAGTCTCTCATGGCGAAACTAACTCTCCAGCTACCTGGCGAGAGGCTTTGCTCGCCGCCCCTTCTGCACCGAAGGACTTTGAACTCATTAAAACCCTTGTCTACAAACCAAAGACCGCAAAGACCGCTGTCCCAGTTCCAGTCGTCGTAATTGCTCGCGACGAAACCGAGACTATCTCCTCTGCCCTGGGCAAGAAGCTGAATCTGAAGGAGCTGCGTTTGGCATCAGAGGATCTGCTTAAAGAATTCTTTGCGTCCGATAAGAACTCCTGTGCGTGTATTCGCCTGATAACATATTTTGCCATCGCTAAGACCCCATTATTCATAGTGTCTGTGCTCTCACTCAACAACGATAACTTTCCAAAAGTAGTTACAGTAGTCGATTCCACCATCGCTACTTCCTCATCGGTATTTGCGATCCACGCCCTTTCCTCGAGTTCTACCGTATTCCTCTCTGGGAAAGACATTGTATCATATCTCCGTCAATTAGAGGGCGCCGATGTGAAGATCCAAGAGATAGATTTCCAGGCACTCAAAACCGAGACTGGAGCAACTCCGGTTGGCCAGCCATCCAAACCCTCTGTGAAAGAGAAAGAAGATGCTAAAATTGAGGGCGCAGTCCAGATTGCCATTGGAGTGAAGAAAGAAGTTGACTTTGCCGCCTGGTACACCAACGTGAATACATGCATACCTTCTCTTCTCGATTTCGTGCTCATTCTTGATCAGGTTCTTATCAAAGCAGATATGTTGGACTACTACAATGTCAGTGGATGTTATATCTTAAAACCTTGGTCCTACAGCATCTGGGAAGAAATTCAAGGTGAGATTACTGGATTACGCGAGGCGTTAGTAATTCATGATATATGTGTGATAGATTGGTTCAACAAAAATATCAAGGCCATGGGCGTCCAAAATTCTTATTTCCCCATGTTTGTGTCATCTAAAGTCCTGGAGCGTGAAAAAGACCACATTGAGGGATTCTCTCCAGAGGTCGCATGGGTCACAAGAGCGTAAGTAGCCATTGATATTACTGCAACTTGTGTTGCTGAGCGTGCACCATAGCGGTAACTCTGATTTAGAAGAGCCTATTGCCATCCGTCCGACATCAGAGACAGTCATGTATCCTTGTGAGTTTATGCTTCGAGAATCTTGTGACGTCCAATTAACAAATATCATTAGATTATGCCAAATGGATTAAAAGTCATCGCGATCTTCCTCTCAAATTAAACCAGTGGAACAGTGTCGTAAGGTGGGAGTTTAAGAATCCTCGTAAGTACCATAACCTAGCAACCTGTCCCATATATTGAAAGCGATTATGAACAGAGCCATTCCTTCGGACGCGCGAGTTCCTCTGGCAAGAAGGACACACCGCTCACCTTACCCAAGCAGAAGCAGCCACGGAAGTACGCGAAATCCTTGAGCTATACCGTCGCGTCTATGAGGAGCTTCTGGCTGTACCGGTGATTCCGGGCATCAAGTCAGAAAAAGAGAAATTTGCTGGTGGACTGTACACGACCACAGTCGAAGGTTTCATTCCTACCTCAGGACGTGGTATCCAGGCGGCTACGTCACATTGTTTGGGTCAGAACTTCTCGAGGCCCGAGATGTTCAACATCGTCGTAGAGGACCCGAATGACCCCTCCGGACAAGGCAAGACTTATGTATGGCAAAATTCATGGGGTCTGTCGACGCGAACGATCGGTGTCATGACGATGGTTCACGGTGATAATCAAGGACTAGTCCTTCCGCCACGTGTGGCTTGCGTCCAGGCTGTTGTAGTTCCCTGTGGTATTACGGCGAAGACCACTGATGAAGACCGAGCCAAGATCAACAACGCCTGTGACGAACTCGCAAAGGTCTTGATCAAGGCGGGTGTCAAGGCAAAGGCTGATCTCAGAGATGGGTATACCCCAGGTTACAAATTCAATGACTGGGAACAGAAGGTACATATATTTAATACCTGATCCGAGCGTGCCTCGACGGTGCTTACTCGCACTTCTTCGTGAAAGGGCGTGCCTCTGCGTCTTGAAATAGGTCCAAACGATATTGCGAAGCAGCAGACTCTCGCAGTTCGCCGTGACAATGGTGAGAAATCCCCGGTGCCGCTTGCAGACATCGGGGTCACGGTTTCGAGCCTTCTCGAGACGATCCAGAGCGATATGTTTAGCCGCGCGCAGAAGGAGTACTTTTCGCGCTTGAAGGAGATCACGCGCTGGGAAGACGTTGTTCCTACACTGGATGACAAATGTATAGCCGTCCTTCCATGGTGTGAAGTGGAGGCTTGTGAGGATGATATCAAAGAGCGCAGCGGAAGAGCGTGAGTTACTCCGCTGTACAGCCCGCTGACCCATGGGCTGGTTTTTGAAATTATTTGTCTGATATTGTCATTTTACAGGGCGGAACCGCAAGATGAGAGAGCCCCATCCGCTGGAGCAAAATCTCTTGCGATTCCTTTTGATCAGTCTCGGTGGACTCCGATTGAGCCCGGTAAAACGAAATGCCCGGCGTGCAACAGAGACGCGAAACGATGGACGATGTTTGGAAGGTCTTACTAAAGTGGTTCTCCCAGCTGGTCGAGCTATATCACGATTAGTGTGTGAGTTGAGTATATCCTGCATTGCAATGATTTGTTAGCGGGTGTAGAGCCTTTTGATCTAATGTACAGTACTTTTCTGAGACGACGGACAATAAATCAATGGGTGGTGTCCTGACGGGCTTTGTGAACAGTGACACACAGAATTGTTTGGTGCAGTTTTTTCGCAAATATATCCGCATGCAGTGGAAAGAGAGCCGCATCATAAAAGTAATAATTCAAGATCGATAGGCTTTTTGGATTTTTTGGCAAATAATGGTTCAAGATCTAGAGGGGAATGACCGATCGAGGCAAATTGATTTGATTGGACTGCAGGTGGTAACAAGTAACCACCTGCAAGCGTCATTGCTCCCATATTGACTTCACAGCGTTTTTTTTCACCCTTGTGAGGCTTTCGCCGAGACATACAGAAGACATGCGACCACACGAAACTCAGCGGCTATCTGGGCTCGTTCCTGGCTCAATGGTGAGGTTGTTAGTTTATGACATTTGCATCGAAGAAACTGTCCTAACAAATCTCCAATTATATAGGGATTATTATGGAGCACTAGTAGCCACGCCTACCGCCATCATTACTGACTCATCACCACTTGATTTTGTGGATATCATCGTGTGTGGAGGCGGATGGGCCTCTCGGGCACAGTTCGAACACGCAGGGGGGAAAATATGTTCACCGGATTGGGATCAATTCAAAGGTCCATGGTCTTGGCAGCGCTTCCGAGTCGTATCGGCGTCAATCACCTGGGATTGCTTCCTCAATTCCTGAATACTCGAGCTTCTTCCAGTGGGTGGGCCAAGCTGCGTCAACTTAGAACCAGATAAAGTCTTTCCTAGTACAAGGTATATCCTCTGTATATCGTTTGAATACCGACACGCCTTGAGGGCTTCGAAAACGTCCTGCTCGTGTACTACATTCTCTGGTCTGAACATTACATCTTGACAACAGTTGACAGCTAACCTTATCCATATATGACAGCACCATATGTCCTGCCCATTTTACAAGAGTCGTATGATCCGCCGAATACGTCTGGGAGGAACAATGGTTATCGGTCCCAGTTATCACGTTTCAGCCCCACAAGGTCCATACGGTCAGGTGAGGTGTCTGGCCCTCCTATATTTCAGCTATCAAATTCGCATTTACAGTATATAGCGGCCAAGATAATCCCCAGGCAGCCATTTTACCCAGATACCATGAGCTACGCAAAGTCGTAAGTACCGTAGTACTATGTATACATTGACTTGTGGAAGTCAGAGTGCGTTTTCAAGTGACAGGCTTCACATGTAGATTTTATTGAATGCCCCACATTTCCCGTACTGTCAAGTATGTTGGACTACAGTTTTTACCTGGAAAGTCTGGACCAAAGTACCGGATAATTCCGGCCAAGCCTTTGATGCACTTGTGGTGCCGGTGGCTGAAAGATGCAATACAAGCTCCGCGCCATACATTTTATTGTTTTATTGCAGCCCCATCACTTACAGTACCGTAAATGGTTGATAGCCCCCGCATTCCAGTCAAGTTGTCAAGTTACCATAGTAAGTGCAGTATGATGCCCGTGCTCTTTACCAGAAAGCATTAACGTTACCGTTTTTTGAGAGGTCAGTTGATATACTGGCTGTCGCAGTTTCCAAGCCATGCCAGATCCCCCGCAAAGTTGGAATTAAACATGTCAAGGTCACAGACGTTCATAACATACTGGCGACCACTACACCAGTTTCGACATATTGCTTTTTACGCCTATTGCCACGGTCGCATGTATATGATGGGCGCATAGATCTCGTAGATCGGTGCCTATCATTTCAAGTACCCATGATTTTGCCCCATACGGTCCATATGGTCACCTGTCTACATCCCCCGTACCCCGGTCGTTAATTCTCTGAGCTACTATATAGCACGCATCATGTACTTGGGGCAAGCTTGAGTTCTTCCCTCCTGCACCTGTTTCTCAAAAAGAAGCTGTGAAGAACTGACGCAATGGGTAAAGGCGTATGTCCAAACACGATTTTTATCTCGCCCAAGTAGCTCACATTTACTTATTTTACCACTAGTACAATGCGGCTATCGCGTCCAATCCCGTAGGAATATTCTTTATTCAATTATTTTTCTGTAGCTTACGATCCATTTTACTTCTGCAGTACATCGTAGGCTCATTCGCATGTATTGGTGGAGGCCTCTTCGGTTTGGACATGTCGTCCATGTCCGGGGTACTCAATGTAAGTGGTTTCTCTCTGACTTTGACGCTACCCCACACCAACTCGTCACTTTTCAGAACCCTGCTTATGCTACGGTGTTTCAAAACCCCGGATCAAATGCTCAAGGAGGAATTGTCGCTGCTATGCCTGCCGGATCGCTTGTTGGTGCCCTCATGGTCACATATCTTGGTGACAAGATTGGCCGAAAAAAGACGGTCATTGTGTCTGGAATGATTTGGGTCGTTGGTTCTATATTGCAATGTGCTGCAATAGTACGTCTCAACAAAGCTCTTCTTGTGAAGTCGATATCAACTGACGCCTGGTATGTTTTTGTAGGACCGTGGAATGCTTTGTGTTGGCCGTGTGATCTCTGGTATCGCCGTTGGTTTAGCATCTGCTGTGGTTCCCTTGTACCAATCAGAGGTGACTGCCCCTGCTATTCGTGGACGTCTCGTATCTTTCCAGCAATGGTCGATTACTTGGGGTATCATGCTTCAATACTTCGTCGAGTTCGGTTGCTCATATATCAACGGCACTGCTTCCTTCCGCATTCCATGGGGCCTCCAGATGATTCCTGCTATAATCTTGTCCTTAGGAATGATGTTCTTCCCGGAGTCACCTCGATGGCTCATTGACCATGATCGGTTCGTCTGCTATTTTTAATTGTCCTCAGAATTGGGCTAAAAATAAGTTTAGCGAAGAAGAGGCTCTCGAAATCCTTGCCGATCTTCACGGTGGCGGAAACCAGGATGATGAACTCGTACAGCTCGAGTTTGAGGAAATCAAGCAGCAAGTGCGATTTGAGCGAACTGAGGGTGCCAAGTCCTACATGGATCTACTGAAACCCGGTATCCTTCGTCGTGTCGGTCTCGGATGCTCCATGCAAATGTGGTCTCAACTTACCGGTATGAATGTCATGATGTGAGTAATATGTCTTATCTTCCTGTGCTTTTACTGATGGCGTGTTGGCTCACAGGTATTACATCATCTATGTGTTCGAAGGTGCTGGTTTAACTGGTCGCCGTGCTAACCTTATCGCGGATTCCGTTCAATACGTCCTCAACGTTGTGTTTACCATTCCTGCCATCATCTACATTGACCGATGGGGACGACGCCCCATGCTTATCATCGGAACATTGCTTATGGGTTTCTTCCTCTTCTTGGTCGGTGGTCTCCAGGCTCGCTTCGGCCACTGGGGTGAAAGTGATAGTGCTCGAATTTGGGTGGTCACTGGCAACCAGCCTGCTACGAATGCCATTATCGTTTGCTCTTACCTCTTTGTGAGTAGCTTCGCCATCACCGTGGGCCCTGTCTCGTGGACGTATCCCGCCGAGATCTTCCCCATGCGCGTCCGTTCCAAGGCTGTTTCCATTGCTGTAAGTCTTTTCTCTACCCCAGTTCATTTTGTGACTCCATGACTCAAAATTCGTTTAGACCGCCACGAATTGGTTGTTCAACTTTGCACTTGCATGGGCAGTTCCCCCTGGTTTGTCTACTATCGCGTGGAAGACCTATTTCATCTTCGGTACCTTCAACTTTGCCGCATGTATTCACTTCTTCTTCATGTTCCCCGAAACCGCTCAGCGAACTCTGGAAGAAGTCGAAGATATCTTCGCACAAGGTCACACGTACAGTGCCTGGGCCATCTCTCGTGACGTCGGGAAGAAGACGGTGCAGGATATCAGGAACGCGGAGAAAGCACGAGATTACAACGATGAGAAAGAGGGGTCTATTGAAAAGAGCGCCTAAGCAATACATATTAACGAGTTATGATTAACGCCGCCTTCTATTTTCTATTATTTTCTACTTTTGTAACTTTGTACGACTTATGGTTTCTATTATTTCCACAATCTTGCGCTAAATGCTACTTGTCGTGGTTTTACAGTGGTAAGATGTTAAGTAAATAAGCTGAGACGCCGGTACCGAAAGCACCACAGCCACCTGAGATCTAGCACTGTAAAGCACCGCCACATTTACAGACTAAGTCACGGTTATAAACTCACTCATCAACCAACGCGGCCCCATAGTAAATTTGAAGACCAACACTTTTTGGAATAATATTTCCACAACTCATACAAGTTTAACTTGCTAGGCAATGTCAGACACTTGGAATGCCGATTTTCCTTCAGAATGGCACTCCATCCGGCCGTGGACTCCTCACCTTACACTCTCAGTCCGCGAAATAACCTCTGTATCCGCCACATTTATTCTTTCATCGTCGCTCGATGACCCCCACGACCCTTCTCTCACTACACTTGGTATCTCTGTTTCGGACGATGAGGACGATAGTAGCACTGATCCTGACCAGGTTCGACGATCGAATGGCGAGAGCAGCAGCTCGAGTCGAAGCAGACGACGCGCCATCATATCTGACGCTCTGGCAAAAGGCCTGTCGGTTGATGTGAATGGATCGCCGTGGCAGAGAGTCATCATACGTGTGGATGACCAGGTTGATGAGGCAGTCATTATAATCTATGGGCTGATGCCGGGGAGACAGTATGACATCGATCTAGGCCTCGTGCAAGGAGGCCAAAGCAGCAGTATCAGAAAACAGGTTACTACAGAAGGTATGCCATTCATCACGCCATCTAATACTAAAATCACGCTCAACTTACCTCCTTTAAAGAATCAGAACTGAGGGCGGACAACGACCGAGATGTAGAAGTCGCTAAACTCAATGGCTCGACGTCTTCGGATTCGATGTCTTCATCTATCACTTCTTCCGTCGCATCTGAAAGTTCGTCGACCGTACAACCGCAATCAAGCACAGCAAATTCCGCACCCTGCAGCTTGGAAGATCGCGTGCGCCAGTTGCAGCAGTCATTAGCCTCTTTGACATCCGAGCGTGAAACTCTTACTGCGTCTCTCAAAAATACTCGACGAGAATCTCAGAAGGCAGATTCTGCTTTACGTACTGAAATTGATATACTGAAACGTGCGTCGGAGAAAAATGCATCCGCAGAGCATCGAGCAAAACAAAAGGTGCTCGCGTTGCAAGAGGCGGTGAAGCGTGCGCAGACGGCGACAAAGGAGATCGAGGAACTGGTAAGGGAAACCGAATCTTCTTTGCCTGGGCTCAGAAACGAGAAAGACGAGAAAGAGGCGGAATATGCCAAGGTGAAGGAAGAAGCCGATCAAGTAAAGGGGGAAAGGGAAAAGGAGCAGGAGCAGGATAGGAAAAGACTGGATAGCATGAAGGGTGAACTGACTGGTTTGGGAAATAGATTGGAGAAACTGAACGGTAAACGCGAGAAATTGGAAACCAGCATTGTTCCTGATCTGGAGGAGCAGCTGAGGGAAATAGAGAGGGAGATAGAACAGGTCGAAAGCGCTGAGCGTCAATATACGTTGCAAGAGGAGGCGGACATCGGTATGGAGGAAAGCGATAATACTTTTGGAGAGTTTTCCATGGATGGGTCTCGTGATAGTTCTTCCCATCCATTTGGCGGATCACAGTCCTCTAATCGAAATCGAAATCACCATCCTGTGCCCATAGGGAGGCCAACTACCATCCCAATACATAGACCAATGCACAGCAGCTTATCTGGTTCATCTCAGTATCAGATCGCTTCACGAACGGCTTATCGTTCTCCTATACAACAACCGCATCTTCATTCGCATCAGCAATCTCTCCCAGCAAATCTGAGAACACCAGGATACAATCAAGCCTCCGGTCTTTTCCCTCATGCTAACAGTGACACAAACCCAATTGGCACTGTGTCACCCACTCTTCCTGCTGGCGTTACAGCCACTGGCACACCGTCTACACTATCGAGCAGAGCGGCCCCCTTCGAACCAACCAGTGCTACTGCACAAGCAATTAGAGGATCGCTATCATTATCTACTTCTAGATTTACCTTCCCACCTATCCAGCGACCAGGACCTTTGCTTACAATGAGTTCCCATCGAAGTGGGACGCGATTCTCCGCTGGACAAAACACTAGTACTGGCGAAAGAGGTGGTCAAAGCTGATTCAGAACCCAGATCTGATTTACCTGAAAAATACTAACTGTGACAACGGGGGAGAGGCGCGATTATTAAATTTAAAGTACAGGTGTATTAATGCATCGCGAGGGCAGGTTAATACATATGATGCAATCAATATGGTGTTCAAGGTCTATTCCGTGAAAATGTGTCATGATGAATCAAGTGCAGCTAGTTGATCAACCAAGTCATCCATAATGTCATGCTGTGTATCTGTGCTTTCTAAAGCCTTTGAGACGTCAGCACTGGCACCCATTTTCGAAGGTATGAGTGGTGTGCCTTGAGGCTCAAAGCCTGGGGCTATCCGACGCAGGGCTTCGCGCTTTCGACGCTCCTTCTCATCTTCGCGTGCTCGTAAGTAAGCCTCTCGACGTGCAGCATGCGCTGCTATGGCAGTCCTTCTCGACGACTCGGCAGTAAGGATATGTGGTTCCAACGTGAAAGGGTACACGAACTAGATAGAGAGCATAAGTCAGCGTCGCCATCGGTATAAACGTATCCATAGCTCACGTAGGGCGTCACGCTTTCGGGGAGAGGATGTATATCGAGGGGTAACTCAACCTAGTGCGAGAAGTGCTATATAAGCCATGTCAGTTATGTCGCAAAAATATGCTTACAGCGCGGGGTACACGGAGCCCTGGTGATTTTATGAGTGGAACATTAGCTGCTGCTGCATACTGGGATTTCGCTGCAAGATGCAAGCATTGAATTTGGATTCGTCAAATGGCGATATATGCTCACAGTGATCAGTCATAGTGGTGTTGGTACATACAGAAGAGATTGTCTATTCCAAGTAGTCGTTGTTTAGTCAAAACAATCACTGGCGTAACAGTATGGCACCGCCACCGGAGACCTTGCAATTGATAATGCACTTGATAATGTACCAGTAGTACGTATACGACGATTACAAGTATGACAAGCAATAGTGATACTTTTGCATGGGGATCGGTGCAGATTACCCACCTGACTTTCTGAAGACATTTTTACTACCACTCCGCATTCCTTTTCTTCTTTGAGTCCTCCCCTTCTTCTCGGATTCACTCAGTTCTCGACCATAATCCTCTCCGCCCTTCTCCATCCCTGCTCCAAACACTTCGACGCCTTTTCGCTTCGCATTCTTTCCACTCCTGCTGGACTGACCACCAGAATTGTCAAAGATGCTGTCCTCGTCTCCTTTCGTGGACGATGGTACCCAACTCGTTTCCATACCACCCTCTGCACCGAAGCTCGCCAAATCTGTGCCTGATCGCATCGCAGATTTTCCTTTGACATTTGGTCCAGATACCCGTCGCTGGCCAAAGGTGGCATTCTTATCCCCTCTTTGACCAGATGTATCACTCTGAGCAGATAAAGGAACGAAGTTAACTCTCGCAGTGCGATTTTGCTCGCGTTTGCGAGAATATGCTTGGTCAAGACGCTCATTCTTCTGTCCAGGGCGTACGCGAGGATCGTATTTGTTGAGCTCTAATCCAAATATGAGGTTGTGGTGATAGAATAGACATAAAATATGTGTGCTTACCGCCAGCATCACTACTATCATCACTATGATCCTCATCACTGTCGCTTGAGCTCCCACCAAGACCGTCTGAAGAAAGTTTATCACTCTCCTCATCTTCTTCTTCGACCGCTGTTTTCGACCCTGTTTTCGACCTTCCTTTACTATCGTCTGTCATATTCTTCTTGCGAGCAACTGCAGAAGGATTCAAAAGAGCATATTCTCTGGTCGTTTCATCCACCGCAAATTCTGGATTTTCGAACAAATCCTTGAAACGTGCGTCATTGAGTAATGTCGGCTTATCGCCCGTCTCCTGCTCTGCGCTCTTTTCTTCGTCGACCTCCATTGCAGGATGTTCATCTCCTCCCTCAACTTCATTCCGCGCCTTCCTTGATTTCCGTTTCTCTTCCCTCTTCCTTTCTCTCTCCGCCTCCTTCTCTACCTTCTCTGCGAGTGCTCTGTTCACCTTTACCCCTATATCCTTCTTTGCACGAATCCTCGTCTCTGCCATCTTGTCCATCTTCTCTCTTACCACCTTCTCGCGATGTTCAGCATATGCGAAAGGATTTGCAATAACACGTGCAGTGTCGTATAGTTTGAGCGACACGAAATAACCGTGCATATACGGTTTGAGCGCAGGTGTACCGATAAGGTGGTCCAAGCCAAGGCTGTAAACATATAACGATGAGATGATGAGAATGAATACCACACATGATACTTCAAAGGTGACGCTCACATCCGTAGTTCGTTCCTCTCAACAAACTTGAAGTCTTCATAAGCATTGCGTACCGTCTGGTCCTCCATTTCCTCGGTTATATTTTCCAAGAAACTCGCCCATCGTGGTGCCGGACCGAGTTGTGGAATATAATATGTAGCCATCTGTATGCCTTCATTCGCGGTCATAAATAAGCCGCTGCCGGGTATATGATGAATATGGTTCAAGTCGTTCGCTGGTGTGATGGACGCAAAGTTGGCAGATGGCTAAATAATGTTTGGCATGTTCGTCAGGATCAAAGTTGATATCAAAGAGAAAATGGCTTTACCGTATCGCGATCCCATATTTTTACCACCTTCTTGTCCGCACTCAATATCATTCCGTCACCTGCCATACGACTTCCCCCTTCAATCCAACTTATGTTTCGCACAGGCAGGCCATAGCCTTGATCTTTCAGCGCAAACGGTTTTGGGGAACGAATGTCATACAGTAACGTGTGCCCAGTAGACGTTCCCACAGCGTACGATAGTCCGTCTGTCCGCGAGGCAATAGTTGTAACAGATATTGAGCCTGTATTTGAGGTAGAGTCATCGAGGCCTGGGAGTGAGGGTACAGCGCTGGCAGTAGAAGGGAGCAGCCGACTCCTCGGGAGTCTCAAGATCCCAACACTGGACCGCGACCGAGGGTCCCAAAATTGCACACTACTATTTCCATCCATACCAAAAGCGAGCAAATTATGAGCAGGGTTGACGTCTACGCAGTTGACGCCCATGATATCCCCGCCCTCATCGTCCTCAAGTATCAAAGGGTTTAGAAACCGCCCTTGTTCAAGATTGAGTCGATATATCTCATTTCCAGACGCGGACACGAATGTGTCACAAGAAGGGTAGTGATATGCCAGTGATCGTCCAAAGCGAGGTATTCGAGTGCGGTAGTGTAAGCCGCCTTGCGTATGGAGTTCGATGGTGCGGTCATTTTGTAGATGTAGCGTTTTAGTCCAGTCGTCCGAAAGTATCTAATAGAGAGTATGTGATATTATGCATTAGAACGCCAATATACTGGAGAAAGAAAAGGGAGAGAGAAAAAACTCACTCACAATGAAATCGACGTTCTCTGCATCAGAATGCCTCTCGAATTTGAGCGTAAGCTCGTCTAGGTCCCATACCCTCATTTGTGGCTTGTATGTCCCAGTAGCGATAACATGATGCCCGTCTCTGGTCGTTTTGATTTTGTTACTCGCCTCAGGGAACTCAAATCCTTGGATAAGTTCGATTGTTCCTTCTACATGTTCCCGAGAACCACCTTTTTTCCTTCCTGCTTTGGCTGCCCGCTTTCGTGTTAACCAGTCTGGGAGTGACGACGATGAGCCTGCAGCTGCTCCATTGACGGTGTAGATTTTGACATCGCTCAATTGTGCGACCATTGTAGTATAAATGGATGATGGAGCGAGAGACCCCGCTGCAAAGCCTGAGCTGATAAAACTCGAAATGCTTGCACTGAAGATCTGAAAAAGTTGATCACGTGACTAGGTCGTCATTTACTTGTCGAGAGTAAAAGCATTTTCTTTTTTCTGATATGTTTTGGCCAATTTCTCTTGTAAAATCTATATCCATTCATTCGAAATAATTACTATGGGAAGAGAATTTTGGTAGTTATCAAACATTCGATCATTGGTGGTATATTCACTAAGTGTGCGTTGTGCATATTTCCAACAAAGTTGATCGAACACATTCGCCCTGACGGCAACACTGTTCCCTCACTTTCTACAGTGTGATCTTCATATCACAAGTGCTACCACCAAGCAAACCGGGGGACCCACATCTCAGTATGTCTTCTTCTTCTCGTCCACCGACAGACCACCTGCAGAGTACACGATTAGAATATGGATGGTTTATCACCCGAACGTTCAACTTACCAGGTCCAATGTTCACGAGGAGTATTAGTCCACCAACGATGGCTGTTATGCGAAAAAGACGTCATTGTGAATGGTGCTTATTAAACTTAAACATGACATGACGTACAAAGTGTTTGGAAGAAATCGTATCTGAAGTTTATGGGTGAGTAATACTGCAAGCCAAAAAGATAGTCAACACATACTTCAAGAAATCTCTCTGAGAGTGAGCGGGATGGACGCTCCACCAGTTGTTTACAAACACATTGAAGACACTGAGGACTATCACAAGGAATGTAGCAGACCACTTGGCCTTGAACCCGACTGCGACCATTATACATGCAGCCAAACCGAACAGGGAAACGAAGACGCGACCGATACTCCACGTCCCTTGGATGATGAAACCGAGGAAGAGGAAAATAAGAAGCACGCGTCCAGCGAGGAGAAAGCTAGATTTACATAGAGGTGAAGTGGCACACAAGAACAATGAGAAAGGGTACTTACTATTTCTTGCGGTCGGTTTCACTTATTGAGGGGATGCCAGCAAAGTTTTTCTTCTTAGTGATCATTGATTCACTGAATACCATGACTAGACCACCGATGACGCTGAGATTGCGTAGGAAGAAGTTGAGGTCGAAAATGAGCCCATAACCGAAACCCTGAATGATTACAACACTCAAAAGGCCGAGTACTGCATTATCTGTGTAGCGCTTCATGATGACCGCGGTCGATGCTACCAACATAGTCTAGAAATGATATGTTATTTCATAGTTGGAGCTGAATACTTCCACTGGACGCACGAGGACGTTAAAGATAAGGAAAAGGTGGGAGAGCCCCCAGTAGAAGTGTCTGTAACTGTTCGGCAATAAAGCGCGTTGGTACCGTTTACTATAGGACAAGGCCATGGACGTACTTCTGCAGATACCATAGCTGGTCGCTCCACTGTGTTATGATCCTAAGCGCATCCTCGTAGAAAGTAACGACAATCAAAAAACGACCAATTGCAGGTAGATGGGGCTTCAGCGGCTGGACATAAATCTCGACGGCGTCCTCGACCTGTGTGCCAAACGCGCGAAGCTTTTCCAAAGGGTCGTCGGGGTTGGCTGCTCTGAAGCCTGACGATGGACGATTGTTGGCAAATCCATGTGGATCTGACATGTTGGCCGATACTGGGCGGGCAATATTAATGCGCGAAGTCATGGCGGACGGTGGTGAACAGCGGTTGGAGGTTTTGTTGCAAGCCCAACCCGTATAGCCTTCCTTAAAGACGTGGCCGTTTTCCACCGTGGGAATGTTCCACCAGGTTGAACCATTCGGCGGCTAACTCTTACCGTGTAGTTATCATCTGGCGCAATACACCCAGACAAATACTGATAGGCTGCTCGGCGATGGCATTCATTTTGTTATGCAAAAATATCATATGTACCCAAGCATGCAACAGGGAATGGTGCCTAGGCCAGTGTCGCTGTCTGTTAACCACTTCAAGTTAAGACGCCGGTCGCGGTGGCTGTCTCTTCGAGTCTACCTATAGTTTCATCCTCTGAATCGTAATATCTTACCACCGCTTTGGCCAGTCAGAAACACCTGAGAGAGGACTAATGGGCAAGAGGTCACGTCTTTCCGAGGACGACTACAGTGAGGATAGCTCTGGGTCGTACGTGCCAGCTCGAAAAAAGCTCGCAAAAGGCAAAGTCAGCACAACGCGCAAGTTCTCTCAGAAAAGTTCGAAGGACAGAGAGACGAGAGATAAGGAACCCAGTACCAACACTGAAGCCTCCCATTCTACGTCTCTACATGTAATAATCAACCCCGTACCCCTTCGCTCAGCACTGCTTGAGTGGTACGACAAAGTGCACGAGTTACGCGGCATGCCATGGCGAAAGCCCTACAATCCTTCTTTGTCGCGCGAGGAACGTGCGCAAAGGGCTTACGAGGTGATTATCATCCCTGCAATTAGTATATTAGGGAATCTCTGCCGACTCATTTGGTTAAGGTGTGGATATCCGAAATCATGTTGCAGCAAACACAAGTCATCACCGTCATTCCCTACTACAACAAGTGGATGCAAAAGTACGTCTACTTCTACCAAATATCATACAAGATCGACTTTCACTATATCATATACTGATCTATGAGTGGTCAAGGTTTCCTACAATCAGAGATCTCGCCGCTTCTGACATCGAGACTGTTAATGGTCTCTGGAAAGGACTGGGCTATTACTCTCGAGCTGCTCGCATTTTGAGTGGGGCACAGAAGACCTCAGAGGAATTTCATGGTCTGCTTCCCGACAATGCGAAAGATATGGAAGCGACTATCCCCGGTATAGGACGGTATAGCGCTGGAGCAATATGTTCAATCGCCTACAACGAATGTGTCCCTGTCGTAAGTCTTCATAGTATGAGTGAATTATCAGATTTTAATCCATGATTAGTTAGACGGCAATGTTCACAGACTCCTCAGTCGTGTCCTCGCGCTACATGCTCCACCAAAAAGCAAAAAAACCCTTGATATCCTCTGGGCAGGCGCTGGGGTTATGGTAAAAGACTCTAAGCGCCCAGGTGATATCAATCAGGCTCTTATTGAGCTTGGAAGCACGGTTTGCAAGGTCAGGGATCCTTCGTGTTCTAAATGTCCCCTGAAGCCCTGGTGTAAGGGCTACAATAGATTCTCCTCAGTGGTAAGTGGCTCTGAAGTCTGTATTTTGAGCTAGCTCGTCAATCACCTTATCAATTTTCACGTCAGGAAAGTCAGGAGGCTACCGAAGACTCTGACATCGAGGAGCTATGCTCACTCTGCGAGCCTTTACCCACATCCATGGAAGAAGCTAGACAAGTCACCATCTATCCCATGAAAGTTAAGCGCAAGAAAGCCAGAGAAGAAACTGATCTTGTGAATGTGGTGGAATGGCGCGCAGACAATCAAGGTGATCGATGGTTTTTGCTTACCCGTAGGCCTGAGGGTGGTATGTACTATCGTCCTTTTTAGTCCGTGGTCAACTCATTCATTGTTTAAGGGCAGGTCTTCTGGCAGGTCTTCACGACTTTCCGACTTTACCCAATGTATCGGACGAAGAGGAAGTTGACACTCCCGACATTATCTTGCAAAAATGGCTGATTAGTCCCCCCGCGTCTGGCAAGGTGGCAACCCAAAGACCATCTAATAATGCTATAAATGGAACTCGTGATGCAATTCGCATAGTCGATGTCAAACCAGCTGGCGATGTCATCCATGTCTTCTCTCACGTAAAAAAGACGTATCGCATCCAATGGATAGTTCTGGAAGGAGGGACCGATGGTGAGCCACCGAAGTTGCTTTGCGACGCCGTGCCTCGACCAGAAAAGTACAAGAGCACGGCGAAAACCGATAAATCGACGAAACGAAAGAAGGGGCGTAAAAGGGCTATGCCCGAGTCAAGTCATGAGAATGGCCAAGATGTGGAAGGCGCTCTCAAGGCCAAGTGGATCCTCATGAACGACGTGCAGGACGCCAAGTAAGACGAAAATTCCATCGAAAATTCCCGAAAATTGGCTGACAGTTCTTATTTCTCCGCTAGCGTCGGTACCGGCGTACTCAAAGTCTGGAATCAAGTTAGAATGCTATGGGAAAGCATGAACTAGCTGTCTGGCTCTTCAGCGGGAAAAAGTCGGCGGATCTGGAGGGCTTTCGAATCTAATTGGGGAAGTCCTCGCCTCAGATATGAAAGATCATATAGAAGGTGCGTATCATCCAACAACGAGTATGAAACCATGGTCGCCGCCTTGCGTGTGAGTTCGGGGGGCCCCAAATTGTCCATGATCTTAATAGGTGTCCACGATTGTATATATTGTGTTTCCTTACTCGCTCACTTCAGCGCTTGTGAACCGCAGCAACATGATGTGTATAGGTGTTCGAGAAAGACTAGCTTTAGTAACTTGTTCATATCGTACTCAGTCGAATACTAGCAATTCTTGAGATGTAAGGACTTAATCTGGCAAGGGGTTAGGTCACGTGCCTGCGGTACATTTTTTCGACGCGCTCAACCTCGCGCTTGTTGGTGTTCTTGCTTAACCACGTTGCTATTTCTTTTTGCCTTGGTATCGGCCCTGTGTGAGGATCCAAGCTTCAAGCTTCGACTCTGGCGTTATCACAACTATAGGCTTGTGACCGTAATCTTCCACGCGCATTACAGAAACCTCAGCCCAATCCGTGACCACCTTAAATCTAGGAAGATTTGGATGACGTCTCCTGAGATAAATCAAAGGGAATACCTCTAGTCTGTGGTTTCGATTCTCTTCTGTGGCTTTCTCGAGGCTGACGTCGTTACTCATTCAGTTCAGTGCTGAATTTGCCTGCTTCTGCTTCACAGAATGAAATCAGGGAGCGTTACAGGTCTCTGTCAGTGATATTTCATCCGGACAAGCAGCATGATGAGCAAACGAAAGCCACGGCATCCAAGAAATTCCTGGAGATCCAAAAAGCGTATTCGAGTGAGTATCTCCTATTCTAGAATTTCTCCGTGTCGCGGCTAAACCCTGTTGTACGTCTAAATAGTTCTGTCGGACTCATTTCTTCGGTACGTCATTGGTGGACCTTCATGATCCCGCTTCGTGTAGTTCATTTACTGTTTCACACCACCAGTGAAGTTTATGATATCTTAGGTATGATCAGATTGGTCTTATCTCCTTCTCACACAATCATTATACATCACTACACGTTCAGGTGAAGAAGGTCTAAAAACAAAGTGGCCACCAGCGCTACGCTCTCGAAGCATCGATGAAGTAAATTTTTTTCTGCCTTATCTAGATTCGAGTCGCTAGATCTTTCTTTCATCAGATTCGCGCAGCACTCAGACAATCTAGGATTGACCGGAGCTTCGAGAGAAACGACGAACTGATCAGTCCCAGGGGGACTGTGACTTGTGGCATCAACGCGATGTCGTTGTTTTCGGACAAATTCTTGCCCGAAGAAGACAATTCTTCAGCAGTGAAGAATGTTCTTGCTCGGTTTCGTGGAATAGGCGTCCTTAGCCTTGGCGTCCGTCATAGCGTGAAGGTTGGTGGACATTTTCTCGGACAGTAATTATGAGTCAAGTGGCCAATTCATGTTATCTTGCTAGCAACAAATCGGTCCCAATACTACAATAGGACTGACAGGTAATATGAGCAGGACAGGTTCCAAGGCAGAAAAAGGTTCCATTCTTGGCACGGTACAACACCAATTTTCTCCTCGTGTAGCTTTTGAGGTTCGTAATTTCCATGGCTTTCGAATAGCTTTGGACTAAAGATCAATCTATGATTCAGGGATCAGTTGGCCTGCTTCATCCTCATGTCCTTATGGCTAAAACATCCTACAGCGATGATGAAAGCACTTATGCGGTTCAGACACATTTTATTCCATCATTGTGGTTTATGTTTCCACCTCCGACAACCTTGACCTTTTCTAGGAAGCTATTCAACGATTCAGCCACTGAGGGCACTCTATCGTGGACCATGTCACCTCAGTCTCCAGGTCATCTTGATATATCTATTTCCTCTCCAGAGCCTTTCAATTTTGCAGCTCCCGATGACTTTGTTTCTCCAACGGAGCGAATGATAAGCGACCTTGACAACAAGCCTGGCTCGTTATCTGGATTTGGTGTGGGGGCACTGTTCTGGACCTACGGTCTAAATCTCGCTGGCATCGAAACTGGCCTGAAGGCGGAATGGGGCGTACGTTTCACCGAATTGGCTCTTCAGTTGAAAGCAGGATTGGTCTTCAATGCACGTGGACTTTCTTACCTGCTTACAAGCTCGTGGACTCGCCAAAACAATGCCGTATCCGTTAGCGTCGCTCTGAGTCCGTCTGGGGTGGTGATGAATCTCGAGTATGCCGTAGTTCATTTACCTTTCATTTGGCAATGGACCTATATCTCCCATTTGTAGGCTGAAATATTTATTCCAGAAGTGGGTAATTCCAATCGTGCTCGCGACAGAATACAACAACACCGCGGCCTTCTGTACAACAATATTGCCTTCTACAGCTCTTGTACTAGGGTACCATTTCGTACTGAAACCTCGTCGTAAGGCTCAAAGAACTCGGTCAGCATTATACTTACCTAGTATCTTCTCTAGTCTCATCTTTTTTTCATGGTGCAGGTATTTCCAAGCTGCTCGCCACGCTTTAAAGGAAGAAAAATCGGATTTAAGAAGAGAGATAGAAGAGTCAACTATGCTACTGAAGGATACCGCGGCAAAGCATATGCAAGTAGAACGCTCCAAAGGAGGTACTGTACACAGAAATCACTTCGTACATTCTATCTGAATGACTTCATGCCCAGGTCTTGTCATCCTTGAGGCGATATATGGTCCAACGTGTCCAGATGACGAGGCCAAAGACTTGAATATAGACGTCACTGTACCAGTTCAAGCTTTAGTTCATAATAGCCAAGTATATGTCTCGGGCCATCGAACCAAAGTGCGTTCTCCCCCAGAGTGTTTCTTTCTCATTGAATGCTTGGTACTCAACTATCTTACAGTCTGGTATACAAGGATTTTATGATCCAGCGCCTGCGTCGCCAAAGTCTCTCCGAGTAAGGTATACTTTCCGTGATCGGATGCACTACGCAGAAATACCAGACTTTATTCCAGTCGCACTTCCTCTGCAAGGTGAGTACGTTCGTGTGTCCAAAAATAATGTCTGGGCTAATCTTCTGCTGTCAAAAGATCACCTTGTGGACTGATTGACCTTTTAGTGCCAGATTACACACTATACGCCACACTCTCCACTCAAACACCCCACCTTCACAAGATTAATGGTTATGACCAATCATAAATCCTTAATATCTACATATGTATCTATATATTTTTATTTGCGTATCCTGAGCCCCGCTTATTGATTCTAATAACCTCGAAAAGTCTATTCAATACATCAGGGCGGCCAAGCAAAACCCTGAGACTCTTTATGAATTTGCCGATGCCATCATCGCACCGTGTCAATCGGGTATTCAGTGCTACAGAAGTTTCTCAAGAGGGATCCAGTTTTGCTGTATCGATACATGTTACGAAAGACAACGGTGATGGACATCTCAAAGTTACGCGTTCACACGGTCATCGTTCTTTGCGCTATTGCTTTCCCTCGAGTCTCGCAGACATTCCTCGACGCATGCCACAAACCCAGCCGCCTACATGCCGGATCTTGTATTCCCCTTGGAGATATCGAATCGAAGGCTCCTATAGTATAGACAAATGAATCCCTCGAGCTCAGGGCGAGCCAAACCGTATGTACATGCTGACTTCGGAGATTAGTATCTTAATTATAGGGTGATTTGATACCTATGATTTGGCGCAGGCGGATGGCTCCAGTGCATTCTGGGCCCTCCAATTATCCGGTCCTTCCCTGGCAAGTAGCACATTGCGTTCTCTATGACTGATCATACTGACGACAATACGCCCTCCTAGTAAAGTAGATCAATTATCTCGTAAATGATGCATGTCGCGTGTGGAGTCATGGGAGATATCTTGTCTATCACACTCCCTCCTCGCACGCCGCGGATTACGATTTCTAATACTTTGTTAGTTTATCTCTTTCGTTGAATTTTTAGCAAGCTGAAGCCTATAGTCGTTGCAAAGGATCTTTTTTGCTTTTCACTAGCAACGATCTGGTGACTTCCAGCTGTCACGGTACGGCTAGACTACGTGAATGGCATCAAGGAAGTACAGACAACGTTCGGGGTGTTCCCGTGCCACGGGCATTGAAATTTCGGGGAATCATAAACCTTCGCGGCTTCGAGCGTATTCTTCGTCGATTTTACTCCGGCGACAACCGTGAAGTCTTTTTGATATGAGGAACATTTTCGTACGTGTATTATTAATAGTTTCTGCGGAGTTGCTGAATGGTATGTAAAAAGCCAAAGCGGCGTCCGCATGAGCCGGAGTCTGATTCAGAGCTATCTCAGTGAGGTGCATCCGATCACAGGAGACAAGGTTTCCCAAATTATACATGTGGTTTGCTGGATTCGTACACGTCCCTAGTCCCACTCTCGGACTTCCAGGCAAGACCATCATAAGTATATATATTGCATTGGTACCTCTCCCCTTGTCCTCCGCCGGCACTCCCCCGTCCTAAACATGCAACGACCAACTCTGCAGAATGTCCGTATTCGTTCTACGAGAGATGCCATTCACGTCTTTTATGCTGTGGCGAGGAACGCCTTGCCTCTTATCACCCGCCGTCTGGACGCCGAAGAACGGCGATCTATAATTCCCGGTAATGTGTATGTATGGGAAGAGCGTAGCGCCAACTCTGAAGCGACAGGGCTGGGCATGGAACGATGGTAGGTCGTCCCCCCTTTGACAATATAATGTTTATAAACCTCTGATTATCTTTGTAGGACAGACGGCATGGGCTGGGGCCCAAGTAGAGTGCGCGATGTAAATATTTCGAATCATGTTTCTTGCGGCAGGTCTAACCTTTTTATAGGAGTTTCTTTTTTATCACCAAAAGGAAAGTGACATCAACGACGATCCCAATAATCCTGCAACTCCATGGGCACAAATGATGAGGTACGTCCTAGCGTTCATGCTCTATCGCAGGTCAGTGACCCCCTGATTCTCACAGCATGTACCCCACACCACGATCCCGGGCATCAAGCGACTCTGAGAGACTCATCAAACAGACTTACAGCGTTCGTGTCTCGTTACCTCCTGACCAGCCTCGTGGTGTTACCCGAAAATGGCACCTCAGTATGTGTGTGTGTGAAATGATTGTTGGTACGGATGCTGAGTACAGCAACACTGTAGCCGCGTATTTCAGCCAACAGAAACTCCAGCAGCTTAACACCATAGACGACGTACCCGGGGTCACTGGAGTTCCCGTTCCTGAAGGATGGTTCCGAAGTGCCCGGGCAGCTAAGCCTCGACGGGATGACGATTCTTCGAAATCAGCCACGGCAAAGCCGGCCTCTCAGGCCCTGATGGAGGGCATTGTACCCACCACTGGGCTTATTTCTGAGTCCACATTTTGCGGCACTGGCTCGTCCACGCCACCCATGCCTTCCTACACTCGCTTTCCTGTCTCGGAAAAATCGAACATGCCAGATTGTGAACCTTTGTTACGCCGTAAGACAGCATACTCCTTGCCATCAACTACCGATTATTTCGGCACCATTCACCCCTCTAACGCCAATGCTGTAATCTATCAACCCACAACACCATTTACGAGTCCCCATATGGCCCAATGCCGCAATGCGTCGCCTTTATATTATTATTCTAGTCCACCTTCTCCCCAGCCTTCTCATCTATCTCATCCTCGTTCTTCGCCATCATCAATTGCCACGACACCTAGTCCGAGGCTGAATCATCCTCACTTGTCCGATCAACTAGTACCTTTAGAATATCTCAAAACCCTTGCCTATCCTAGACGGGATCCCATCGATGAGCAATTTCTGCAACGATTCTCATCTCAAAATTTGACCACGGTGATCGATATCGTCGCTTTGCAGAAGCACGAGAAACGAGAGGGTTCAAATTTCCCCTGTTACTGACCTCGATATCATTGGCACGTCTGAGTCACTCATGCAAGGTAAGCACAAATGTGATTATTTCGAAGCAGAGACTCAGATACGATTGTCGTGTTTCGCGCATACCCAGTCTTGCGGTGTCGATGGCTGAAAAACTTCATTCTCTCGTCATGCACATTACTAGATGGTCACACGGCGGACTAGTGTAAAGTATTTTAAAAGTTCGATTCGCTGTCATGTCATGGTTTACAGTCTGCTTTGACGCTTGCATTTGGACCAGTGACATTCCCTGGAATTGCTTCTGCACACCACATGTACATAGATCCCCCGGACACTGTTAGATGGATTTGCATGGACTAGTTGTTTGCGATATGTATATGTGCTGTATGTTGATTCCGTGTTGTGTATGCAGGCTGTCCTGTACATTTGTCGTGACTCTCAGCCGGTCCGTCCTGCATCTCGACCTGCAGCGCTGCAGCGCGCTGGTCATGTGTATTATCGTCCGGGTAACGTGACCTCCCGCGCGTCCCTTCTCATCTTTCAAAGGGACCATTATGCATTCAAAGTTTCACTTCTTACTACTCTCTTCTTTCTTTTCAGTTAGGCGGCCGGTGATGGATGTCGTGTCTTTTGTCTCAGCTGCGTTCAGACAGCGTTTTTTTTTAACTGAATAGGATCGCATACATGGATACCTAAGCCTCACATCCCGCGCGAAACACACTGCAAATTTCCGACATCATCTTCCACTAAGCTGCATACTCTTCTTGATACCACATCGCTGCTACTGGCTCTTCTTTGATATTTAAGTGTATAATCATCGCGTTTTGCATTGATTTTACCCCGCAGACCTTCGTTTACGCGATGACCCCGCTGGCACCTGATTTCAGAAGTACCCGTAACCCGTACGTCTGCACCCGACCCATTCTCTTTCTATTTACATGTTCTTGTCAACTTAGTTTTAGGTTTAGTTGTATTGGACCCTGGGTAGATCATGCTCAACACTGGCATGAATAGGTGTGTTCTACCAGTTTGTTTACCCCACACTTTCCACATTTTGATATATTTGCGTTGAAGCGGCAAATTTTTCCTCCAAAATACTTCCAAGATCTATGATATACTCTCGCTCACGCACTCTTGTCATTGTAAAACTGAGTTACACGCTGAGTGAAAACCTTAACTGTGATCTTACTACATAGCAATACGCAGAGCCCGTTTCGGTAAAGCCACGCTGTCAGCATCTACATGACGAATACCCCGCACTAGCAGGCGCCTGGAAGATCTTATGGCGGCCGACAGAGATGATTTATCAAGATAGGTCATCATCATGCCAAAGGGCCACTACACGCTCCAACTACCGGACTCCACAAGTCCAGCATCTTCAGGTTTCTTTCCCAAAAAGAATTATTACACACCCGCGCAGTCAACCTACAGACATGAATAGGGAAGACCGAATTTTCGTTGTCACATGTTGTGGTATGAGTACATCAGGTTGAAACTTTGTTTACTGATATTACTACATCTCAGAAATTTTCGTGTGGGCCACATGACAACCTCAGCATACCGACAATAGGAGACGGGGGTCTTCTTGTAACAAAGCATATCCGCGGAGGGAAGACCAAGGGGCTGGAACGATTAGAGGCATATGTTCGAACGTGCGAAACATTATTGCATCTCCAAAGCCTAAGGCTTAGCCCCGCCGACTATGATCCTCTATCGACGACTCTTTTGGTTTTTCGCTGACTATACACACGGAAGGCAACAGAACACTGAGAACGCATTAATTTCCGCATATGAAGTCTGGACGCATTCCTTCTGCACATAAGGGGTATCATATTAGGCTAGGAAGACTGAATTGGAATGATGCAGGTCTGAGTTAGGTACGGCTATGCATTCATTCAACTGTCATTCCGATGAATGACAGTTTTTCACGGAACCAGGGAGGAAGGCAGTTCTAGCTCAGAGGTGTATATATTATGCAACCAAATACCCAGGGACTCACCTTTAAGCAGATCCGCGGGAACTCTGTTCGCAGGTAAATACTCAATTTGTTTATCGTAACTGACGAAGAAGAACTCTCATTATTCCCAGGTTTATTGATTAGCGACTACAAGCGTCTTAATTCTTTCGCAAATTCTGATTAAGAATGGATTTTAACTCCCTCGTGCACTTGGTTGAACCGATAAGATACATACCTAAAGAAGCTCCTATAGCGACGAAGTGGAAGAAATATGGTTATTTGCTCCGAACAAGTACCATTCCGATGTTACCACATCGATGTCGGAATAAAACATTTCTGCAGAAGTACGGCCGAAGTAGCTTTCTTAGATAGGCGCAAATATATGGCAGCTCCGCTAGGGGTGTTGGATCTATCACTTCGCATGGTAAGGTATCGAGCGGCGGTATGTATACATTTAGATGGATGTCGTTTTCATATGTTCCTGCTCACGGTTCCATACAGCGGTGTTTTCTCACCCGCGGCCAATGCTACATCTCCTGGGAGCGCGGTGCTGAGATACTTGACGGTTAGTGATGCGGCCATCGTTGATCATATTACGTCGATGCTTGTTTATTTTATTCAATCCCCATCGGACTGGTTGCTGGATCGGGGTTCTTTGCTGAATCGTACTGTAGGTAAAAGGAATGTATGAGCTAATCCGTCGCTATAATGTTGTTTAAACTTATATCCGAAACTCGGGCAGGACCGCCTTGTCCAACGTTTTCCGATCCATTGTGGGTACCTTGCCTGTTTTCAGGACCCTGGTGTAGTGTATCTACACATGCTAATCTTAGTCTCAGATCGTGTCTAAGGAGTTCAATCGTTTCCGGAGAAGTTTGACAAAACAAGCAATTTCGTACGTAAATGCTGTCCTGGACTGGTAAAATTCCCAGAGAGGGTAAGAACTCATAAACCTCGTTATGGCATCTCCTCGTGCTAATCCTTTCTCGCGGGGCCATGCAAAGAGTAATTACGAGCCTCACATGTCGCCCCTGTGAATGTGGAAGACAACGCTGGCTGCACCATTGGCTATGACTGTCACTCCCAATACTCAACGAAAAAAATAGAAAGGAACAATCTATGCGTCGGATGATAGCGGCAAATGCGCTGGGTTTGTACGGCAGTGACCCTGCTACATTAAGCAGCTCGGCGGCGTCGGTCCTAAAAGAAGGAGGTCGAGAATGCTGGCTCAAGTGAAGGTGGAGGAGAAAGGGTGGTCGCAGTGATCGAGAAGCAGTGGTTTCGAAGAGATATGGCGATATAGAGAAGTACTTCTTGCACATCAAGGTTACTAGCGGGCCGCACACGGAGGATCCTTGGAAAAACTGTAGTAGGACTATCTTCTGACTCCTTTTATGTCAAGCACTGTATTGCATTATTTTTTACAAAGTCAGGCGTTAGAATGACGGAGAACTGCTAGATAACAGTAACAAAAGAGTTGATCTGACCATCTTCCTTGCGTCGTCCGCATAGAGATAAGGGCAAACATCAGTTTTTGGGAAGGACTCGGTCGAATGGCCTCACGAGCTTTACGTGAAAGTCCAATTGAGTTGTGATGGGAATGATTTCTCAGTCGTTCTCCGCGGTGAATAGTAAAAAGTAATGATATGATTTTATTAGTCTTTTCTCCAGCGTTGTCTATGAATAAATCGAGGGCTTACCGCGATGTCACTGCACTGATGGCGTGTTCAAAAGGAGTAAATGTAGCGTCCGGCCTTTAAACAATTGTGGACCAAGGTACTGAGCACCCTGTAGGCTTTCTCGCGAACGGGCCGGGGAGATATGAGCAAATTTTGCTCTCGTTAGCTCCGAGGCCCTACGAAATGTTACCAGCAAACTGAAAGCCAGCGCGCCAAGTCAGCTTTGGAACACTGGTGAGACAAAAGTGAGGGTGCAGTCGAAGATAGACGCTCACCATGACATCTGAGTTTCCAAGTGCATGTGCGCGGTAGCGTCAGCGCGAGAACAAGTCCCCAAGAAAGGCTTGCCCGCATCGTGGGTCGTCCTTCCAGTGAATGTGAGCATTCAGACTGCTGTGAGAATTATTCCAGTCAGTATAGATTATGATTATGTATGGCATAGTAAGCACACAAGGCAAAGGACGCGAGCTGTCACAGTTACCCTTGTGCAGTATTCTCATCAGCATCTACCCTGAGTGCAAACAAGATGTTTCTCCCACTGCGGACACTGGAAAGGATGCAGTCAGGCTGAGACTCTGGCGAAGGCGGGATTCATACGGTCACGTGCGCACACCACGTTCGCTGAGTGTCGACCATCCTGCCGCGGCTCGGGGAAAACCATTCTTTGCCTGTTACCGAAACTTGAAACTGGCTTAGGTTCTGCACTCACGTCTTGAGACCATAAATACTACAGATATGCCACCAGACCAGCCATCTCAGAAGCAAAACCCCAGACTTGGTGCCCCCCAGGAGCCAAAAGCTCGAGGTGCCAACAGGTCCACAAAGGTTGCGGGCAAGCTCAAAGTCCTTCCTGAGCAGCCTGCGTTACCCATAGACAATGTTATCTTGGAGGTCCCGGAATCTGAGGGAGGTCACGGCACAGCGGGTGATAGCGATGAAGGGGACGATGAGGAGGAGGAAGAGGAGGAGGAGGCTGAGCAGGATGACGTCGAGGTGCGCTGGTATTCGTCGAGGATCCTTTCTAGATGGCTTATATGTCGCGTTCACCACCAGGTTTACAATCAGATATCGCTGATACCTCAGGGAACAGCTCGCAGAGACGCCTTGAGATTGACTAAAAAGAAAGCCAAGTCATTGCCTAGGGTTACAGCTTATGCGACAGCGAGGTGGTTTCATAATATAAACGGGTTCTCTCAATGGTCGTCTTGCTAACGCTTTTGCTACAGCTCTTACCGTCTCCACGAGTTGATGAAATTCTTTAATGCGCGGAAAACATCGTACCACACAGACCCAAAGTTGATCGACGAGGCCCTCTACACACCCTACGTTTACGAGGCCGCAGGCCAAGAGGCACGTCAGTCACGCTCAAAGCCTCAGAATCATACTGCAGATCTCCTTGGTATTTCTGAACTGAATCCTTCTGTCGAGGCCGAAGATGGAAATGCCATCGCAAAAAGGAAGAAAAGTAGGTTCGATACTACCCATACGGAAGCAGAGATATTTGTCTTTGATTATGGAACCGTCGTAATCTGGGGGATGACCGAAGCTCAGGAGAAGCGTTTCCTTTCCTCCATGTGAGTTTATCGTGGACCGTTAACAAGAATCGTTATGATGTAATTGTGATGTAATTGCTATAGAAAACGGTTTGAAGTAGAAAAATTAGGTAGTTTCAAATCTACCCTCTCATAATTCTATCTTGACGTCTCTTGCAGCATCCGAGGACATAGAAATGGAAGATCTAAATTACTATTATGCAAATTATAGTCGGTGAGTCTTTACATTCAGTCCTACTCGATCTTTTGTGACGAGCAGACCAGCATTTATAACGACGTCATCACCTTACGGAAAGGATCCAGCTACATGTATGCACTCTTTTTTCATTTGTCGAATTTTTTTCACTTAGAGTTTTCATGCTATTCCAGGACGAAACTATCACTATCGCATGCCTTGTCACAATCAGTGAAAATATCTCTTGTACCTCACTCTTCTTCATCCTTTGATTCACTGATATTTGACACTGACAATTTGACAGTTCGAAGAGCTAATATCATCAACTATAGAAGATACGAAAGATATTCCTGAAATTATAAGTGAAACAGGTAAAATTGGGATGCCACATAAAGGTATATATACAATCTACCTCTCTTCCACACGCTCTGACGCTTTCTTTCAAAAAGAAATCATGCAGAAGATTGGAGAGCTATTCTTGCTACGAACAAATATAAACTCTGTCGGGTCTGTACTAGATTCACCGGTAAGTACCTCATAGGTCATAATAACTTTCGCTTGTCTAGATAATACCACCTTTAGGAAGTATTTTGGGTAAGATACACAGGCCGCTGTTTTGGGTGTCTTCAGCTTACCTGTCTTACTACAGAGCTACCCAGATCTTCAACCACTGTACGATGCTGCCCGCAGCTATTTAGAGATTCCTCAGCGCATCAATCTGCTGAACACACGTGTTGAGGTGAATCATCTTGCGCCTTAACACCGACTAGTTGGCTCACAAGCAGAACAGGTTCTACAGGATATGCTTCAACTCCTGAAGGAGTCAGTCTCGAGTCGGCATGCTGAGCGTCTGGAACAGATTGTTATCGTGCTAATTGCTATCGAAATAGGTATGTAGTTTTCTCAATCGTTAGCCCAGCCCTTTTCTCTGAGTTTGGGCCATTCCCGTTTCCACAACAGTCCTCGGTATCATCACTATCCTCGTGGATCTAATGGCTTAGAAAATGCCACCTACAATATCATACTAGTGTGTACGACATGCATTATAAATACGGGTGCAAAGCATAATAGGGTATTACAATCATGCCTCTGAGTACAGTATCTTCATCATGTCACATTAGGCCCTTTACGTTCCCTGCGACTGTCCTTCGTCCGCGGTTTTGAACCACCAGACCCTCCATTTCTCTCTTTCGCCTGCCGGAAGCACAAGAATTCAATACCTGTAGCGCGACGACTCTCGGCCAACGTCTTTTTGACACTGTCCAAGTTGCTTTGTAGATTTTCATCTCCAGGTCGTCGTGCGTACGCCTGCGAAATCTTATTATACAACTCGGACAAGTTCTTGGCGGCAGCCGGTGTGACGTAGCGTGCTAGAGTTTGATGCATAAATTCGATTTCGAGAGTGGCCTGCAATAAGAATGTCATACTAAGCGCTCTGAGTATTTGGTCTTTTGATTCATGCACTCACTCGCAACATCCCCCCCATTCCGAAACGTTTCACTTGGCGGAACGAATTCAGAGCTTCCTCAGCGAGGTCATCCACCAAAGAGTGAAAAGTGCGTTCTAGTAGCCCTTCAGCAGTGCGGCTGACTTGGGCATGTATCTCTACGAGGTACATAAGTGCCTCGTACATATAAGGTCTTATCTCTGTTTTTGATATATATCAGCAGCGAACCCCTCTCATTATCAAAAAAATACCTGATGGTTGCGGCGTGTCGTACCAATCCATCTTGCTGCCTAGGATACCGCCTCGGAGGATCCTCATGGCTCGCTCTGATTTCGGTTTGACGTAGCTCTCGAAAAGCGTTTTATCTAGTTCACGTACGACTTTCATCAAAGTCTGCAATAGTCGAGATCAATTTTTGGTAATGCGTCACTCAAACGAGAGACGAACCTGTCGATCATCCTCCACATTGATACCGAAAGCATTTTCCAATTGATTTATCATGTTCGGTATCAATGCCGTTAAAAGGGTGCTGAAATTCGAAATAACCAGTAATAACCTCGTATCCTAAAGGGCATGTTTAGTATTTTTTTCTACAAGTTCGTACGTGAAAAAAGGGACGCACAGCTTGAGATATATCAAGAAGTTCGAGAGGATTAGCCCCATTGGTTGTTGTGCTGTCGGCAACACCATCTTTCTTGCCGGTTACAACAGGCGGGTCGTCAGAAGCTAGATGAACCAGACCATCTAGAAAAGCATATATCGCGTCCAGGAATGCTTTAGAAATCTTGGTTATGAACGCAGGTGCGACAGTGTTCTGTTTCATCGTTTTGAACGAAGAAACGCTGGACGATAGTTCTATTCCACCCGCAACCTTGAAAGCGGAGGTAGTGACTTGTCTTTGGAAAGTTTCAATCTGCGTTAGGTATAGAGTGGTGGTTGGATCAGCTGGAGTAAGTATCCACGCCTCAAGGTAATAGAACACGCGGGCATCTATGTTATGAATGAGCAAAGCCGCCACGTTATGTGCCTAGAGAATCACTGGCCTCTTAACCAAGCTTGTATAAGCGTGTCTTCGAATCTCCACCTTACACTTTCCATGAGATTCTTGAGACTAGAGCTGGCCTCCCCTGGAATCTCCATGGCATTCACTTCATTCACTCCATCTTGTATTTCTCCAAGTATTTTCGTTAAGAAGTGAGCAGTTGTGATAGAATTAGAGTGTGTAGGAAGAAGGGGGAGAGTTGCGTTTGTATAGCTGGGTGAAGCCATAACTGCCATGTCGGACAACTTGAAAAATTCCGATAATAGTGAGACATAAAGCTTCACAATGTCAACAGCTAGTTGCCGACACTGTGTTGGACTGCGTCGACTACCAGAACTGCTATTGGTCTACAAATGGAATCAGACCAGAAGCAAACAAGATTCTGACATAACCCACTCTGCGGAACCTTCCCTCTAGAAAGCTCTTAGCTATTTTCCAAAAGTTTGGGAGAGTTGATACGATGACTTCGGAGATTCCCTTGATCATTTCCCATACCGCTTGCCATATTTCGTGACCCCCGGACTGTGCTTTAGTTGAAAGCAATGTAAGTTTAACCAGGCAACATACACCTCGTTGTCTTACCGATAATCAATTCAGGCTGCTTTGACTCTAGAGCTATAAAGCAGGCTTGCAGCTGCGTCGCGAGAACAGTACCCAGAGCGCCAGGACTTGTAATGTCTGGTGTTGATTGATCTTGTAAAGCTTTGTTGACGATTTTACAAACCCATATATAACTTGATATATATGAAAAAACATACCTTGTATATGCGAAGTCGCTGAATGGTAAGTTTTATTCATTTGATCCACTATGTATTTATGCTGGCTATCGAAGTAAGTCCATACTGGGTCCTCTGTAGTGTTCAATTCCAGCAAGATTCTAAGTTCAAAAAGTCAGTCAATTCCCAGCAGACCGAAAAGGTAGGACACGACCCACTCTATCGTCTTCTCCTGATCATCCACGCCACGCCTAGGTTCTTGAAGTTTCGACAGCAAAAGACTCCTCATTTCGCCCATGACTTTTTCGACATTTGTCCAAACTTTCTCTAATATTCTCTTCTGTTGCAACACGACAGATGGGGAAGGTTTTCCATCCTTGGCTGTTCCAACTGGAAGTATTTGACCAGGTCTGGACTCTAAAAGAAATTTGCCCTTATTGTAATCTCGCATGGCCGCCTCGTATCGGTTCTATTCAGAGCTTGAGCATAATAGGTTCAAGTCAGATTCAGATATTCTTACAGCTTGGATAGATTCAACCAGAGAGGTAGGAAGACTAAAAAAGAACTTGGAGCGCTCAAAAACACCTAACGTGGTGCGTAGTTTCTGGGCTTTTGAAGAATTTTCTAGAACTGGAAGAAATACTTGGTTTGCCTTGACAGCAGCACCTATAATACACCAATGAGCTATGGCTATGAAGAGGTTGATAGTAATGATAGCATACGCTTCAATTGGTCAACCAATGGTTGCGTGGCGAAATCAGTAGAGTCTGCTAACAAGCCTTCCCGCATCTCCGCATATAACGCTAATATAAGTCAATACCCTAAGCAGCAACGTTAAACGAACAAGCCCATACCATCGGTGGACGCTTTGACGGCGACAAATCGATCAAAGTTGTCTTCAACGAGGACTCTTATAGCCTCTGACCGTGCATCTATTGACGCCTTCAGATGTGACATACCAGCGGAAAGATCTTGATAAGTTGCATTCGGATGCGCCAGGGAAAGAAACGCTTTGGGGTCAAAGGACTTGGATGATATCATGACAGATAGCTCTGTGTAAGGTGATTTAATTCAAATTAACGTAGCTGCTTGAAGTAACTGACTTGACTGTGCATCCATTTTCGAAAGACTGTAGTGATACGTTTGTTTATCAGTAGTCGGCAGAGAAGATGCGAACATGCGTACTCAATAACACCACCAATACCTAATGGATCCCCTTCGCCTTCACTCGAGTTCGGCACAACGTCGGTCGTAGCGTCGTCAAGTTCATGGTCGACTTCTTCCCATTTCCTTTCAAGCATTGGTACTTTGGGCTTCAGAGTTACCACAAGTAAGCAATGAACTTACGTGGGGTCTAGCGAGGATATTTTATATGCTTTCAACAAAGTAGCTTCGTCTGACGATAAAGTCAATTTCCCCATCGCAGTATCTATCTCCCCAGTTGATTAAATCCTAAGCGATGCTTGCTGTGCGCACACACTGAAAAGTTACGCTTGAAACCACTGGCTACAACAGCACCGTAAGACCCGAGTGTTCGAAGAGAGTGATAGTCTTAATATACCGTATTCCTGTATGATGTATGCCTGGGAGGATGCTATCCAGAGCGTAGAATTATAAAGCGTCCTGCCAGTGGTCCGTCGCGAGACTGGAGTGCTGTACTCAATGACACGTGACTCTAAGAAGTGTTTCTTTATGCAGCATCGAGCCCCTGAGGAAACGTTGATTGAGAACGCACGCAAAATCTTCAAGTCCTTACACCCTAATTATATTACGACGACCATTTCTGATCTGGCTATTCCAAATATCCGATAGAAAGATGGCTGATAATAAGTATTGTAATGGAATAAATGGAATCTGAGTGGTGACAATAAGGCCTCTAAACGACCATCAACACAAGAGAAATGCAAAAGCCTATTATACTTTCCCGCATTCTGGTACCCACGAGGAAGCCATTATACTGGAAGAACAGTGTTGAAAACGTAATCCCATATCTTGCCTATAATTACGACACATAAGTTTTCAGTAGAGTGCATCGTAGAAACACGTACTAGTTACGCCAAAGCCTAACTCGAAATTCTTGTAGTGATGAGCAAGATGATACTTCTTCATGTGCCGTAAGTATGCTGGAAGTTGGGTGTGATGCAAACTGAACAAATCCGGAATGAGTAAACTTGTCCTACACCGAAGTGAAATCTAAGAATACTAACGCGTAATGCATGCAATCGTATAGAATATCTACGCAAATGGTGTTAAAAGATGTTTCGCATTGTTAATAACATCTGGACTCACAGAACGCAAATGCGCCCGCAATGACGCCGTTTGCAATGGCTGGTGGGAACAGGAGATGCGCGAGACGAGTAAATGGCATTTGCAACATAAAAAACATGGCAGGTGGCATGACCAATCGCAACCTGACAGACACTGTAAATAAACCACGAGGCCAGATGTTAAAGCCACTATACCTATCCATTGGCATATAGTGGTGAATGCCATGAAGCATAAAATGGAGCATGAGGAACAACGGACGATCTGGCAGCATTTCGTCTATATGAAAAAGGAAACGATGCATGCCGTATTCTAGGACCGTCCAGACAAAATTACCGAAGAAGAAGCATAACATTGTCTTGATAATGGCATCGGTTGGAGCGGTTGACAAAGACGACAATGGAAGGAAAGGATTGGTCGTAAAGGAGGGCAGCGGAACAGAAAATTGAAGCAGTGACCGCAAGAAGAGGTAACTAGTGATGGGTAACCAGAACATAGGCACCACATACCACACCGTCCTAGTCTGCATCTACGACAAGTGTCAAGACACGTTGTTATTCGGGGTAGGGGCACCAGCGTACCTCAAGGATATCAGAACCAAACAGTCGCGCAGAATATGGTAGATGACGTGGTTGATGCACTTGCTTCAGATAGTATGATTTGCTTCAAATCACCCTGAATGTTATCGGGGCTTCGTGGTGAGCGACAAGGAGACAAATACCTGAAGTTGGCCTCCCAGACCTGCCTTAATAAGGGCTTCCGCAAATCGAGGAACTGTGTCTTTTCGAAATCCTCTGCAGAGTCCGTATTATCGGGATGGAAATCATCAGGAGCCTCCCAGTCTGATGTTGTTATGTAAGGTAATGAGAATAAAGGAGAAGATGACATACTGACCATCACTAACAACAGTAGTTTCAGATCCCACCCTGCCAATGACATACTCTTCAAGCATGTCATATGCCGAGTCTGAGTGATCATGTTCGTTTGGGTTTTTCATGACCTTTTCGACATCAGAACCAGCGTGTTTGAGAATCAAGTCTTCTCCTCCAGGATGGTCCGGAAGGAAACCAGTGACATTGTATACCTTGCCTCGCAGCGTTATCCAGCAGGTTTCTGACGACTTGTGGCTCTCGACGTCCTCTAGGGTGTAGATCCGAACCCTTTTCGAAGTCGACATGGTGGTTGAAGTGAGAAGGAGGCAGCCGATAATATATTCTGAGTCTCACCACTTCTCAAAATCTTGGGATCGTTTCAGTATTCTCACGATCCCATTTCAGGAAAATCCGTTTCCCTGATGACAGTTACTTCGCCGGTTGCCGTAACCCCCATGGAACACAAACCAGCGGCACTGCGGCAGAAAACCGTCTCCTGAGCCATCTTGTGCCCGCCTACTGATATAGTATTCATATTCCGTCCATGGCACACGGTCATTCTGTTTATATATACAACCTGGTCCCTTTGGGCCCACAAATATACAAGATAATACTACTCGATAGATACTCGGAAATTAGACTACATTCGCTTTCGAGTATGCCATTCCAATACCTTTATTTGCGAGGCTACGACTCCATTCTCGTAAAACATGCTTCATAACTTTTCCGCTGGCTGTTTTGGGTAGCTCTTCGCCGTCCACCCCCACGAACCATACCCACGCCGGGGCATTCTGGCACACCCAGCTATAAGTTTATCCAAGAAGCTCCGATGAAAAAGGCATCACACACCTGGGGATTCATTCTCTCTGCAACAAATCTTCGCACTTCTTCCTTTTCTAGCGTGATGTCTGGTCGCGTAACAATCCAAGCGCCGACGACTTCACCGTACTTCGCATCAGGTACTGAAACAGCTGCTGCTTCGCTGACGTTAGGGTGTGCAGTGAGCACATTCTCAATCTGTACTGGGAAGAGATTCTTCAACCGCAGAAGGTTCATATGTCAGCATACAGAATGAACATGTCTGTGAAGAAATAGGAACTCATACCTCTCCACCACGAATGATTATATCCTATTCAAAGATCAATAGACGCGCAGATGAAACTTGTTTGCAACTAACTTTGGTTCGTCCAACGACTATTGTAAAAGGTTAGTTCTCAAACAGGTTGTAGCAGAAGTCAGCCTTACTTCTCAAAAACCCTTCTTCATCCATTATACCCTCATCACCGGTACTCATCCAAATGGTACCCTTATCTTTGGTATCACCGTGCATCACGCGGTTTGTCTGCTCTGGGTCCTTCCAGTATCTACCATACTCAGTACTGAACGTGGTGCACCTATGTGAATCCATACTCACCCTTTCTGAACCAGGTATCCTGACACGTAAATTTCACCTGGCTTGCCAATCGGCACTATATTTCCTTCGCCATCGACTACCTTAGCCTTGACATGTGGTTGTACTTTACCGACCGTCTCTACCCTCTTCAAAATCGGATCTGCTGGAGTCGTTTGGAACGATACTGGGCTGTGAACAGCTAAAACATCTTCAGTGGGCACATCAGCAATGTATTTTGCTCACCTGGTTTCAGCTGTAGGTTGTCAATATATGTGAAACTGGGGATCACGCGAGACGGGGGGAGGGAGGGGCTCACTCATCCCATATGCGTTGGTGAGATCAACGAGATTCAGCTTGTCAATCAATTGACGCATTAACTCAATAGGGATCGGAGATCCCGCAGCGATACCAGTTCTCCAATGGCGCTCGTCATTGGTAGATTCACGGTGACAACTCGTTTAACATACCGAAGTCTACTGAAATCGAGTTTCTCGCCTTCTTTTTGTCTCTTCTCCACTTCAGCTAGAACACCAAGGAAGTGCGTTGGTACACCGTGCAAAGCCGTGCATTTCTCCTCTGAAACGGCGTTTACGATTGCTCCTGGTTCATAGGTCGCAGACGGATAAACTATGCAAGAGCCATGCGACCATGCTGCAAGGTTGCCGAGAACCAAACGTGCTGGAAGATGTGTAAGGTAAGTATAGAGATTGGAATCTCAGAAGGAGTGAATACGTATCAAAACAATGGAAGAGAGGCGGGACATTGCCTAAATATACAAATAAGCTGTTGCAAGCAGATAAAATTAGCAAAGAGAACTTACAAACAACATCGTCTGGTGTAAGACGCATACAGCGGGCAATTGAAAGTGCATTGTTCAGGATGTTAGTATGGGTAAGCTATCAGAATTGGGTCAGTAAGCCATAGCTGTATGGAGTGATGCCTTACTGATACAGCCTTAGGATTTCCTGTTGTTCCACTGCATTCATCGCTTTAGAATGCTCCTTCAAACGAAATATCATGATAACAATGGTTACCTCGTGAATTGCAGATTGATGACCTCATCTGAACGCAGAGATTCTGATATATTGTTGAGTCTATTCTGTTCTTGATTATCTTCTCGCCACATCATGAGCTCTCGCCAGTCAATTGTGCTCTTAATCCCATAGAGCTGTCTCTCATACTCAGTGGGGTTAGATATATTGTCCACCAGGACTAGATTGCGAAGACTGGGTAATGCAGGCTCTTGAATATCCCCCGGAAGCGAATTCCGCAACTCTTGAAATCCTGCAGAGAACATGAAGAGATAATGGGAGGTCCGGATACTTGGCACAATGAATAGGTGCTTCACTCCGACGAGATTGAGAGTATTGGTCTGTCAAAAAAGAAGACAAAAGGCCTGAAGTTGACACATTCCGCTAGGCATGTGCGAGACGTTATCGACGTACGAGCTCATTTAACCGGTAGGCAGGGTTAATGGTAACCAATATAGCCCCTACTCTTGCGCAGGCCCACTGAAGAGTCGCGTAAGCACTATACCAAAACACCACCGTATCAGCACATCATTTATATGATATGAGGAAATATGATGCCTTGCATACCTATTGTTTCCCATTATGACTGCGACACGATCGCCTTTCTCTATACCCATACTCAAAAGACCTCGTGCAAGTGCATCGATGTGCCTATCGAATTCTTGAAAATCCCAGGCCAGGTGCGACGCGACACCGAGGTTGTGGGACGGTGGACCACCGTGAGCTCTGGGTCTCTCGCGTTTACATATCAAGGCTGGTCGTGCATTGTGTTTGTCGAGGATCTCTGTTTTAAAGTACGTCGAAAGAGTCCTGGGGTCCAAAGGCGGAACAGTTGATCCCTCGACATACGAGTGCGTCAAGAATCGCCGGCCAAGCGAGAAAGTGGGCTCGTGTGCGTTTGTACTTCTACAATAGCAAGTGGCACCTTTCCGTGCATGTTGCAATCTCAATCCAGCCATCGTGGAAGTCTTGCTGGAGAACGTGCTGGTCAGCGGCAAAACTATCGACTCAGGGTCAGAACTCTTCGTTCGGCCAGGAACCGAGAACCAGCTCGAAGTAGCGGAGAAAACAGGTGGTTATTTATGTCATCAACTCCTAAGGTTCAGACCTTACTGTAAACATGACTTGGATAGGAAAATGGAGTTGATATGGTCATAAGTTATAATGATTATAAGCGCTATGGGGTGCAAATCACCAGTTGTGCAGTTGTGGCAGCTCGATAGTCATACTAGCTAGCCTAGCCTACCGGTACAATCCTGTGCAGTAAGTTGGCCAAAATCCTCAATAATTTATTATACTCCAACTGTAGACTACTCCCTAAGTATCCATAGTATCGTCATTATATTCTACGGTTGAGTCAGTATAATCACCTTTAAAAACCAGGTCAACGATTAGTAGTTTTATTTCCCCGGTGCGAACACTCGGATTCCCAATCCCGCGGAGTCAATTCTTCCACACGTTTCTGAAACGCAGATAGTGTACAGAATTCGGGGAAGCCGGATAAGTGTTTCCCCTCATCTGCGCACAACGGAAGCATGAGATTCTTGTTCTTATAACGCGCTCTGATATCTGTAATACGGGAAAGGTTAAACAGAAATACATATCGAAACAAAAGTTCTTTAGATAGCGGCGAGGGTAAAACAGGCGGCAAAAACATACAATAGTCATTTATATTTGGTGTCGACTTCCATAGTCCACTGAAGACGTTTTGAAACATGGTCCCTCGACTACGCGCCTCTCGCAATTTGAACAGTTCGAATGTGACTGACGATGTGAACGGCGGCCATCTATACATGCAGCAAAGGTGACCGAACGCAACATGGTTAGCTCGAATCTCATCCTCCAGTGTTTGAACAAACTCGCCTGCCATCGTAAGCATCCAATGTAGCCAAAAGTGCTGCCAGTGTAGAATCGTGTGTACTATGCACAAGAATCTTCATCATATCGTGGGATTCCGGATCCACTTTTCGCTGTATCTTCTTCATGAGATCACTGAGAAGGGGCCCCATCCCTAGTCGGCGGACTTCTTCTGTCTTATCTGTCCAAAGGATAGCAACCGGTCAAAGATGATAACAAGTTATATTAGAAAGGTCTCACACCCTAATCACGGAATATATCATATCGTGAATAACTATGCCTTTGTTCCTGAAAAAGGGAGCTCACCTTCAAACCACTCAGTGGCTACACTTTTCTCCTAAACAGAGGACACAACCATGTCACTGGAGTATAGCAGGAGGACAAAAACAGACGTACAAGTAAATCCATCACATCATCTTCCATAAATTCCGGTGGGACTGGCACGCCATGTGCGGTTGCGGCACGGATCTACAGGCCTTTGGAAAATTGAAAACCCCAAAGCAATATAAACTCACAGTGTCTAGAATACCCGAAGCTTTTGGTTGACCGTCTAAAAGTACAGGGTTACCATTTATATACTTGGAGAGTTTGCCGTTTAACGGCTCGAGAGTGGGATTTATAGCAGCAGCAGCAGCTGAGACGGTGGTCAGAGTTTTACCAAAACATTTGTGAAAGGAAAGTCAGCAAACCTCGAGCAAATCCAAGTTGCAGTATTTGTAATCTTTTACAGGCATACGTATTCCCAATTAAGTTATCATCCAGACCATTACTACAAAAAAGCGACATTTGTAACAATTAGCAACATGTGATTTTTTAAGCTATGAAGGACGGCTTACCGTATTAAGATGGATGGAGCAGCATGAGCAGCATACTTTAATTCGGGATATAATCCGTGTTTAATTTGTTGAAGAGACTCGATGGTGCGTGGTACATTCGTAGACCTGAAATATGAGAAGACGATCAAACAGAGCACCATTTGTGAAGGGTATGATTTTATCATACCGGAAATAAACCTCTTCTTCTCGCTCAAGCGTATCAGGTAAGAAATGCAGCCTGCACGATCGATGTTCAAGCTAAGTGTGAATACAAACCGTCATTGCTTACTAATTCGCTCACCTTTCCACATACAATTTTCTCAAAGCTGCGCCGTAGTCAAATGTAGACTAGACAGTTCAGATCAAATTAGCAAATAATCGTTTATCGGACGCGTTTGCAGCTTTGAGAGCTGAAAAGAATGATGACCAAGTTCTTACCTGCCTTCCGAGGTCTGTCAACTGTCCCAAAAGACTGGTGCAAGTCTCAGATTATTGAAGACCTTGATGAACCATTCAACTTACCAAAGTCCCAAGGTGCTTGTACCATCTCTCCTTTCCACTGCTCTCCTGGCATTCTTCGGTACATCGAGGCCGGATTGAATGGAGGTCAAATTGGCAGCCATTGCCGACCCAAACTCATTCGCGTCTCGACACATAATCCAATTTTCTGGAATAGAGCCAGGAGGTTCAGACATACGAACACCAACTGGTGTACGTTCACCTATTCAACAAATAAGGGACATAAAAAGGTCAAACAACGCGGTAAACACTATCCGTATAGATATTGATAGCTCTCAGCCCGAAGAAGTATAGTGTTTGCTTACCATGTCTCACGTATACGTGCACCTGTGCCAATTCCAGCTCTTCCGGCGCAACTGGGTAGTCATCCACATCAAGAGGTGTTTGGGGTGGCTTCAAGGTATATGGTGGGTGAATCGTTGCAGTGTTGTTGGCATTATTAGTACCTAGACCAATGGCCATACCCTCAACGAAGAAATTCGATGACTGTTGTGCTGAATTGGAATATAGAGGGACAAAGCTCGTCAGCATAAAAAGGAGCAGGAGGATACGCAGTGTCCCGTATCTAAGCTGGAACTCTTGGAAATATGTCGCAAGCAGGATTGTCATGTAATAGATAGCGCTGATGGAATTGGCTTTTATAGTGTCCGGAGAATATCAAAAACGAGTATTCGGCGTGAAAAGCTGCACGTATCAGCCTGGCCCTTACAACACGATAAGTCGAGGCGACTGTCAGTGTCCAAGGGCTTTCGAGTGATTAACTGACAAAAGAGACTCGAAACGCGTCGTTAGCTCAGTGCACGGTTACACACACACGCATCATGATTGGACTGGCGTCTGCCGAGTCAACAGCCACATACAAAAGATCTGACTTGGTTGCGATAAAAATCAACATTGCGACAGACTACTCGATACACCGAAAACTATCACAGTACAAAAGGTGGAGATCATGGTGAAAGGGTATTGTTCAACAAAATATAAAAATAGGGGATAAGCCGCACAGTGCCCACCCACATCATCTCATGATCAGCCTCAAGGCTTAATAGCAATCTTCAGTGCTCCGCGACTATTCATCTTGTCGAGGGCTTGCTGGAAGTCCTCGAGCTTGTAAATGTCTGTCACCATACCCTTGACCCGAATCTTTCCACTATCTAGGTAAGCAACAGCACGAGGGAAGCAGTATGTTTGTGAGAACGATCCAATGATCTAGGATTGTTCTGTAAGTTTCAATAGCTTTAGACTCACGTAAAACACACCTTGATTTCGTCCCCAAAAATCTTAGAAGGTGGCCAATGCACGAGGGCTTTGTTTTCGTAGACGCCATAAATCATCAAAGTACCCCCTCGTCGCACATAGTTGATGGACTCGTTTGCAAGTTTCTCAACTCCTGTGGCCTCCACAACGACATCAAACCCATATGGATTATCAGCTTTCAGCTTCTCCCACTGCGGGCCTGGGTTTTGCCTGTCCAATTCAATATATTCGTCAGCTGCGTCAAGCTCCTTCGCGATATCCATCTTGACGCCCTTGTTCGCTGCGATCACGACCTTCGATGCTCCATTGAGCTTGAGCAACTGTGCCAAAATGAGACCTGTTGGACCGGCACCGAGGAGCAAGACCTCAATTCCGACAGGAGGGTTAAGTTTGTCAAGACCATGGATGGCACATGCAGCAGGCTCGAGCAGTGTCGATTCTTCGTCGGTTAAATTATGAATCTTGTAAAGCTTCTTCTGTTGACTAAACACAGTCGATGATTAATAACGGCGAAGTAACCGCGCATATCGACTTACTATACAATATACTCGGCGAATCCACCGTCCATCGTGACTCCTCTCGCATTGAAGTCCTCGCATAGAAGCGATTGACCACGTCGACAGTAGAAGCAGTTGTCACACTACCATTCCAAATGCGTCAATACCCTGCTTTATCTTGCATATGAACTCTTCTTACAGTAATGCTCACATCGGCCACGCAACGGTCGCCTATATCAAACCCCTTTACGTTCTTTCCCATTTCTACCACCTTTCCGATGGCTTCATGTCCCGGGATAAGCTGCACAGGAAAAGCACATGTGATAAGAGGACTGCTGACGTCACATATCACTGATAAGCAAATGCTTCACCGGAAACGTGGAGATGAATTCTCCGTCATGAATGTGTCCATCTGTTCCACAGACACCTAGCGAACACATAAAATGTTATTCTGTAAGTTCAGCGCCAAGATAACCAGCGCTTGATTTTGATTTCTTACCGCAGCATGTAACTGAAAAGGGTCGAGAATTAACGAGGAGCAAACAATACTGAACATGATTGCAAACCTTTCAATAATACGTCGTCGTCGCCAACCTGAGGTATTGGTACTTGTTTGATGAGAAAGTCCTGTGGCTACAGGGAGGGTTCAGCGTCAGCAGCGTTGATAAGGATAGCGAGTGGCGGATAACAGACCTTGTTGTACCAAAGTGCTCTCATAGTTCCTGCAGGCATGTTTGCAGTGTTGATGGAGGTGGGAAGAGATGGGTGCAAGTGGGCGTTGGGAAACGAGGGAACCGAGAGCTGATGATTATCTGCCGACGAGCACCGTCCCTTTATACTCTTTTACACCGTGATAAAACCAGACGTTTTGTCCATTTTGGAACTCTTCATCAGTAGGCACATGACGTCAGTGAAAAGCAGAAGGTACCCTAAATCTCGAGCGTGGGAAATCCTCAATCGATAGGCAAACACCTAACCCTATGCCAGGTTAACCGTGGGACTTTTGGTTTTTTCTCTTTGCCATTGCGTTCGGCATGAACCAGTGCGGACTGCAGAACCGTGACGTAGACAACATTGTAGAGCGCGATGTTTTGAACTTTTACTTTGTTTAGCGCGTTGTGTAGCTTTCTTTTCCTCATTTTCTGGCTTTCTTAGTTTGCTTTGTACCATGGACACTCGTCATGGTAGCTTTCCAGATGGTCACACTGGAGACTCATTTCCGCAAAATCGGAGGCCAGCAGATTCTCCAACGACGCGTGCATTGAAGGACATAGCTTTTGGAAGCGTAAGTGTCGTCACTCCACCACTCTAGAAGACTCACAGGACATAAACCAGATTGCAGGCATGGTCGCAGAAGTCTTTGAATACCCTTTTGATCTAGCGAAAGTTCGATTACAATCACAAATATTGGATAATAGCGCACGGTTCGGTGGCCCTTTAGACTGTCTGTTGAAAACATGGTCTGAGGAAGGAATACGGGGATTGTATCGCGTAAGTACCAACTCCACTCTTCGTTCTTCTATGAATGCGACCATCAGATTCTCTGTAGGGTCTTCCAGTTCCTATCTTTGGCTCAATGGCAGAAACAGCGGCACTTTTCGTTGCTTACAGCCAAATCCAGAGTCTGATACGATGGTCAAATAATGCCCCCCAATCAAGCGAGCTGAATATATCCCAACTGGGGCTGGCGGCAGGCGGCGCCGGTTTTCTTACTAGCTTTATCCTGTCCGTATGTCAGGTACTTTGAATGCCATGATACATTTTATTAATATATTATTTTCTACAGAACGCCCATAGAGTTAGTGAAATGTAAAATGCAAGTGCAGATGCTTGCAGCACCGATGCGAATACCCAGTTTCCACACTAGCCCGCCATCCTTCACCCTTACAACAAATCCCATATTGGAGTCCCATGCAGAACAGCATGCAGTTAAACCTACACCTAGAAATTTCCCTGGCCCTTTGGCTATAGTTTCCAAGATTATCCGCACCGCTGGGCCTAAAGGTCTCTGGGTGGGCCATGTTGGGACAATGATTCGGGAAACAGGGGGTACAGCGGCATGGTTCGCCTCAAAGGAATTTATTGCTTCTCTTCTACTCGCACGACGTACATACACCGCTCCGCCGGACCGGCCTCTACAGTTTGACATGGTCGGGGCAACGAAAGGTTCGGCCACTTCACTAGCACCATGGGAATCTGCTTTGTCTGGAGCACTGGCTGGGGGTATATGTGTTTTGGCGCTCTATCCTGCAGATACGGTGAAAAGCGCCATGCAGACTGTGGAGGAACTCCAACCGCCGGATACGTTCACCCCCACCGGTCAGCTTCGCAGGCCCCATGACTCCTTCATGCGCACTGCACTCAAAATGTATAAAGCGCAAGGATGGAGAGGGCTGTATGCTGGTTGTGGTATGACAGTTGCGAGAGCGATTCCTTGTAGTGGAATCGTTTTTGTTGTATACGATGGTTTGAACCAGAGGTTTGGCTTGTGAAGACAGGTTGATGGGTGATCTTTTCATCGTTCTATTTGTACATTCTTATCTTCCCCATATTCAAGGAAACTTATCACGTATGTAGACGCACATCTGTACACATCATAATTACTAGTACAAGTAGACTTTCATTATTTAGAGAACCCCACTCATGATCAATATAACGGTACTTATTTTGCATTGCGAGAGCTTAACGTTACAGTTGATCGGTGGTATGCAGCAACCCTAGTAGACGGGAAAAAATTAAATCATTATATATTGCAAGAAGATGCTCAAAATAACCAAAATTGATATGATTGTTATTCACAGGCTTGTAAATCTATCCATATTCATGCATTGGGAATGTTCACGCTGGAGTATGTAGAATGTTTTCACATGTGTTAGATATGCCTCATTATGATTTGGGTAGACAAGCCTCATATCATACCATTTGATCATGATAGCGGGAACAGCTGTACAGGAAACGGATGGAGCAAGAGCAGAAGCGGAAAATATGATTAAGTTGACCTCCCAACATAGCTGACACCGTAAATGAGAAGATCATATGTCGGAAAAATCCATTTTCCCATACAAGGTCTAGAATGGCCACTTCAGGTCGTTAGATTTTAGGTAGCCTTAAAAGAATCAAAACGTTGCAACAATGCCTTGTAAGTCATGATCGAAATTACGCCCTAGTAAGATCAACCATCATTAGATACCTAGTCTCATTTATGAGACCATATATGACATGTGCGACAGACCACTCAAACCAGTCCAATCAGCGCAACCAGTGCAACCAGCGTGACCAGTATGACCAGCGCGACCAGCACAACCAGGCAGATAGCAACAGGCCAGACAGGCTTGGTCTAGCAGTTTCCTTGTTAGTGCTGATAATTCATCTCAGCCGGATCATGGCTAATATTATCTCGATCATGACTGAAGTGCCATCATTAGTATCTTTACAGTTTGGCTGACTCGGATATCCCCAAATCACACAAACGAAAGGCATGGAAATTAAGTAAAAAAGTCAGGTTATATTTATCAATCAGGAGGACACTACAAGTATACAACTACAACTGTAAGGTAACAGCAAAAATGTAGAAGCATTTAGTTAAAACAAAAATCAATTTGTGACAATTGTCGTCAAAAATGACTTGTTCCTCGTGAGTTCTGGTCCTGACAGAAATCTGGAAATCGAGGCATGTGAATGTGAGGTAATGAAAAGAGAAACAAAATGCTTACCATAATAATATTGATACCACAAGCGCGAAGGCAGTCCCAGTTGTTGATGACCAAACGACACTACAAGCAAGATCCTGTCAATTGAAATGTGTGAAATCAAATCCAAATGTCTACAGTATTGATGATTGATATTACTCACTGCATTGAGTACAAGAAGGGTTGGATGGCTGGGACTTGGAGTGGTATTCATTGATGTGGTAGAGTCTTCTCAATGAGTTCTGTAGTTGACTGAGGAGGAGATGGAGATAATACAGCAACACGATGGCAACAACGGACCTTTATAAATGCAATGTAGTGGCGTGTGGATTAATCGACGTCACATTACTAGAGCATACTTGAATCTAATTTATTGCCGAAACTCACTGTATCCACATTTCTCGTCGACTCCTACCTACAAGATGAAAAGAGAAAACTCAGTCATTGTTATCAGCGACACGGAGTCAGAAAGCCCTGTGCCAGCCCCAGGCGGCGGCAATCAGGGCTCTCAGAAAAACCCTCCAAGTCGGACTTACCACCGCAATTACTATAGCTCTCGTTCTTCTTCACGAAACAACGCTGCCTCGGTCATCCTTGGTAATAGCAAGGCACATGCTGAGTTGGAGGATGAAGCAAGTCAGGGTGGGGGGATTAGCATCAAAAAAGAGCCTGAGCCAGATGTTCTAGTCAGCGATAGAGCAGAAGTTGGGGGTCAACACAGTTCATACCAGCCCGAGGATGAAAGTGTCAGAAAATCTTGGAAAGATCCTGACAGTAAAAGTCAGAGCCCAGAGTCCGAGTATGACCTGCAATCACATCCTATTGAAGACCACGGCAGTCAATATCCTTGGCTTGTTCCGAGTTCAGGACTCACCAAAAAGTCATCACCGGATAAGCCGTTTCCCAATCCCAGTGACGAAGAGATCATTGTGAGTGTGCCTCATTTTTGGATCGCACATAGCACTGACTGACTTATGAACACTGTTAATACTAGTTTACCCTTCATCATTCAAAAGGGTTGCAACCAAGGATCGTGAAAAAACGTCGAGTCGGAGAGATAGGGGACGAAAATGTTGAGGTATGTACTGGCTGTAAATATCTCCTTGATTTTGCTAATTATTTGTAATTTAATTAGCCTACCAAACAAGACGCATCAGCTCAAGTGGACTTACCGTCTAACGAAGTTGTCCCTGTTCCCATCACACCTCGCAAGGCCCGCCGTTTTGTTATCTCTCAATTGGAGATAACACCTAGCAAAACAACACAGAAGATGCGCCAGGGCACTGGAAGCCCCGGCATCAGTGAAAGGTTGGATAGAATTGAGAACCGGGCACAAGACATCAGCAAGGCTTTGAAAGGAGTAACTTGTGCAATCGATGGTCAGACTTCGGCCCTGGAAAATATTTTCCGTGAGTGCCTGAATAAGTAGAGAATGTATACTGTCCTTGTCTGTCAATGTATGAATACTATCAGAAATCCTACCGAGTTTTATTTGAACCTGGGATTTAGTGTGAATTATATCACTCTGAATCAACATTCAACGACAACATGTATTGAAAGATCAAAAACTCTGTTGCTAAGTTAGATTGGGTCTGGGTTACAGTTGTCTATTCTTATCATTCCCATCGGAGCTGAGCATGTGGACAGAAATAATTTAAATAATATACTGATATTGTCTAATTACATTGTCAATGACAATAGGGACCCGGGAGTTGGTCTGAATTACAATGCCTCAGGACTCTTCTGACGGGTTCAGTATCATCTTCCCCATGATTGAGCTCTCCTAGACGAATTGCTGAGCAACGTAGATCCGACAGAGAATAGTTGTCGTCACTTACCCATTTGATCCATACATGCTTGTGCCGCATGACCAGAGTCCAGATTCAGATCGATGAAAGTTAAGCTTCTTGTTGTGATAAGCATAGGCTGCTCAAAAGTCAATTACTTCGTTCTGGGCACTGGTCTATTCTTATCATTCTTATTGTCGTCAGCCTGATCATGTGCACACAGAAATGATTCACATAGATATTGCATAATTACAGGAGGATGGGGGGGAGCGAGCTTCCAGGCTAAGTTAACTGTGGACTAATGGCTCTTCTGACGGGTTCAGTATCATTCACCCCACGACTGAGCTCTCCCTAGACAAATTGGTGAGCAACATAGACCCGACAGAGAATTACCATTGACATCACTTACCAATCATACTTTGGTTCTTGGTCTCAGGCTTCCCCTTCTGATTCGCCTGGACCTAGATCGTTCCCCTCCCTTATCACGCCACCATCATCATCATGTTCTTGATCACTAGGCGGCAGCTCTTCAATGTCTTGATTCAATGCATCCATCGCTTCTTTCATTGCCTCCTCCCTGTCTTCGTCGTTCAGTGGACCTCCGAGGCCACTTGTGGTATGTGGGAAAAGTATTCTGTCCCACTCACGGAAGATAGTGAGTACACTCCCTTTCCTTTTTCCCAGCCCAATTTCGAGATATTCAAGGTAATTGTCGAAATCTTCATGCCAATTAATGCCGGACTGAGCTCCCCTCTCTTTCAGGATACTATCAGGGGAGAGCACCCATCGTGCCTAAGGGAAATTCAGTAATAATTAGTGTTGGGTTAGGCATTTTACTTACCAAAATAGCGGCGCATGCAACCATGCCTGGTGTGGTGTGCTGGAGGCCCCATTTAACGTCCAGAGTTTCGGTACTTCGCGCGCCCTCATAAGGCATCCCCTTTTTCATCGCCACAATTGAGCCGGGTCCTCGAATGACACAGGATAGGACCTTGGAGTTTCTCAGCTACAATAAATCTGATTTTGACAGGAAGACACTTACCACTTTCAAGAGTGGGTTAAGGAAGACTTTATTCACGTCGAACTTCCCAGAATAATCAGCATGGAGGACCTCAACATTCCATAGGCTGAAAGCTGAGTGTCCTTTGCTGTTCATCCTCCACCCAATTTTATTGAGAAATTTATTTCGCCTCGCCTCAGATGTCTTCAAATCGGCCACTGAACAATCAAAGATAGTGTTGCCGCATGCACGAAGACGGCTTGCACCATTTGACCGCTGGGCCTGCATCCCGTCGCGGAACTCATTTTCATACGCTCAGTTCAAGGAGGCGTGGTAGGAATGAAAAGACTCTACTCACAGCAGATACGAACCAATCCTGCCCAATCATCCCAACAAGTTCACGAGGTGTGTTTGCGTATATCTCACTAATCTGACCTTGTATCTTTTGCTCAATGTTTTCAAACCGGCCCAGTGGACTATATTGATTGTCACGAGTTGTCTTGAATGTATTTACTGGGTCATGTATCCATAGCATGGACGTCACAAGGAACTTTTGCCCCAGCTGCTTGGTATGTTTGATTTTTCTTTGTAGCTCACTGCCGATGTCCATAAGCTCTTGCTTTTTGGGGGGACCTTGCTGACTCGAGATTTCAGGGTCTTCAGTCTCGTTCAGCAAATCGTCGTATTTTCGCCGCAAAATCCTTGTTTCCTCTCTGGCCAAATTGACCGCTATCTGAGCTTCTCGAGCAACCTGACATTAGGTGAGTCAGTATATTTTGCTAATCTTCCCAGATTAACATCAGCGTACCTTATAAAGCATTCGTGGGGACATTGTCTGATTGACACTCAGATCACCATGTAATTCAGGTGTGTCTGCTTCATGTCTCATGGCATGGTCTTCACTGACTTGAGCATTCTGTCCTCGAGTATCGCTCAAAGTCGAATCATCCCTGCCCCAGTCTTGCATTGGCTGTGCTCCATGATGTAAGTCCGTCTCTTGGACATGGTCTCTGCTCTGATCACTCCCTCTGTTTGTAGGCACCCTTCGTCGTTCTCTTTTACGGTTTTTTTCCATTGTAGGCTGTGAATTTAAATAAAAGGACAATATTGAGGGTTTGAGTTACTCGCAGTTAGGAAAACTGTTGATGGTGCGTAGGTAGTTTTCAAGTCCGACAATCTAACATGACGTAGGATGCCGT